GGACCCGGATATTCGTGCCGCTCAGTTCATTGCGGAGCGCGTTCGTGAACCCTTCCTGCGCGGCCTTGTTGGTGTGGTAGACGCACTCCCCGGAGAAGGGGGGGACTTCCAGCCCCGTGACGGAGGTGATGTTGAGGATCGTGCCGGCTTTGCGGGGGATCATGGAGGCATTCAGCACGGCGTGGGTGACAAACATCCAGCCGTTGATGTTGGTGTTGTTCATGGTCAGAATGTCGGCGATTTTGAGCTCGTGGAAGGGTGCGGGGGCGCCGAGGGCGAGGCCGGCCTTTTTGATTGAGGTCAGTCATGTTTATTCTGTGGTAAGGGGGAGGGAGGGATTGGAGGACATTGTTGATGAGGATGTCGATCTGATTGAGTTCTTGGGTACCGGATTTCACCGCGGACTCGACTGCTTCGTACGATTGGATGTCGACTGCTTTGCTGATGATTTTGACGCTTGGGTGTTGTTTCTGGATCCTGCTCGCCAGGGCTTGGAGTTTGTCCTAGGTATGTTTTAGTATGGCAAGTATTTCTTGTCGTGATAACATCTCGAAAGTTCTCTTACTTCCGACCGCGCGAACAGAATCAAATTGGCACCCTGTTCGGCTACGGAATTGGCGATCGCCTCGCCAATGCCCATCGAAGCTCCGGTCTGCAGCTATATTAGCTTGGATCACGATGGGAGAGATGAGATTTGTCACGCACAATGAGCACATTGAGTCCTTGCAGCGACATATTGAGGGCTGATTTCTTCTTGTTGTCAAAAGAGTAGCAATGGTGCGTCGTGAGTGCGTTGTTGAGGGTTCTAACGGGGTATTTTGAAGTTATCCACATGAAGAGTGGGACGTCATAGTGGGTACATTTTCAGGGTCTCGATTTCTAATCATCAGAGCTTCAGCGTCGTCTATTGGCTAAACCTTGAGCCATGAACTGTCGGGCTCTAAATCAAGTATAGTTGTATGAAGTTGGCATTTATTCATACTGTCGACAATGATAAGGTTTTTCGGCCCTCATGTTTCTCGGTCCACTCATTCCAATTGATATGTGCACATCATACATCATGGATCTTTCTTCTGTGTTGTGTGAACCTAATCAAACACCCTGAGTAAGCAGAGACTGGTCATAAAAAGGTGATAGTCCGTGTCCTCTGTATTTCTGTCGCGAACGGGCTATCCAGAGCATATATGGTCGAGAATGAGGCAACATATGATAACTATAAAAGGTCTCCGCTGAGTAAGGAGGATTAAGCGAGAAGAGCACTACCTAAACGATTTTGTCTGAGGTTGCTCCATATTTCTAGGGACCTCAGGGGTACAGCCATGAAACAAAAGTGTGCATGGTTCCTCGGATGTGGCTCTTGGAGGTGGTGAGGTGGTGAAAACGGCACTTGAAGCAGTAAAGGCCTCAAAACAGCGACCTTCGAATAACACGAGCAGTAGAAGGAGTCAGCTCGAGATGTGTGGATGCAGAATGCTAGGATAAGGAATAAGACTAAGATTCGGCTCGAGTCCAGACGATCGAGACCTCGAGCCCCTAGCATATATCGGTCGGAAAACACTCAAGTAAGTCGTGGTCAGCTCCGGATTTCCATATGCGCTGCTACTGAGATGCTGCAATGCAACCTGGTTTACTAACATTGTAGCCGACTGATCCGGGAGTGGTCGTAGATCTCGAGACAGGCTGGGCCATCCTGCAAATCACCGATTCCTGGCAGATGCAGCGATATCGACAGATATGTGCGAGCCTTTGCTCATGCTCGGGAGGAATGTTGGAAAGGTTCACCCCAGTGCGTTCGGAGACAGGTGCGTCGAGAAAGCCTTATCATTCGCGTTGAAGCTACCTGCCAGCTGATAGGAACTCTGCGAAGAAAATTGGCCACAGTTGTACGTGAGGGTCGACTCCTTGCCTCGGGCGCATTAGGTGCAGTCATGAGATATTTTCGTCGCGCTACATTGTGCGCCATTTATGCCAAGGATACTTGCGCCCTGCTGCCCTTGGAAAGGATTGCATTGTATATATTGTGTCTGGGATGACCGTTGCGAAAGTTGGTGAGTGTTGAAGGGCAACCATGGGGCTCATTACAGAAACAAGCCAGCCTCCAAAGGAGTCTCCGAAATGGTCCGTCAACTCCTATCTGTTGACGAACGCAATCATTTTTGCATTGGCAGGGATCTGTAAGGGCTTTGATGAAGGTGAGAGGCAGAGCTCCACCGTCCAAATCATCAGGCATCTAATCCAGCAGCGAACATCGCATGTCTTGTCGTACAGTCCCGATTCCGCGTCACGTTCGGCGTCGATAGACAGTCACCAGACGAATATGCCAACACGAAAGGGTGGATTGTGTCGATTTTCACGGCTGGGGCAATCTTTGGCTGTCTGGCTGTAAGCCAACTCCTACCACTTCATGAATAGCTGGCCTACTGACGAAAACTTAACAGTGCTTGCCAGTTAATGACCGCTTGGGAAGAAAGTGGAGTTTGCGTCTGTCAACGTTGATCTATGCAGCAGGAGTCGCCGGGCAGGCTCTCAGCCATGGCAATCTGTCAGCCTTTTACGCATCCAGGTTCATCGCTGGATTTGGTGGTGGAGGCATCACTGTCGTTCCTTCGATGTATATTTCGGAGGTAATGCAGATTCATCGACATGGAGAGTGGGAGTATCGGCTTATCAGGCATTTAGATTGCACCCAAGAGAATTCGCGGACTTCTCGCTATCCAGTACTCCACCTGCCAACAGCTGGGTTCTGTCTTCGGCTTTTTCATCAACTATGGCCTCACCAAGGCGTATGCTGGAAAGGACCTGCAATGGATGGTTCCTACATTGCTCCAGCTAGTACCGGCGGCAATCTGGGGTTTTGGGACGTTTCTGTGTGTGGAATCTCCTCGATGGTTACTGTACGTCGGCCGGCGCGAACAAGCCATTGCCACGGTATCCCGACTCCGCAGCCTGCCCAATGGCCATCCCGAAGTGATTTCCGACATCCAGATCATGGAATCGCAGATCTTGTACGAGCGGGAGGCTGTCGTGGGAGCGACGCAGTGGGACCTGGTGAAAGAGGTGCTAATTCCAGTCGAAAATCGACGCCGCTTCCTGCTTGTCTTCATGGCGCACCTATTCTCTCAATGGTCGGGCGCCAGTGCCATCACTCAATATCTCCCCACAATCTTCGGCTACTTGAATATGCCGAGTGAGACGGCCTCGCTAGCGACCGGTTTCTACGCGGTGGTCAAGTTTGTCAGCTGCCTGATCTTCTCATTGCTGGTGATTGATTTCATCGGACGTCGGAGGTCTCTGATGACGGGGATCACGCTTCAAACCACCACCTTGGTCTACCTGGCGTGCTATCTGGGCATCGCTCGCACGATGACCGCGGCGCACATCTCCAATACGCCGAGCGTATCTCGAGCCTCGACGGGAGCTGTGGCAGCTATCTTCATCCATGGGGTTGGGTGGAACATCGGGTGGCATGGCATGCCGTATCTTATCGGGGCAGAGGTGTACCCAATCCGCATCCGATCGCTGGCTGTTTCGATGGGCATGGCCTTTCACTGGGTGTTCTTCTTCGGATGTTCTCGGGCGACTCCCGATATGCTGGAGGTGATGCAAGAATGGGGCGCATTCGCCTTCTTTGCCTGCATCTGTTTTGTTTCTCTGATTTATGTGTTCTTTGCGATGCCGGTAAGTGTCCCCCTAGTGCGGTGATCTTGAGGATTCCACGCGGGCGGAGTCGCTAAGTTTGTTCAGGATACGACCGGACGATCCCTGGAGTCACTGGATAGTTTGTTCCAGCGGCCCTGGTACAAAGTTTACCAGGTGGCCTATGCAAAGAATGACAATGTGGGAGGCGTGGTGTAAAAAGGGAAGCAGTGGAAGAGAGAGAAAGAGAGAGAGAGAGAGAGAGATGGGCTGGTCTAGTGCAATTCCTGTGTATCTCCAGTCTGTAAGCCATGAGTGATGAAAATGGCACGAGACCACACGGCACTTGATAAGGTATCCTATGGTCCTCTTGATAATTAACCATAATCTGACGGGATGAGAGAAGAGTGCATGACACGGAAGTGGTCAATTTAGCCGGTCAACCTGGCACAGTGCGACGCTGAAGTGTAACCACCTGTTTCGGTGTATTCGGAAGAGGGGAGAGCCCTCGATTGGAGGAGGAAAGTTGATCAAGGCTGGGCAGGGTCCGAGGACTCAGCTGTGGCGGCCATGTGCGAGAATGCCGCTGCTTTTGGGGGCGTACCAGCCCGCAGTGACCTCCACTTACTGGTGGCTCACTGAATACGCACCCAATCGGTATCATATCCATCCACGATCTTGTAATCTATAGACCAAAGCAGGGATTCAAATGACATTTCTGCAACCTTGTCACCGCAATCCTGGATACTAAACAAATACGAGCAATATCAAGGACTTCAATGTATCCCTCCCGATTGGGTTGCAGAATGCTCAATTTCAATATTCACCATTTGGGGGTGGGTTGGCGAGAATACCTGATGTTGAAAATGGTTCAGACATCAGACAAAGACACCACTCCCATCTTCACATGATTGATCAATTCCAGGTTCCATTCCCCTAGAAAGAAAAGGAAGCTCCATTGAACCGACGGTAAACCCAAGGTCAATCATCCACAGGAGGAGATACACAAATCGGGGTATATCGACTCTATTCTCTTGAGTGCTGACGAGATAAAAGCCAGAAACATGCCGGACACGGCACGAAGGACCGGCCAGTGAGAGCTAGTCTCGTTCAAAAGAAGCGTTGTGTATTGGAAGTAAGTATAAACCTAAATCCTTGATGGGCGTAGCCAGGATAACTACCCCGACGCAGAGAAAAGCATAGCTTTCCTGTTTTCGGATAGCACAATCTTGGTACAGGACAACAACCACTACGAGGCAAAACACCTTCTCTCGGGGCCCTCTACCGAGTAAACTCTCCCTAATGGTTCTGTCCCAATCTGGCAACGGTCTAGTTCAAGGATAAGTCTATGGTGAAGCACCTGGGTCGATTGCAAGCACATTTGGGCTCCAGCTGGCTCCAGCATGACGACACGGTCGATCATAAGTCTACCCTTACTCAAGGATAGAGGCGATTAGCAGACTAGAGCATGTGCAAGAACGATAAGAAGGAGGACCCCACCTTCTTCAGCTGCGTTGTGCTCGCATGCTCATATGTGCATGATCCCATTACGTCCGATCCCAGCGTTTCAACCAGTACTCCCGCGACCATGATGCCTAGTAAAGCATCGATTCTATCCCAGATGCCCCAGCACCCAGAGCAGATTGACCTGCTCCAGCACACCCTCCTCTATCTGGTGATCATCTTCTATCACTCGCAATATCACGCCCCCAGCTATCACGTGAAGTTCTCCAAGCATAAACTCGTTCTCTCCCTTCACCTCGGCACCGGACTTTTCGAGGTTTTCGAATACCGCCTCCGCCGCGTCCAGTTTGGCCATGATAGGATTTTACCCAGTGAGCTGGACGTAGTTTCCTGCCTAGTCTGGTCAGTCACCAGTCTCCAGCTGGTTAAGACACTTCGTCGCGGCGATCCCCAGACCACGCGCCCTCCCTATCAAGCAGGAGCCATTCTGCGCCCCGTCGTGTGTGTGCTCGCCTACCTGCTCCAGAGCCCTGACCTCCATCGGCTCTCAGTTTATGCGCTGGACAGCTTCGTCTATGCACGCGTCTTTATCTTCTTCTTCCATTATACCCCCTATCTGCGGGATACTCCTGGCAACACCATATACGCGCTAGCGATTCCCTTGGCGGCTGCATTCAGCATTCATGAGAGCCGCGTGCCCGGGGCGTCGGTGGGGTTCGTGCTGGCCATGGCGTACATTGCGAAGCTGAACGAATGGGTATCCCAGCGGTCTCGCCAGTTGAAAGAGTAAGGACTCCATGACTCGAATAGCACATTCAATGTTGTCTCGTTACTGACTCTGCGACCTAGACCTGATGAGCAGGCAAAGGCGTCCACCGTTGAGAAACACCTGGTGACGGGGTTGCAGAGGCTGGGGTTCGCTGAGTTACAGGAGCTCCGAAGAGTCACAAACCAGCAGGCATTAAAGAAGCCGCTGACGGATGACTATGTCTCCAGTAGTGAAGCATCTGGTTGAGGATTTAGATCTTTTGACAGTCATTAGTGTCACGGAACCGGAGGTGTGATTCTAGATTCCACCTGCGTTCTATAGAAATATATTCTCGCAGACGTGCAAGGCAGGATGGGAGTGAAGAAGTTGTTCGATGAATGTCTCGCAAATAATCAAGGAGTATCGGAGATAGAATCATAATAAAGTAAAGCTTGTTATTTCCGACTGTGTGGCTACTGTGTTTTGGATGTTGATCGAGGTTTGTGACTCGGCCACGGCAATCCAGAAGGCATCGCCCGGGAACCTCGGGACGGACACGCACTTTGGAGTTCCACCCCACGCTCCGTGAGCGAAAAGCAGCGCCAGACCAGGCCCAAAGCGGAAAGGTTCGTCTGGGACCTTCTGATGGAGGAGGATTGTTGCCGTTGCCAAGGTTATTGTGCCTGATGATAAATGACAAAATGACACTCATCAACTGATCCATCATGATCACTCTGCCTGACTCCGTTCTTCTCCACACTTCGCAACACGATCGATCTTGTGGTGGAGAAGATATTCATGGGTTATTATGTTATAACTCTACAAAGATAGTTCAGATACCCTCTACGAGCAAGAACAGCCGAACAGTGGCAAGACAATTCGACCTTTTGCAGCGGCTATCCATGGCTCCTGGAGTCTCGACCACACCAAGCCTTTCCCTAGCGGAAAAGCGTAAGGGCAGTGGGCAGAAAAGACCCTGTTTGATGTCATCTACTGGTTTACTGGTTTACTGGTCTGGTTAACCCCGGCGCAATTCATCCGGACAGGACAGGACAGGACAGGACAGGACACCCTCACTATCAATCCCAAATAGATTGCACTCGTAATTATTCCATATTCCATGGCCATCCCGCGGGTCTCCATTTGAGTCCCCCGTCCCCGTCCCCGAACTTCCACTCCATCTTCTTCCCTTCTCCCCAGTTCTCAGTTCTTCTGACTCGGTTCTCTCCGAGAGAACTTTTTTCTCCCTTCTAGATATCCTAGACTACATTCTCCCTTATTTTTCTTCTCAGCCCGAAGTCAAATTCCTTCTATTGTTCCTTGGAATTCTCATGCGCCGCTCCCGGCGACACCCGGATCATGGCGGAGGGAATGCGACCAGACCGAAGAGGGCCTGCGGTTTCGCGGGCCTTGACCGTCCCCGCGATCATCACCAGCACCGCCGCCTCTTCCTCCTCCTCCATTCCAATCCACGAGACATCTACCACCAGCACAACAAACACGAGCAATAGCCCCACGGTGCTCAATCGCAGCGATCACAGTCCCAATGCCTCCAAACCCAGCCTGATCCGCTCCTCGCAAACCTTTCCGATCGGTATGTCCGTCCACTCGGTCACGAGACAATTGACAATGAAGTAATCACCACTGGGCATCATCGATCAGCTGCTGACTCGGGCGCACCCTCCCTACATCTAGCTTCTAGTCCCTCGGACTTCGCCTCGGCCTCGAACGGACTCCAACCAGATGGCAAACGAAACTCTCACACCTTGCAGTACCCAAGCAACGGTTCCGTGAAAAACACCGCCTCGTCCCCATCCGTCTTCCAATCGACAACCGACTCGAGCGCCATCGATCCGTTATCACAAGTAAGGCTGACGCGCTTGTTTTCGTGGTCCAGATGTCTAGGTGGCTGATTCACCGTGCGTTCCCGATAGCATATCATCAAGCGCACCAACACCCACAAGTCTATTCCCCTGAAGCTATTGGGCAGGGCCTCATACGAAGCGGAAGCGGGCGGAGGCGATCATCGTGGCTCCTTAGACCATGGCTCAAATCGAGGAGACGCCAATATGCACCCGAAGCCGTCCAAGGAGAAGAAGTGAGTGCGAACCCTTTTTCGTTGTCGAAGTCAGACCCTTTACCCCGCAATATCGCCATGCGGCTCACATTGCATTTTCCCCCTTCGGACCTGAACCGAACAAGCTTGCTGACCGTCCGATCCTCCCGTTATAAAGGAAGGGTGTCTCGTTTCTGAGTCGTATCATACCCGGAAAAAAGAAGGACCAATTCATAGATAACGAGGACGATGTCTCTGAGCCTGAAACAACTCGCATGGATACCGACGCCGCTTCGCAGCCGATCGGTTTCTTCCCTCGATTCCCGCCGCCTCCAAAATACATTCGCGTAAGAGCACACAACAAGAAGGAAAAGACATTCAGTCGAGTGTTCGTGGCGCAAGAGCTCGAGGGCGCAACCGGTGCTGCGGGTGGCTCGGTCAAGGATGACTCCGTGTCATCCACCGGAGTACCAAACGAGGCCAACACGGGCAAGGCGATCTGGGCGCTCGTGTTCTCCAATGATGGCAAATACCTGGCTGCTGCTGGTCAAGACAGGAAAGTGCGTGTCTGGCAAGTTCTTGGATCCCCCGAGGACCGCGACCCGGCCGATCCGGCATCAGACAGCGATGATGGTCCTCCCCGGCTGAACGCGCAAGTGTTTAAGTCTCGTCCAGTCCAAGTCTACGAAGGCCATACGGGAAGCGTGCTTGACCTCAGCTGGAGCAAGGTAATCTCCACTGGTTTGTCCAAGTGTGGATCGGTGCTAACCCAGGGTTTTAGAACAACTTCTTGCTCTCTTCTTCGATGGACAAGACGGTCCGACTCTGGCATGTGAGCCGACCCGAGTGTTTATGCTGCTTCAAGCATAGCGACTTTGTCACGTCAATCCAATTTCACCCACGAGATGATCGGTTTTTCCTCGCAGGATCACTAGACACCAAACTGCGGCTATGGAGCATCCCCGATAAGAGTGTGGCGTTTGTAGCGACCGTCCCCGATATGATCACGGCTGTTGCCTTTACACCCGATGGACGGCACTCCATCGCCGGAAGCCTCAACGGGCTGTGTAATATATACGAAACAGATGGATTAAAGGCTGTTGGGCAGATTCATGTGCGCTCCGCACGCGGTCGCAACGCCAAGGGCAGCAAAATCACTGGTATTGATACTATGACCTTGCCATGCAACGACCCCTATGGCGAGGTCAAGCTTTTGATCACCAGCAACGACTCCCGGATCCGGCTATACAACTTTCGCGACAGAACGTTAGAGGCCAAGTTTCGCGGCAATGAAAATACCTGCAGCCAAATCCGCGCGTCTTTCAGCAATGATGGGAAACATATCATTTGCGGCAGCGAAGATCGCCGCACGTACCTATGGCCGGTTGATTCGTTCGAGAAGGACTCCGACAAGCGGGCTGTCGAGGTGTTCGACACTCATTCGGCCATGGTCACGGCCGCCATCATGGCCCCCACGAAAACGAAACAGGTACTGGGACTCGCCGAGGATCCGATCTTTGACGTATGTAACCCGCCGCCGGTGACTCTAATCAGCCAGGCAGACCGGGAGAACGGGCGGGCGCATCCTAATTCCGGAGCCAGCAAATTGGCGCAAGAGTCGCCGGCGTATCTGGCTCGGTCGACCCATCCGGACGGCAACATTATGATCTTGGCCGATTACTCCGGCAAGATCCAGGTCCTGCGCCAGGACTGTGCCTACCAGAAACGGCGGTACGACAACTGGGATGCGCACAGCACGATCTCCCGCAAGATTCTCCGGCGCACCAACTCGGCCCGCCACAGTATCGCATCCTCCACCGGGAAGGATTCCACGCACAAGACGCCATCCGAGCGCATCATCTCATGGCGCAACTCGGTCATCCGTCACGGCACAAGCAACAGTCGGTCGGGAATGCGGACCCCGCGCACTCGCAGTCCCTCCCCGCACAAGTCGATCCGCGGCGGGCCATCGGGGCATGCGAGCCCGGGCCGCGCGTCCTTCAACGCGGCACGACCGGACTCCCGGTCGATGTTCACCACCTCGCCACCCCAATCCGCCTACAAACAGTCCATGGAGAGCGGTCGGTCCAGCGCCGAGACCTCCCGCGTTCTCGCCAGTGGCATTGAGGGGCAACAGACGCCTCCGGCGTCGACGACCACGTTCGTCAAGAGGGAGGACAAGGACAACCCGCTGTGGCTGCAGGGCGAACAAAGCTACGCGTTCTACAACAAGATCGCGCGCGACGCGCTCGCGATGCGGAAGAAGCGCAAGCCCAGCAGCGGCAGCGGGCTGCCCAGCCCGAACCACCTGGCGGTTCCGGGAGAACGCAACATGAGCCTGGGGAGTGCTTTGAGTAGCGACTATGGGTCGTCCAACGGCGATGGCGAGGACGGTGAAGTGCTCCGGTGCGAGAATTGCGCGGGCACCAACTTCCGAGCGACCAAGGGGCGCAATGGGAGACAGCGGCTGGTTTGCGTGCGATGCGCCCAGCCGATCACATAGGCCCGGTGTGTGTAGATGGATAGATCAGGGCCGGGACATGCTGCACAGGATTCGATGTAATTAGTTCATGTTTTTGTATGTACGATAGATGGATAGCCTATACATAGGTAGCCTACGCTGTACAGTAGGTACGAGGGACGAATGACGAATGATATCAGATGAATTATCCCCGCATGCAACATTTTCTCTTGATCGCGGCCTTGTATCTTGGTAAATAACTACTCCAGCGCCGGCAACCGGCAGATCGGCGCCGACCTCTCACCGCCCGGGCCAACAACAGCACCTGCGGAGTGCCAAATCCACCAAAACCCGCGATTCAGCACGCATCCCACACCACATCCAAGTGACACATGCACCTCAGTCCGGCTACACGCTCATCCCATTATACTTTTGCCGTGACAGACCATTATTTTGATCTAAAAGAAAGCGAATCGCCGACACACCACCACTCCACGAACCAAGATGCCATACCTCCCCACCCCACAAGCCTACCTGGAGCAATCCGCTCTGCTCCTGCAAGCATATCCTGATGCGGTACGACACAGCCAACGCAAACCAAACCCTTCTGTACCCTCCTTCCATCGCTCACCAGGCTCCAAACCAACCTCATTCCACCCCTCTCCTCCCCTCCCTCCCTTTCCCCTCCCATTCCCCCCATTCTCATCCCCACCCCCGTCCCCAACCCACCCCACCTCATCCACCACCAAACTAACAACCCCCAACCCGACAGAAAATAACAACAAAATACACCTTCGCCCACGCCACCCGCTCGTCTTCTTCTTCCTCCCCCTCCTCCAAACCCCAGACCACACAATCCGACCCCTCGCAACAACCCCAGAGTCAACAAGCGCAAGAAAAACCCCGCATAGCCACCCTCACCCTCAAGACCTTCCACCCGGAATCCGGTATCTGCCTGAAGTACCGCACCAACAAGGGCGCCGAGGTGGGCCGGTTGATCTCCTCGTTGGGCAAGTTGGCTGCTGGGGCGGATGTGGAGGGGTTGGGGTTGGGGTCGGGGGGTGGGATTACAGGTTCGGGGATTGGGGCGGCGGATGTGGAGATGGGGGATGCGCCTGCTCCTGCTTCTTCTGAGGTTGCTGGGGCTGTGGAGGGGGGCAATGAGGCTGCTTCTTCGGCCGGGGCGGGCGCTGGCGCTGGCGCTGGGGGTAAAAGTGGGAAGGGGAAGAAGAAGGGTGGGAAGGGGAAGCGGTGAATCTCTGATTGTTCGGGGATTCGGGCGGGGGAAGGGGCTGAGTAGGAGGATTTCATGTGCATATAAAGGAACTTTAAGAGTGAGTGGTTTCAGCTCGATAGGCCCCAAGGCTTTGCTGTTGTGGTAGCGTGTCAAGGAATTGAGATACCCGCGTTGATGGTCAGGTTCGTCCTTGGACTTGCTGTAGGTGAAAGTGAACCGAACCGATTGAGATGGGCAGAGGACATGTGCTAATGTAGCCCTATTCGAGAACGACCTACTACCAACTACAACCCCTTGACTACCATAGCAATATTCAACATGCTCAATATTATCCAACAATGTACATTCCTAGCTAGATACATAGGTAAAGGTGTAAAGAAAAAAAAATCCGCCCATCCAACGCCAATCCCATGCGTGTAAACCTCAAAGCTTCATAACACAAAATCCAAACAAGAATTATTCGTAGCCATGGCTGGTGCCGACAACCGGGTATATCGTGGCATCACTCTTCTAAAAGTCCTCGTCAAAGTTGAGACCGCCGGCCGAGGCGCTGGTCTCCTCCTCCTCCTTCTTCTTCGTGCTGGCCATGACACCGGCCTTCTGGTAGTCACCGACACGCTTCTCGAAGAAGTTGGTCTTGCCAGCCAGGGAGATCGACTCCATGAAGTCGAAGGGGTTGGTGGAGTTGTAGTACTTCTTGTTGCCAAGAGCCACCAACAGGCGGTCGGCCACGAACTCGATGTACTGGCACATCAGCTTGGCGTTCATGCCGAGCAGGGCAACAGGCAGAGAATCCGACAGGAACTCCTGCTCGATGCCGACGGCCTCGACGATGATGTCCTCAACCATCTGCTTGCTGGGGCGGTTGTTGAGGTGGGAGAAGAGCAAGCAAGCGAAGTCGGTGTGGAGACCCTCGTCACGGGAGATCAACTCGTTGGAGAAGGTAAGACCGGGCATCAGGCCACGCTTCTTGAGCCAGAAGATGGAGGCGAAAGAGCCGGAGAAGAAGATACCCTCGACGGCAGCGAAAGCGACCAGACGCTGGGCGAAAGTGGATTCGCGGTCCTGGATCCACCGGATGGCCCAGTCAGCCTTCTTGCGGATGCAAGGAACTGCAGCAGGTTAGCATTCTCGTCCAATCACGATTGCAGCGCGATGCACATACTGTTATCAATGGCGTCGAAGAGGTAGTTGCGCTGCTTAGGCTCCTTGATGTAGGTATCGATGAGGAGGGAGTAGGTCTCGGAGTGGATGTTCTCCATCATGATCTGGAAACCGTAGAAGCAACGAGCTTCGGGGATCTGAACTTCGCCGCTGAAACGCTCCACCAGGTTCTCGTTGACGATGCCGTCGGAAGCGGCGAAGAAAGCAAGGACGTGGGAAATGAAGTAGCGCTCGTCATCGTTGAGGCGGTTGCTCCAATCGTGGAGATCCTTGGAGAGATCGATTTCCTCGGCGGTCCAGAAAGAGGCTTCGGCCTTCTTGTACATCTGCCAGATCTGTCGGACGCGAAAATACACGTTAGTGCACTAGTCTCGACGCGGGTGGGGCGCCCGAGGACAGAGCGGAAAAATTCCACTTTACGCGTGACGCGTAGGGGACGTGTCGACTAACCTCGTGGTACTTGATGGGGAAAAGAACGAAACGGTGAGGGTTCTCCTGGAGAAGAGGCTCGTTGGCCTCGAACTCCTTGATACCAGGAGCAACCTTGGGAGCTTCGGCGGGCTTCTCGGCAAGGGTCTTCTCGGCGACGACGTCGGTGGTGGCGGGAGCGTTCTCCTTGCCAGCGGCGTTGAAGTTGAGCTTCTTGACGGGAGAGTCGCTCATCTTGAGGTTTTCAAGCGAGGACGCAGCCTAGTCACCAAGGTACATTAGTTGAGTTGCTCGCGTCGACGCGTTGTCGGTGGGGTGGGAGGCAAGACGTGATATCACCTACCTGCTTGGAGGGAGTGAGTTGTGCGGACATTGTGAAGCTGTAAGGAGATGGTAGAAAAGTAATTGAAGACAGTGATTCACAGCAACACAGCAACACACCAGACAATTGATCGGGATGGACTGGAGAGAAAGAAAATGAGCTGCGAAGAGGAGGGACACGCAGACAGAAATACTTGCATGGGACGAGGAGCGTGATCCTTAGCGCGACGGGCTAAGTCACGTCGCACGTGACTTGGCGCGACTTGGGCCCCGGAGGCTGGCTGGAACATGATTGATCCGGACCCAATTTGTTGATGCCGTCGCGTCTACACGTCTTTCATTCCATTTTCGCTCTACGGCTGACCCATTCATGATGATGAGCCATTCGCCTGGCTCCAGTCAGACCACCGGCCAGTCGTCCATCCGATGCTCTAGAACTCCACTGTCCCAGCAGCTGCAAGCCTGCAACAAGTTCTACAGCTCTCTCCACATTCCTGGAAAGGTACGAGCTGCGCTGTTCACAACTTGCGGCGTCTCTGCCGCTTGTACTCCATGCCCTAGCGTGTTCGTGTTTCGTCGCACTAGTCCATCTCGGGTTTTAATGCTGGTCTCTATCTTATCTGATCAAACTTACTCGATCGCGCTCCTCGCTCCTGAATGCGTGCTGCTGTAAACTTCCCTGCCTCTATCACTGTCTATCAGACATTCCATGGTGTTGCAAATTGGTCTCCATGAACACCTCAATCCCATGCCTAGACCCCTCACCGGTCTGCTGTACGGTGTACCTTACAGATAACTGCAGTTGCTTAGGCAGCGTTTACGGCATCCTGAGCAATCAAGCTGAGCTCAGCTGCCGATCCCCACTGGCTTAAATCCGAGGCGAAGTTTTCTCGAGTTTCATGTCCGTGCTCACCGACAGAACGCGACGCGCCGGTCTCATTCACAACTCCTCCTGCTCCACCACGGAATTACGGGATTTCTCTGGGCCCCTTCGGCACCGCTGCCCACCCCAATGTGGTAGCCTGGCTCCAATCTAGATTTTATGGCGACTTCTGGGGCCGCAAATAGTGGGTTTTGGGCAGCGTGCTGTTTCCGTCCGGTCGGTGATGACGTCCTGCATGTTCGCGACGCGTCCGCCGTGTTTTGACTGTTGATGCGTAGGGTCACACCCTCACCTGCTCAAGGGTGTTGAGTGACCATAGTGCTCTCGATGGGTTAATCAACTGGTGCTGGCTCGGATAGGAAACAGTTTCGCAATCTACCCAGATCTAGTTACACAGTATGCCGTGCGATGTAATTTGCGTCTGCGCGACGCGTCGCGTTTCGGACTATCGATCCGACAGGAACAACATGCGAACTACGACGATGTCATCTCGGACAATCCTGGTCTATACTGGGGCAAACTAAACATCGGGCTACATAAGGGCCCACTTGGGTCCAACCAAGGGTACAATTCGTCTAGCTTTCACCTGGAGCTTGTAGTGGCGTCGCGCCTCTGCCCCCTTGTCCGCACAGAACTATCTCAAATGGTATCGATTGAGCGTCCCTTCTGAACCAACTAAGTTTATCTTGTTTAGAGGTCTATAAGATCTAACATCACACGACTAATCAAGCTGAAACGCCTATGTGCACAACAAGACGAGCAAGCAGATGCCATTACTCAACCATGTAACCCCCGATTGAATATACCGAAATGCCTCTATAAATGTTCTTGCAAAGTAAGAAGGGTAAGTTGAAGTCGCTGGACGAAGGTCAATTCATCAGAGTCGGGCCTTGAGTGAGTCGGAGAGGAACCGGTCCTCCAGTCTACGCATGTATTTGTTGGTCTGTTCGGCCAAGCTGAGTGTCAAGATCTAGAAAATTAATTAGTAATTGGTTGCCGGACTTCGAAGTCCTCTGCTCTGCACTTACGGTGTGTGGCAGGATACGGGCAAGATGGGCGAAATATCCCTTGTAAATCGCTAGGATGCCCTCAGTGCGGATGGTCTGGAACAAGCAATCGAGTGCGCCCTTGTACAGGTTACCGGTCTGGTTGTACATTCTCGACATGATCGTGTCTGCAAAAAGGGTCAGTCTGATCACGCTGCTGCGAATACAATATGGGACAAACTTACCAGGAGGGTGCATGACACAGCAAACCACGAAGCCGGAAGCCGTGCTGCTGGCCAGGTGCAGAGCTGGCCCGTCTTCCATACCAAGGTGCTTTGTCAAGCGACGCTTGGCGAAGAAGTAAGTCGGCAGCTGAACCGAACTACCGAACCCAGTGCGCACCATGGCTGCGCCCACACCACGATACAACCCCTTCACTCCCTCGGTCTTATAGATCTTGCTCAGACCATCGAACGAGTTGCGATAGTTGTGCTGCGTACCGACAGGAAGGAACGGCGAGAAGGATTGTAGACGGGTCTTGACAAGGAAGAATGGCGAACCAGCTGCGGCGCCGATGATGCCTGACGTGGCACCCGCGAAGACGTTGATTCCCAGGGACTGCACCTGGCTGTCTTTGTAGATCGCATTTGTGATGCCCCCGCGCAGAGGCTCGTAGAATCCGAGACGACACCCGTTCAACAGGACTTGATAAATGTACTGAGAAGCGCATTAGTCCGAGCGATATCCTGTTGTTCGTCGTGAGCGATGCTTACGGCAGAGCCAATACCCCGGAAGAGACCGCGAGGCCCCTCATTCTGCAAGATAACCTTGACACCGTGGAAAACACCTCGGTATTTTTTGACCGCATCCGTCTTGGATTGTAACTCGCCTTGCAATTGTAAGCTAGGATATCCATCGAATTAGCTGTGTATATCGTGGAGCGCCGGCTGACAAGTGAGGACAGAAGCGCATGGGTGCAAACATACCGAATCTTGACAGTCTCAAAGCTGTGAGTTACTGTGACTGCTCCACATGCTGCAACACCTCCGGCAATGAAAGCTCTATATCGAAAGTTGACCTAGTCAGCGCGATCCCAAATATGACAATTTTACTGTGGGTGCGACAAACCCCGTCGTCGTCGACATGGCGGCTCAAGGATCGTCTCCGCTAGCGGAGCAGAGTCAACTGGCCTTTGCGCGCAAAATGCTGGGATCTGAACCGTGGTAAAAAGGCGGATTTATCTAGCTGTACAACAGGCAAGAAGACCCCGAGAAGGCGAAGTGTGGGATTTGGAGAGTAAGATTGTTAGTTGTCGGTGACACAGTCAGGCCAACGTGAGTGAACAACTTATTCATGCAGGCCAGCTCTCCAGCCGGGGTCCGACTTTCTGACGTTCGGCTCGGATTCCGTGACTCTCAATTGGTTAACATGCTGCATTTTCCGCACGGGGCCTCCGACCATCGGCCGATCTGCTTAGGTCAGCTCCTTAGAGCCCCCGATTATAGCCGGCGGGGCGGAACAATATTGTTTCGGGAGAGCTTCAAACACGAAACAAACAGGTTGGGGAAGGCGCGTTTACCACTGGCAATTCCGATAAAGCTCTACTCAGAGCATCTCAGCGTGAGACGGTACAACTTGAAGTCAAGAGGCGCGCACAGGTCTGCCTGTGTCCCATAGTCAACAAAGGCTTCCTTACTGGTTTACGTCAACAACGCGATCGCTGCTCATCTAACCACAAGGATGGCGGAAACACAGTCCACACCCGCGGCGCAGCAGCAAGCGCAGCAGCCGATGCTCCAGACTCAAAAGGTGTCGGACATCATTCGTAGCTTTCGCCCGACCAAGGTGAGTGTTAAGACCTAGCCAGACCTGTATGCGCTTCTTCTCTAATGCATTCTCCTTTCTCATAGGCATTCCGGCCCCCCAAGCAAGATACTGCCCACTATGTGACGTCGTTGGATTTCGATGATCAAGGTGACTACTTGGTGGCTTCCGGTGACGATGACACCATTCAAGTCTTCGACATCAAGGAGGGCAAGTCTACAAAGTCTGTGCCCAGCAAGAAATATGGGGCTCATCTGGCGCGCTTCACGCACCATTCTCGTCAAGTTCTGCATGCCAGCACTAAAGTCGATGGTACGTCTCTTCCCACGGTGTCTCGTGTTTTGGTCTGTACTTATCCTTCCAGATTCGCTGCGATTGCTCGATCTCCACAACGAAGGCTACATTCGGTACTTCTCCGGTCATACTGATAAGGTGACTTGTTTGGCTCTGTCCCCTGGCGGTGACTCCTTCATATCGTGCTCCAAGGACGACACTATCGCCCTCTGGGATCTCAGCTCCCGAAACGCCCAGGGTAGGCTGAAGCTGGCAACACCTTACCTCGTTGCCTTTGACCCGTCCGCCTCGGTCATCGCGGTTGCTTCGCAGTCTACCTCCTCCATTCTGCTTTTCGATTACCGCAATTACGACAAGTCCCCTTTCTCCACCTTCGATCTTGCCCCTCACGAGGAGCGATACACTCCGTCAACGCGCGGAAGGGCCTGGACTCGACTTGAGTTCTCAAATGACGGGAAATACTTGCTTGTGGGTACCGACTATCATGGGCATTTCATTCTCGATGCCTTTGATGGTTCTGTCAAAGCATTCTTGGTTGGTCGGGCTGGATCCCCGGGTCGGGCTGCGCCCGTTTCCACAACCGGAAAGCCTCTCGGACAAGGCGATGCATGCTTCTCGCCAGATGGGCGATATGTGATCGGAGGATCTGGAGATCAACCGGACGTCCTGGTGTGGGACTTGCAGCAGACCCCTGATGCCAACGGTCTACTACAGCCAATGACGAAGCTGCCTCACCGTGGTCGAGCTGCACTGGTGGAATACAACCCCCGCTATAACATGCTGGCTTCCGCCGACAAGGAAATTGTGTTCTGGCTCCCAGAAGACAGCTCCAGACCATCAGAAAAGTAAAGGTCTCTGATGACTGACAACGGCCAGCCGGTGTCCCCTTTTCGATGCACCTCAAAGCCATTCTCACTACCAATCCTCGCACACCAATCGAAGCGAAGGACAATTTAGAAGACTGGTATGACTCCCTTCTTTCTTTTTGCGGTGCGATCTATTGTCTAAAGCAATTCAGTATGATCATCTAGTCTTTGCGGCCCTTCTCTTTCCCTATCAAACTCCTCGCTGTATCGCATACCCAGATCGAAGGCCCCTCCAGACTATCGTCTGCCCCTCTGTTCTTCTCGACAATGGACTCGATTTGTTTGACCACCGTGCGATTGCTTGATATCGTCATCACGCCGGCAGCCCACCCGTACAAGAACACGCTGTGGTTGATGTCAGACAGCACCTGCTCTACCTTTTCATAGACAGGCGGAAGTCTGGCGAGATCCTTTGCAGAAGCTATTGTCGGTTTCGCATTGACTGTCATGACAGGAAGTCTCCAGTCTGCAGGGATCTCATAGTCGGACAGCTTCTGATAGGCCTCGATGAGGCCCTCCCGAGTACATTCAGCAAACGACTCATGACCCATTAATATTCTCATCCGCTGCTTCTCAGTTTCGGTGCCGATGATGTTGACGATTTCCTGCATTCTCTGGGCGGCCTCTTCGGTGCAGACCAGATCACGGCCTACCATTGCCGGCCACAACTCCGTGGGGAGCAGTGGGCGGCTGTGCTCAACCTCAATCTGACGATTGATGGCCTTGTGATGCGTGGGGGAGGTGGAAATATCTTTGTAATGCGACAAGTCCGAGACTGCCGCCAGCAGCAATGTACAATCCATATTTAGGGTAGACGTGAAATGCTTGAAGGGCTTAGGAAGCAGCCTCTCCAGCGCTTCAGCTTGCGTGGTCTCGCTTTGCGAAGAATAATCATTCTCCCCACAAGTCACATCGATCCCATACCCACGTATGACCTTCAGAAGACCATCGATCTCGGGACTCGAGCCTTCCTCTATCTTAGGAATGACGAACCGCAGACGTGGCGTTCTATACCGCACCCTCGCAACATTCGCCGCTTTCCTCAAATCACTAGCCAGCTTGACCAGCTCGATCTCATCCTCATCATCCTCATCATCTGTCCCCACCCCATCCTCATAATTCCGCAGCACCGTTCTCGGAGCCTCCTCCCCATCCTCTTCCTCCGACTCGTCCGCCTCCCACCCTTTCTTGGCCATCTCAAACAACAACCTCGTCTCCGAGATGGTCGACACCTTCACCCACTCCTCCCCATCATCCGCCACAATATCCACAAACACACTCTTCTTCTTATCCTTGCTGCTCCTCTTCGCCCCCGCCCCATCTTTACCATTCCCGTTGCCCTTGCCCGCAGCATCCGCATCATCCCCCCAGTAGAACCGCTTCCCAAACGCCACCAACCCCGAACACGACCCCTTCGCAATCGCCCACACCGCCTCGTAGAACGGCAGATTCGACGACCGCAACGCATGCGCCAACCGCGCCCTGACCTCATCGTCGCCACCGTCACTGCTCCCATCTTGTTGAGGTGCTGCAGCAGCTGCAGCTGCAGCAGCTGTGGCTTCCTGCACCTGCGCATCGAGCTTCTCCAACATGCGCAGCTCGGAGAGCACGCTCGAGCGCAGCGAGCGCACCTCCACGATCTGCGGGTTGCGTTGCGTCTGCGCGAGGAGGGTTTGCAGGGCGGTGATTTCGGCGAGGAGGGCGCGGCAGCGCGTGACGAGGGTGGTGGAGATGGTGAGGGTGCTGCTGCTGCTGCTGCTGCTACTTTGGTCCGAGGGGTCGGAGGGGGTGGTTTCTGCCATTGTTGAGCGGGAGTTCTCTGCGCGTTTGGGGGTTTGGGGGTTTGGCGTGGTGGGTAGTGGTTCGTGGTTCGTGGTTTTGGGGTGAGGGTGCAATGGGTTTGGTGTGGGGTTCGTTGGGTTGGGTTGGGTTTGGTCAGGTCCGCGGCGGCGGCGGCGGGGTGGAGGGGTGCAATGTATATACACGGGAATTTATCGGCGGTTAGGAGGGTGGAGCGAAGAAGATAGAAGGTTTGGGAAAGTCACGTCTGAGTCATGGCTGGATATGTGAGGCTGTGGGCACAAGTGAGACACAGCTAGCAAGCTGCTCTCGGCCATGCAGCTGACGGCTGCTTTGCTTTTTGAAGCTAAAAACCAACATAACGCGAGCCGCGGCGCGTGTCGATGGAATGCCTAGTAGTTCAACCATATTGTCCAATTCAGGCTGATTGGACAGTCGCTGGAGATGCAATTTACTACTACTGAGTAGAGCTTGCATATTCAAGCTTCTTCTCCAGAGTGGACCCTATCCCAAAGCACAAGTCTTCATTTTGAACTAGAATCAAACACACTTTATACACTATGGAACAACAAAATACTTCATCCCTCATCAAAGAAAAAGAAATTAAAAAGGCTAATAACGAAACTCACTGGGAATTCACCTTAGCCAAACGCCATCTTATGCCTTCAAGCAAATTAAAGCGAAACTGAGCCTCCAATCCTACACGGCAACTGTTCTCGGGACGCAGGGAACTCTCCTCCAGCCACAGACATAACGCCGTCCTACTGCCGCCACGAGCCACCCTGCAACCCTGATATGACCGACTCAGTGCTTGCCGGTAAGACGCTGTCTTTCACCAGAGTTGCGCGGCGATTCATCCTCGTCATCCGACCATCTGTCGCCGTCTTCGCCAACTGCGAAGATAGTCTCTCCATCCAGGGATTCCCGGGGGCGTGATGCCGAGGGAACAGGCTTTGGCGGGATAGGCGACAGGTTACCACGCTGTTCATGGCCGACGTGTTCTTCAAGGCCACCAAGGGCGTCTTCCTCATCCAATGCACTGCCGAACGACCGGATCTCGAAACCATCGTCATCTTGGGCAATCTACAAGTTTGGTCAGCGACAATCCTTGACATTCCGCACGAAGGATATTTACCTCATCACTCATCGCAAATCGGCGGTTGTTCGCAGTGGGTCGCCACAAATAGGCGACGAACGCAATGTCAAAGAGATAGACAATGTTGAGCCAGCCATCCAAGACGAACCATCTGGTCTTCCAGTGCTCAGGAACAAAGCTGGCTTCACTGTGGCCAGCAAAGTTGATCGAGTTGAGGAAGAAGAAGCCGAAAATCACGATGATGCTGCCAAGGATGCACCACCACAGTTTCTTGTACATCATCGCCTTCACTTTCTGCTTGCGGTCAATCAAGTCCTTCATGGTGGCGTTCAGTGAGTTCAGCGTCCAGACATAGAAAGCAGTCAATGTTCCCGCGAGTGGCAGAACAATGAGCAATACCAGTGGACCGGCGCTGTCAGGAGTGATAGATAGACTTGCAACAGCATAGATCACAGCGAAGACGAAATGGGTGATGGCGAGAACGCGGACATAGATCATAGTTCGTCCGAGCGAAGGTTTCACAACGCCGTATCCCATGCACACGATAAGAAGGAGGAAGAACGAAAAGGAGTTGCGGCCTGCATTTAGGACGGCTACTATAACCATCAGCGCTTTCGCGCCGGCATTCAAGCCGTGCACATTTTGATATTCTAAACAAGGTTAGCGAAGCATGGGGATCGATACGGCTGGGTCCGGCATACCATAAAATCCCCAGGTCATCGCCTGCTCGACGATCAAGAAGACCAAAATCGCAGTAATGTAATTTTGCACGGGCACTGTCCAATGTCAGTCAAAGTTTGACATCCTGGCAGATTGTTGACTTACAGATATCGTGACGATTCTGCACGTAGAGGAAAGCCCAGAACCTATTACCATCAGCTGATTGCCTCAAAGAACGATATGGTCTCGAGAAACATACGCTCCAACCACAGCATAGACAATGGTCAAGCCACCATAGAATGGCAGCTTTGCAATTTGTGCCGCTGGGAGCTCTCCATACGAATTCCTAAATTCCACAACGGCCTTGTAGTCGGTCCCGGAGTATCCGTATGTGCTCACACAGTAGAATCCGGTCTTCTTGATCGGATAATTGATGGCGGTCGGATTGTTGAGATGCACGGCTTGGGTAATGATGGGGAACTTGGCGGCTTCGGTAGCGTTCGCAGCGAGGATAAACGAACCAATTTGATCTTCCTTGCACAGATCTGCCTGAACACTGGCTTCATCGCAGATGGTTTCGATCACCTAGAAAGCATTGGTTGATCAGATGATGTCCACTCGAAAGCCACTCTCCGGCCGGGGAGACATACATCGGAATCGCCAGGTACAGGCCGCCCGATGAGGTTCTCATCAGTCCATTCGAAAATCACCAGGCTGACAATGGGATCACTGTCGCCAGCGCTCGAGTCTTGGACAAACTTTGTCAGGATAAAGGGGTCTACGCTTCCACCCCATGCTTTGCGGCTGTACATTCCCGAGCATCGCTGCCGACTGGCTTCATCTTGTGTCTAGAAAGCGCCCAAGATTAGAAGTGAGCGATGGAGACTGTGGAGGACGAGGACAAACGCACCAATGCAACTTCATTTGCAAGGACATGTCCCGCAAATAAGGCAGTTAAGCCCAGAGTCTGAAGCCACCCTCTCATTCTGACCATAAATAGGAGCTAACCGGTGGGTTACTGCCAATACAGAGCTCCGGATTCGCCGAGCGCAGAAGATGGAAGTACGGTTTTAAAGCATATGAAGGTACAACAGCGTGAAGAAGTCGGACTGTCAGAGATCAAGAGAGGAGAAAACAAGACAACTCCCAAGGACAACCGACAGTTGGTTGCGTATAGCTTTCGGAGAGAATGTGAATTGTACAGCGATCGCACGAATTCGTGGCTACAACCTGAAACCGGGGAAGCCGCGCGTGTTGACGGTCCCGCCGATTGAGGATTATCTAAGCCCGTGCTGCCACTAGAAGAATTTCTGCCTCCTAATCGGCTTCCCGCTACGCTACTCTGATTGTCTGCTTGTCAATCAATCACCGCATTTGAACCCGATCGTCTCACTCACTAGGACGATTTTACAACATGCCAGGCAAGGAGATCCCAGATCGCTGCATGAACTGCCGCGAGGCGCAACCTGCCTTCATTCTGCGCAGCCGTCATGTCTGCCAGTAAGTCTTCCGGATTGCATTTGGTTTGAGAGTGGCGCCGCCCGCAGTGACTGACAGAAAGTGCCCCTCTTCTAGGGACTGTTATATACGCTTTGTGAAGTACAAGCCCTTCAAACGAACAGAAAACTATCGCCTTAGGAGGAACATGCCCCAAGATGGACCCTGCAAACTCTTACTTCCCCTCTCCTACGGCCTGTCATCTACAGTCATGCTGCACATGTTGCATGAGCAAGTCGAAACCATGCGACTCAAGCCCCATGGCCCCAAGGGCTATGAGCTTCTCGTCCTAACCATCGATCCGTCAACCATAAACCCTTCTATCCCTCCGCATGAGGAAGCCTTCAGTCTGGCTGAGAAGCAATTCCCTCACTGCTCCTTCACGACCGTTCCTTTCCACAGCATATTTGATTACGATCCCAGTATCGCCGAAGTCATGTCACTGTATGCGCACGCAAATTTCGAGGATCAGACTTCATTGTCAAATCAGGAGCGCCTTGAGGCTTTTCGCTCATCTATCACAAGCGCAACCTCAAAAGCGGACGTCGACAACATCCTTATTAATCGGCTTATCGTCGCGTTCGCAAAGAAAATGGAGTGTCGAGGCATAGTATGGGGAGATTCAGACAGCAAACTGGCTGCTAAGACTCTTGCGAATGTTGCAAAGGGCCGCGGCTCCGCCGTGACCTGGCAGGTCTGCGATGGGATGTCTCCATCTGGACTCGAGTACAACTTCCCTCTTCGGGACTTGTTCACTGTCGAATTGCGCAACTATGCTAGCTTCATCCCAGAACTTTCTGACCTCATTATTCCCCATCAAGCGGTTTCGGAGAATACGCTCACGAAGAATCTGTCAATTGACGAGTTGATGGTTCGGTACGTTCTCACACAGGGTGAGAAGTACCCTGGTGTGATGTTGAATGTGACCAGAACAGCAAGCAAACTACAGTCCCCCAGCGCTTCCCCTGCCGAACAGCAATGCAGCCTTTGCGGAGCTCTTATGTTCAAGACGAATGCAACATCGCCACAGGCCACAGGCCAGCACTCGGACAGCTTATCGTCCCAGATATGCTATGCATGTGCTCGATCTCGACCTGAAATAAGTTGCTAAGAGTCGGCAGTGCAGACATCAAATATGATTGTACGCGGTATCTAACATTATACTATTCTTGCGAATATGGTCATTCAGTCTGTCTCTGCATCCGTCATGTAAGCTGACACGCTGCTCATTCTCAGCGCCTAGCGGATCGCGAGTTGTCGACGACTCCGCTTTCGAGATCGTCATCCTCGAGGGCTGCGCCGCCAAACCATCTTCTCTGCGACCGATTTCTTCGTGGATGTCGTGCTGGTTCGGGCACCGCGGGACCATCAGTCCTGGAGTGCTTCCTGCTCCTATGTCTCCTCGGTTCTTCTATGGCGCCCTTGTCGTAGCGGTCGAATTCTTCGGGGAGACTGGCGTCTTCGGGTGCATCGTGTCTTCCGCCATGCTTTGAGAGCGCCTTAGCCCCCTTCTCTCGCAGATGCTTTTCTAGAAGCACGGCATTTCGTGTGTTGCACTTATAGACGGCATCTGCAATGTCACCCACAAAAGGCACAAGTCCTATGAAGAAATCGATCACCACATTGATCATCATCATCATGCGCAGGCTTGCAGGAAGACCTCCATCGATGCCCTCGCAGGTCCGAACGACCATCAAGGCGAGTGCTGCATCGGCAGCATCTCCGGCACTAGTGTACTCGGCGCGTTAGCTTCTGCCTGTCAGCTTCGGTGCCGTCACCGAAAGGACTTACAAAGGAATTAGCCCAATCACACTTCCCCATCCAAACCTTATCCCACACAAATTGAAAAGACTATAGTCTAGTCGATATGCTCTTCTTTTGACTTGGGTCAGAACTTTCTGGTCATGGTCTGATAATCCTGGTGGTATCGCTTTGCGCCTCTTCTGCGTCTTTTTGCCGAAGGCTCGTCCTAGGCGGGAGGCAGGGACTTCTTCAAAGTATGGATCCTGCCACAACGCAACGCTTGTTAGCTCGTGGCTGTGATAGACTTTCTTTGTGCAAGTAGAAAAAGATATTTTACCTCTTGACCAAAGTGGTTTCTGGCCGTTTCGCCTAAGATCCTTTTGCCAACCAGCGATGCAATCTTGGTCGTCATGGCTGATGATGGGTACTTTTGATTCCACAATAAATGTCTGTGCAGTGGAGTCTTGGTTGCAAAACCTAGAAGGTTTGCCAGCAGAGGGTGTCTCGGGTTATTTGTCAAAACTCTTTCATACAATGACCCGCACAGACCCAAGTTCACTCTTGTGAATTCTCCTAAGTGTGTTCTTATGCTCAGTCGAAGAAGGAGGTCAGCAGGTTTAAGAAGCTTGTTGTAACCAGTCATTGACTTCAACGTCGATCGACGCGAGGCACGAGCATCCTCCGACGTCATCGGCTGTCCTTCGACCCTGTTACGTAATCCCTCTTGAATTGCAGAACACGGCACCAGCCACACCACCACATGTCATACCGTAGTATCATTGTGTAACTGCGCCACAGCGTGTGGCGCGTGACCGAGTGGCGCCCCCTCCCCGGGCATTATTGATCCCGTCTCCTCGGACTTGTTGGTGCTGACCGAGCTCTCCTCCAACCTGATCAGGCCGTCGTCGGGTGTCGAGCTGAGAGAGTCACCTTTCCTAGTCTATCCTTTATCATTTGCTCCCCCTATTAGCTTCATTCCTGGTGATCAAGCCATTGATTCGCCTCTATTCCTGTTTCACTCACTTTCACCAAAGTACGCTTCAGGGGTGGCGCTCTGCCAAGCACCCTTCCTTGAAGCTGCAGCCGCGCTGTGCTGTCTCCTCCACCTCTCTGTCTAGCGCTCTCTCCGATTCATCTGGAGAGCCATCTATCTATACTTACCTCTGCTGAGATGCTAAAACACGTTTTTCAGTATGATAGAAACAAAAATGCAGTTGGAAGACTGTGAGTTCGGCTGTGACGCGCAGTCTGCTGCGCCGCCTCTGACATGACTGATGCTGACACGGTGGTTCCCCCAGGGCTGGATGATTTATGTGTCCGCTTTATCATCAACCTACCACGTGAAGAACTTGAATCTGTTGAACGCATCTGTTTTCAAGTTGAAGAGGCACAATGGTTCTACGAGGACTTTATCCGGCCGCTCGATCCGGCTCTTCCGTCGTTATCCTTGAAAGCATTCGCATTGCGCATCTTTCAGCACTGTCCTTTGATGTCGCAATGGTCGCACTATCACCACATCACCGCCTTCTCCGAGTTCTTGGCTTACAAAACCCGTGTGCCCGTTCGCGGAGCCATCATGCTGAACCAGGAGATGGACGAGGTAGTCCTAGTCAAAGGCTGGAAGAAAGGTGCTAACTGGAGTTTTCCGAGAGGCAAAATCAACAAGGGTGAGAAAGACATCGACTGTGCAATCCGTGAAGTCTACGAGGAGACCGGCTATGATATACGCGAGGCGGGACTTGTTCCGGAAGAGAAGGATGCCAAATATATCGAAATTACCATGAGAGAACAGCACATGAGGCTGTACGTCTTCCGCGGAGTGCCACAGGACGCCCATTTCGAGCCTCGTACCAGGAAAGAGATTAGCAAGATCGAGTGGTACAAGCTATCGGAGTTGCCGACACTCAAAAAGAGCAAGCAGCAGGAGCAAGGACTGGTTGTGGCTAATGCAAACAAGTTCTACATGGTCGCGCCTTTCATGCACCCGCTGAAGAAATGGATTGCCCAGCAGAAGAAAGCAGACATCAAGTCGCACCCCGGAGCCAGGCACCTTGTGCAGACCGAGGGAGAGCTGTCGATGGATGAGGCACCCCAGGCTATCAATGGCTTCACGCCTAGCCAGCTTCCTGCCCAGCTGGTCACCCCGAGTGATTTGCCGGAACTTGCATCATCTCAAGATGCTTCGTCTCATCTCAAACGCCTCTTGAACATCAACGGCCTTGTTCCTGCCCAGGATAATTCTGCGAATGTAGCCACCGCTGCGGACAATGGGACCATCACTTCGAAGTCCAATGCCTTGTTGGAACTCCTCAGGAGTGGCTCGTCGCAAGAAGCTCTTCCGCAAGCCCCTGGACTCGACAAGGCTCTGCCGCCACTCGCTATTCCAGATGGCCCGCCGCCAATGGGACCACCGTACCCTGACACGGCCTCTTTCCCTGGATTCCCTCAGCAAAGTCAACATTTGCGAGGCCCTGTGCCCATGAATCCTGTGCAATTTCCGCAGACTCCAGTATCTCGTGCACCAGCCTCGAACATTGGTGTACCCCCGCTTGCTCGACCACCTCATGTGGGTCATGCAGGTGCACCACCTGGGTATCACGGAGTGCCGCCGTTTTTCGAGCAGATGCTCTCGAATCCTCCAAGGTACGATCCTGTGCAAGCAAGCTTGCCCACGGCGCCGCAACCTGGCCCTGCTCCATACCAACGAACGGGAGATCCCCAATTCTCTCATTCAGCCCAGGCGCCCAAAATTCAGGGCGCGACTGTGCCTCCTGCCAGCAAGCTTCCACCGCCAAAGCTTACGAGTCACTCTCTTGCTTTGTTGAACGTGTTCAAAGACGACTCTCGCCGGACACCCAAAACATCTAATGCGAGCCTAGTCCCAGTAGCGGAGAAGGTCGAGCATCGTGACAGGCGGCCATCGCAACATCAGGATCAACTCCTAAGCTTGCTGAGAGGGTCTTCTGGCCCTCCAACCCCGGGGCCAGCGGAGTTGCCAGCCCAGTCTGTCTCTCCGCCCAGGAAACAGATTCTTCAACGACCTCGTGGGGAGCACAGTCCCGCCCGGCATCCGGCAGGTCATCGAAGAGTACCATCGGCTACGAAAGATTCGCGGCACTCTTCCGCACTTCCCAGTCCCTTATCAGGCATGCCTCAGCCTATGGCAGCATCCAAGCCTTCTCCTAAAAGAGGAATCAATGGATCAAATCGCAGAAATAAGAAACTCGAGCAGGCGCAAACGCTCGCGTCGCCTATCACGATATTGCCCAGGCCACAATCTGCTAAGAAGGGACCGGGCCCGCTGCCGGCATCCTCACAGTCATCTCGGGCTCCTTCGCGCAACCGCGCAGCAAAGTCGGGGACTCCGGAGCCGGCAAAGCCATTCCAGCCACAAATTCTTCGCCGCTCCGATAACGCGAACATTGTGGAGCTGTTGCCTTTGAAAGCTCAGGTGAACGAGCAAGACCAGCAGCAAGCGGGAGCTCCGCCTGCCATTCCCAGACGGGAGTCGCAGCCTCAAGTGAACTTTGACCGCCGCCCAAGTCAGACGCCTGCCCAAAGAGAAGCCTTGCTGTCACTCTTTGGGAAAGCATCTGCCTCGCCCGGAGTTTCACCTGCCGAGCTTAGCACATCGGCACCAAAGACCGCGGGTGCCTCTGGTGTCGTTAGCCCACTCACGCCATTGAATATTACTGCCGCATCCCCTTTTGGAAGTGGAGCGGAGGATGGCCAATTCTCTCTTTCGAGCCGGGTCGCTTCGCCTGACAACAAGGCATTCTTACTTGGTTTTCTTGAAGGTGTTGCCAAAGGCAATAAATAACCTCACTCAGCTCGCTGAACCCCGATGTGGGTCAGGATCAATTAGATAGTTTTAGGACTCAATTTAGCGACTGCCAACGTCAAGCTTTTGAGTTATTTCCCTGCTTAATATGAAACGTGCTTATTCTCGGTTGTAATCGACCACTATTTACAGTGTTAATCATGTATGACTCTCAATCAGTGACTGGCTGTTCGGCTGCGGCAATACCGCGGAATTATGTCATGGCCGTCAATTATTCTGCCTGTCCATACCGCCTAATCAGCGGATAGCAGCAGCCTACCGTATCTACACATTTCTAAGCCGAGCAAGGACAAGGACCGAAGTCAGCGTCACCCCGCAAAAGGAAGAATGATGCTGTCCAATCCCTCACGTACGGTGTGCGCCCGCTGCATCAGGCGCGGCCGACACTTCTATACGACCGTCCATCACGGTGCTCAACCGCGCAGCGATCATGGGAATCCCGCTCCCCCGCCCGAAGCCGGCTATACTCGACTCACGAACAGAGGCCTCATCTCCGTCACGGGGCCCGACAGCACCTCGTTCCTGCAGGGTCTGGTCACCCAGAACATGGTCAAACAGAGCGCCGAGGGCAAGGGCTCCTACGTCGCTTTCCTCAACTCGCAGGGCCGCATCCTGAACGACGCCTTCATCTACCCGAACCCCGAGAAAGACGCCGCCGCTTCCTCCGCCGACCCCAGCTGGCTCATCGAAGCGGACGCCGCCGAGCTCCCCGCGCTCCTGAAGCACCTCAAACGCCACAAACTCCGCGCCAAGCTGCAGCTGCGGGCGCTCGACCCCACCGAACGCACCGTCTGGGCCTCGTGGAAGCAACACCACGGCGACGGCCGCTGGGCCGCACACAGCCTGGGCGATTCCGTCTCGGAGTCGTCCGGGGCAGGAGCAGCATGGCGCGCGGACGCCAACATCACAGGGTGCGTGGACACACGAGCCCCGGGGTTCGGGCTGCGCCTCGTCACGCCCGGCGACGCGGACCTGCGCGCGCACTTCGCGCGCCAGCTCGAGGAGGCGGGCGCCCACGAAGCCAGCCTGGGGTCCTACACGGTGCGGCGCATGCTGCGCGGCGTGGCCGAGGGCCAGGCGGAGATCCTGCGCGCCGCCTCGCTGCCCCTCGAATGCAACATGGACCTGGCCCAGGCCATCGATTTCCGGAAGGGCTGCTACGTCGGCCAGGAGCTGACCATCCGCACCCGCCACACCGGCGTGGTCCGCAAGCGCATCTTGCCGGTGCAGCTGTATGCGGACGAGTTACCCGTGAGGGAGGGAGAGGGGGCCAGTGGCGGCCCGGTTTATGATCCCTCAGCAGACGAGGGGCTGGCGCCCCCCGCCGGCGTGCAGGGCTTGGATATTTCCAGGGTTGGCCCGTCCAAGGGCCGCAGCGCCGGCAAGTTCCTGGCCGGCGTGGGCAATGTCGGGCTTGCGCTGTGTCGCTTGGAGATGATGACGGATGTTGCGCTCTCGGCTGAGGGGTCGACGCAGTATACCCCGGACCGGGAGTTTAAGATTAGCTGGGACGCGGCGGAGGGTGATGGGTCGGAGGGGTCGGAGGGGGAGAAGGTTCGGACCGTCAAGATTAAGGCGTTCGTGCCGCCGTGGACGAGGGAGTACATCGCTTCCGGCACGCAGCAGGCTCGTGCTCGTGATCCGATTCGCGAGGGCCAGAGGGCAAGGGAGCTTGCTGAGCGGTTGGCGGCTGAGGAAGAGGACGCTCGACTGCATGAGTGATTTACGCATGTGTCCACGGTGCTGAGAAGATGTACAGAAGTGTATGTATGATAAATGATGATGTGTAATTTAGATAGACGGCTAGGTCAAGCGGATAAATCTGTTTGTATGGGTGTCGTAAATCTTTAACATGGGTATCTCTATGCTACAGCAGGAAACTTTCTATATACAACAAGACCAGGCGATTTCAGGGGTCCACCAACAACGCATTGTGTGGCCGAGATGCGACCGACCTTAGGAGGCTTGGGCAGCGGCAGCCTCTGCAGCATCGGCGGCTTCGTCTTCCTTTCTCAGTTGCTCTTCCAGAGCTTTGCGTTCTTTCTCCCGCTGGGCGTTCCGCAGTCGCATCAAGGTCAACTCTTCTAAGCTCGGGGCATTCGATCCATTTGTAGCGCCAGCAGTAGGGGCAGGCCTCGTGGAACTGGCGGCCGCGGAGGCAAAGGAACCGAAAGAGGGCGCCTTTGCGGGACCTTTGGCAGCACTACCCGTACCTGCCGCTTTCAACCCGGCGAAATTGAACGAGGGTTTGGGGGGGGCTGCTGGTGTAGGAGCGTTGTCTGCTGCTGAGCTGGGAGCGGACGACGAGGTGCCGTTCGACGCCTCCGGCCCGAGCTCAGGCTGAGCACCCGATGCCCAGAAGACCGACTCAACGACCGACCAGTCACTGCCAGCGTCGTTGCTTGCCTGCTTCTTCTTCTTCTCACTATCCAGAACCGCAGCGTGAGCGCTGACGATGGAGGCGAAGATGACCACGCCGGTCGCGACGGTCTTCTTCTCCCGCTTGTCCCCCAAGCGCTGCCTCTTATCCTTGAGAAGCAGGACATTCTCGACCTTGCCAAACGGCGCAAAGAGCGCCCTCAAGCGCTCCGCATCCAGATCCAGCCCGCGGCCCTCACGCACCCAACGCACCTTCACCCCGCGCTCCAACTCCGGGACATTCGTGCCGCCGCCTTCCCGCGACCGGTCCACCTTCTGCGAGCTCCGATCCGCCGCCTTTCGGGCTTCCTCCTCCTCCAGCCGCATCAGCTTCTCCTCCTCCTCCATCTCCAGCTTGATCTTCTCCTCCGCCTCGCGTCGCCTCCGCCGCCCATCCTCCGCAATGCGATCGATCTCCCTCTGCAACTTGGCTTCTGCGTCATCATCCCCCTCCGCCGCCGTCGTCCCCATCCACGACCTCTTCACCCCCCGCTGCTGCTGCTGCTGCATTCCGGCAGCTGCCGCGCCCGCGCGCTCCCTGGCCTCCAGATCCTCACGCATCTTCCGCTTCGCCGAATCCATCATCTCGCGCTCGCGCTGCTTGCGCTGGCGCGCCTCGCGCGCGTTGTCGTAGAGCTGCCGCACCGCGGGGTCGGAGAGCACATCGTACGCGATCTGCAGCAGGTGGAACTTGTCGATGTCGGCCGGCGTGGGGTTGGCGATCTTGTCCGGGTGGTACTTCAGCGCGGTGCGGCGGTAGGCCCGTCGAATCTCGGTCTCGGCTGCTGCGGGGGAGATGTCAAGGAGCGCGTAGAAGTCCTCCGTTGAGGCCGCGTGGGCTTTGAGGTCGTCCTTGGAGGAGGACATTGTGGTGGTTTGGTGTGCTGTTGAGTTTTGGGGGGGGCGGAGTGGGAGGCTGTGAGGTATTAGGGGGAATGTGGATGTAGAAGAAGAAGGTTAGAATAAAGGTAAGGCGCGTCGGACTGTTGCGCATACGTTGGGCGTGGTGAGCCTCTGGTGGGGAGATGGTTGAAGGTTGGGGAATGTAAAATGACGGTGGAATAATTGTTTGGCGGAGCGGAAGTCGCTGGCGGTGGCGGATAGTAAGCGGCCGTGAAGTTAGTTACTGCTACTAACGTACTCTGCGCTACGTAAATCTATATTAAGCAACACATGGTTTTGGTGAATTCTCATTCAATTCTTGTCGTCTCTTGGTTTGTATAATAGCTTGATTGACTGATTGTCCTTGCATCCCATTCGCTCGACTCGTGAGAAGGCTGTGTCGTCTCTGGTGCGGTTGTTTGTTACGGTTCTGTGGTACTATATACATATGTATTGTCGCTGAAGTACCACTCGCCTGCGGTGCAAACAAATCATTCAGTGCATTCAGAATATCTTGGCCATAACGAGAATGTAATGGGCCTGCATAGCATACTAATTATTGTGCTTGTTAATCCTTCAGTTAGTAAGTACCTTTTCGTGATTGCCGCTTTGGGTGAAATGCTCTATGCCCGGCTCCTTCCCGTTTCAGATGCTCTGCTTGACCGGTGCGATGCGATGCTTCAGACCACAAGCATTCGACACGGTGATTCTTTACCATATAAAATGCCGTCAATGTATAGGCACATGCTCCGTCATTTACTTTGAGATCTAGCAGCTTCATTGTTGCTTTTTGCGACGCCGAGCCCATCAGCCAGGATGGCCGACAGCACTATACCATCACCTTCGCAGTTGGCGCTCGCGCTGGCCATCGTCAAGCAAAAGCCACTCGGAACCACCATGAAAGGTAGCCATCGACGCTCCCTGGCCGAGTTAGTCAAGTTGAGGATGTACTGAGCAACAATCAGATTACTTTACTCGCATTCGGCAGTTCATCAAAGCAGTCACGCCGACAGACCGACCCACAAGCCGAGACCAGTTCTTTGACAGTGTCGCATTCTGGCAGAAGGCGTACGAGACATCCGAAGCCGAACAGAGCAAGCTCCTTGACCGGATATACGAGCTGGAACAACGCAACGAAGTGCTTACCACCAAATTACACGGCTCGAATGCTGTCTCGAAAGACATGGCACAGGAACCCACGAAGCGGAAGGCGACCTTAGATGCTAGCATGGCTGGCACTAATACTTCAAGGAAGAAGCCCAAATCACAGACGCTGTCACAGAGCAGAGCCTGTATGCTGACTGAGAATACCTCCACTGGGCGGGACGGTCAGGTACTTGAGTACCTTGAGGAGCGTAAGCTTACTCCTGTCATATCTTTGGCCATACACAATGCTGAGGAAGATTCGTACAGCTACAGCATCATTTATGAGGAGGTTCTACACTCTGCAGAAGTTGTTGCAGCGAAGTACCAATAATCCAGCTATTGCGCATGCTGCAGGTGAACTATGCTCCGTCGCAGAAAATGATATACTCCGTGCAGTCCAACAGCAAGCTGGTCCCAGTGCGGAAGGAATAGATGCATCTGTCGCCAAGAATCCAAGTGTATCGGCGATTTTGAACAGTATATACAGCGCCTATCAGCTACTGCTGAAAGCTTTGAAGAAGGTTCCTTCAACCGAATCAGCAGTGCAAGTTCGTGGCCAGGTCATTTTCCACATTGTTCGACTGTCCGAGACAGTCATCAAAGCGTTGAGTACCCATTGCCGATTCAATGCTAAGCAGCAACGTTCAACTGCGGCGTCAGCGACCAAATCGAGGTCCTCTGCGAGGTCAAAAAGGTCCAAGAAAGTCCATTCGAACGATAAGACCCCGTCAAGCACGAATGATGAGGTTGCCCAGCTGATGAGTCTGCTACTTTGCAGAATGGCTCTTTCACTGGACAAGACATGCTCAAAGACCTCAGACCTACGAAACGGTTTTAGCTACGTGTTGCTCAGCCGTGTTGGCGAGTTACTTTGTTTATTTGTCTTCAAAGACCTCCATCTGCAATCCGATCTGGAAGGAGATCCTGCTAATTTGTCACTCCCACATGGCCTAGAGGATGTGCAGCTTGACGAGGAATCCGTCCTAGCTGCTGAGATAGAGGCCAAACATCTCATACCACCCCTCGAAAGACTACTCGCCGTACTGAGTCCACCGTTGTTGCCTGGGGAGCTTCACTGTGCGGCGGGAATCAAAGGAAGACTGCAAAGCACTCTTCTGCAAGCGGTATTTGGCCAAGACTCAAGATTCGGCGAAGCTTTGCGCCCACTCCACCATGACGATACTTTGAACATCTCCCTCAGCACGGCGCCTATCCCTGAGCAATCTGTATCGGAATGGTTTGTTCAAGAAACTTGGAGACTTCTCGGTTGGGACTTGGTGGCAGGTCCAACATTGGGTGGATAATGTCTCTGGTGTGGACTATATCATATCATAAAGCTACTATATCTTACGCAATATAGCTTGTGGCACGTATAGCTACCAACTGAAGATGCACCTTTACAGAATCAGAATCCTACAGGCACACGAACCCCCCCTTTCATTGTTGCAGAGATGTCTGAAACTTATTTTAGCTTTAAAATGCGAGCCGCGTTGTCTCCCAAGACCCCTGCAACGGTCTCACCCTCACCATCGAAGGCGGCATGAATAGCCTTATAGTTTGTGGTTACGCTTGGCCATTCCTCGTCATCCTTACCAAGAGGGGGAAAGAACGGATGGTCAGTTCCTATCCAAAGTCAGCAATGCCGAATGACCAACGAAGATTTCGAAATCCATACCAAAGAGTAGACGATCCGCACCACCGGCCGCAGTTACCGCGGCTTTCAGGCCTGCAGTACCGTAGACCACCGCATCCAGATAAATGTTGGTATTGAGGACATCCCAGACACTTCTTTGCGGACCAGGTACTTCACCTCCGTTAGCAACGAACTTGCGCTCATGCAGGATGCAACTCTCAATGCGCCCCGCCAGGAAGGGCAGCGTGCCCCCGGAGTGCGCCAACAGGATCTTCAGCCCCGGAAACCGATCGAAAACGCCCGCCAGAAACATCCGCGTCACAGCGATGGTCGTCTCCAGCGGGAACCCCAGGGCGAGGGGCAGGACATGGCCGTAGCGGTTCATCGCCTCGGGGCCGCCGAAGGCCTCGTCGGGGAGTCCGTAGTGCGGATGGAGAAACAAGAGGGAGTCGGTCTCCTGCAGCGCCTGCCACACGGGGTCCAGTCGGCCATCGTCCAGCCCCCTCCCCAAGCCGGTCGTGCCCATGATCACGCCCCGCAGATGCGGCAGCGTCTTGATTCTCTGAATCTCCCGGACGACCACCTCCGCGCGCGGCGCACTGAGCGGCAGCGCCCCGAACGCATACAGCGTCTCCTTCTCGTGCAGCGCCCGCGTGTTCTCGGGGTCTGCGGCGCGGTTCACGCGCGCGCAGGTGGCCTCGAGGTCGTCGTTGATGCGCTCCGCCCAGGTCTGCGCCTCCTCGGGCGCCAGGAAGTCCAGCCACGGGTTGGCTAGCGAGATCACGCTGCTGTTGATGCCGTGGCGGCGCATGAAGGTCAGCTTGACCTCGATGTCGGAGTAGGAGGCGTCCACGGGTCGGCCGCGCTGGTCGAGCGGAGTGGATGCGTCGTCGTCCGACGAGAGGATGATCAGCCGCGGGGTCGCGCCGTCGGCTGGGTCGTGGACGTAAGGTACTGTCTTGCGGGCTCGGAGCATTTGCATGTACGCCGGTGGGTAGACGTGGGTGTGGATGTCGACGATGAGAGGCGCCATGGTTGTGGTTTGGGTAGGGTTGTCGAGCTTGAAGGTGAAGTTGAAGTTGAGTGCTGTAGCAGTGGCTAGCGGGTTGGAAGTTGGAAATGAAGGTTGGGGATGGAATGGAGGGGCAGAGGTGATGAAGTGAGGGGAAAGACGCACATGGCTATGTTGATACTTCAGTTACTTCATCCTGCATGACGATGACTTATCAGATACTCTTGCCAGCAGCCAGCAATCATCTCCTTAATCTCTTCTGCAACGATAATCTGTCCAGAGGATTGATTATCTTGTGTCTGTTCTGCAGCGTACACTTCAGATCTCAAGGACCATCTATCTTATCTTGGAATTCAGTACTTACTTATCTGCATATCGCCCCCCTCCCACGATCAACTGTCAGGTCTTATCTTTCCCCGCCATTTCCAACAGGTCGTAAGGGACTCCGTGTGTACAGTACAGTGACCCCCGATATGGTTTCCCCATGTGGTGCCATGCAGGCTCAGGCCCATTCATTCATTGTTCTTTGCTGCTGCTCTCCGCCCCCCTCTTCTTCCTCTTCCTTGGTTCTGCGCGCGGATAAGAACAGTAGTGATCTCACTGCTTCCCTCCATCCTCCATGTGACTTTCGATCCCCCGCCACGTCTTCTGGGATATCTACACTGATATCAAGCGATTCATACTCGCCCTTTTTTTCTATCGTTAGCATTCCCTTTCCAGCTGAAATCTCCTAGACCTCTACGTCTGCGATCAGTATGGAAGGCAACCTGCCGCAACAGCAGTGTCACCCTGTAACCACGGCCATCGAGAAAGATGACCTCGTGATTCCAGTGAGTAGCCACTCGCTTCTTCGCTTCTTCGCCTCCTTGAGTATCGGTTGCGCGACGAGAATGTGAGCCTCAACCACGTTCATCCTCGCTAATGGAGGACCGGCTACTTGTAGATCATCGACTTCGGACCCTTCCTGCATGGGACCCCCGCCGACAAACACGAAGTCGCCATGTCCGTCGTGCACGCCTTCAAGACCTCCGGGTTCCTCTATCTCAGCAATCACGGCGTGCCCCCGTCCGTGGTTAGCCACGTCTTTGGCACCTCCGCCCGGTTCTTCGCGCGGCCCCAGGCTCAGAAAGACAGCCTGTGCTGGACGACCCCACAAGCGAACCGCGGTTACGTGAAGACGGGCCAAGAGAAGCTCCGCACGGTAGAGGAGGGCGATAACGATGATGATGATGATGATGACGACGTCGCCGAGTCGCGCAGCATCCCCGACCTCAAAGAGACGATGGAGATCGGCCGGGAGGGCGTGGCGGGGCTCCCGAATCGCTGGCCGGAGCACCTCGACGCGGCGGGGCAGGACTTCAAGGCAGTGATGCTGTCGTTCTTCGAGCGGTGCAAGGCGCTGCACACCGCGGTCATGCGGGCCATCGCGCTGGGCATGCACCTGCCGGAGCACTACTTCGACTCGTCCGTCGACGCCGGCGACAACAACCTCCGCCTGCTGCACTACCCGGCCGTCGACAAGCGCGTCTTCCGCGACAACCCCCTGCAGGTCCGCGCCGGCGAGCACAGCGACTACGGCTCCATCACCCTGCTCTTCCAGGACGGCCGCGGCGGCCTCCAGGTCCGCAGCCCCCGCGGCACCTTCGTCGACGCGACCCCCGTCGCCGATACCGTGGTCGTCAACGCCGGGGACCTGCTGGCCCGCTGGTCGAATGACACGATCAAGAGCACGCGACATCGCGTCGTCGAACCGCCCAGGGTCGTTGTCGAGGATGATAAGGATGATAAGGATGATGAAGATACTGGGGTGTATCCGGATCGTTACAGCATCGCGTACTTCTGTAATCCCAATAATGACCAGATGATCGAAGCCATCCCGGGAACCTACGGGGAGGATATCCGCCCGCTCAAGTACCCTGGCATCACCGCGGGAGACTACCTCGTGCAGCGACTGACCGCAACCTACTGATTGGTGTTTCATCATGATGACCTGGCGTTCGGAAGGAGTATGGGATCTTTGGCTTTTCCATCAGTTTGACATCGTGACACCGTGTAGCAGGACGATAAATACCGCGACTTGAGCGCCGTTGCATTGGACGATTTGAACAGAAGCTTTGGTATGGAGGGCTTGTATTCGAGGTCGCTTGACATTCTATTTCTAAGATCTAGCATTTCATCGTATCTACGCGCAAGACTTGAGCTATGTGCAATAGCTTCCTCTCCCTAACTACTAATATGTGCATGGGACCGCGCTCACTCGGCCTCCGTCGGTTATCGTGATGTTGCCGTTGAGATATGCGCCCGAAGGGCCGGCCATCCACAGAATCAAACTGGCCATATCCTGCTCGCTACCGGCACGCGTAAGGGGGATGATGTCGCGGGGGAAAGAGCCGTCAGAGATGCCCTGGTCGCCGTCCTGGAAATTCATGGTCGACATCTCCGAGAGATACAATCCCGGCGCAATGCCGTTCACGCGGATGTCGTACGCGGACAGCGTGGTGGCGAGGATCTTGATCAGCTGGTTCGTCGACGCCTTGGAGAGGTTGTAGGCGACGCTGAACGGCACGCGGCGGTTGAAGCCCGCGATCGAGCTGGTGATGATGACCTGGGCGGTTGGGGCGGACGCCTTGTTCTTCTCCGGCGCCGGCCGGCGCCGGTTGGCCGCCTCCAGCAACGGCAGGAAGGCGAGGACCGTGAAGTAGGCGCCCGTGACGTTGACGTCGAACACCTGCGAAAACTCCTCCATGGACGCGGACCACAGCTGCTCGCGCACCTCAGACAGGCTGGGCAGCGATCCGTCCGGCTTGGGCCCCGGCGGCCGGTTCACCGGCCCCAAGATCCCGCTGTTCGCGATCAGCAGGTCAACATGGCCCGTCTGCGCGGCCACGGCCTCGTAGGCCGTCTGGAGGGATGCCTTGGACGAGATGTCGGCCTGGATGGGGATGATGGCCTCCGGCTTGGAGCTCTGCGCCGCCGTCGCCTGCAGTGCTTCTTGGCGGCGCCCGATGATGAAGACCTTGGATGCTCCGTTCTCGGCGAGCGTGAGAGCCATGATCCGGCCCAGTCCTGCCAGGAGAACAGTACTGGTGAGTGGCAACGTCCTGATCACATCCTTCCTGGCGGAAGAGCTGGAGGGGACTCACCACTACCACCCCCCGTGATGACGACCACTAGGCCCTCAACGGAGAATAACTCCGCGACTCGAAGATGAGACATGTTGCAATGGCTGGATTATGGTTCTGGAAAATAAGACTGTATGGCTGTTTTGCGCAATGGGTTGCAGAAGTACTGTGCAGTGAGTCGGGTGAGTGAATATACTCGACATACCACCGAGGATGCGGGGTAAGTGGTAAGTGTGTTCGTTGCTCCTAAACTCCATGGAGCTGGGTGTCTCGGCCGGATCCGATCACGTCACACAGCCTATTGTTCCTAGCGATCGTTCATTGTGCTTCTGTCGTTCGCAACCATCGGCATCGCCGCCATTGTCGAACCACAACTGCTCACCTGGCCATGGCTTCCAACTCTGAGCCGTGGCTGTCAGGAACAGCCTTGGCGGAAGCGTGGAGGCTGGAGAGAACAAGAAGATTCCCGAACGGGCCCGGTGGGAAAGCCGGAGGTGACGCCGCCAGGAGGTCACACCTCACACTTGCCTCATCCGGCCTCGGCGATGAATGCATCATCTTCCACCTTTTTTTCCCACTACCTCAGTTCCACCATTCGACTCTATTGTAACGCCGCTCGTGCGCTCTGATTCCCTGGATAAAGGTTCCTGGCCACCCACTCGCCTCCATCTTTCCTGCACGTCACTCTGACCACCCTGAGCCTGACTCGAAGCGGCGCCGCTTTCTACCTGCCGAGTAGCTTAAGGTGTGTCTAGTCGGTGGAGCACGGGATTTGCTGAAGTGGGCCTTTTCTTTGCTTAACCACAACCAAGTTATTCAGTTAACTATACTGATTGTCTGTAAGCCCGGGCTGACTGAACCATGGCTATCCAGGGTTGTGTCACAATGCGAAGGGCCGATCAAGACCCCTTTCGGACGGAAACCCCCCCCCTAGCTCCTGATCTCACTGAGTCGTCATGCTCGGTCACTGACGCCCCATCCTATACTACCCACTGCTATTCTCATGAAGAAACCATGGAACAGCGTTCATACGGCCAGCACATCCACTGTAGGCCAAAATGAACCTCAGCCTTATTCGGCTGTAGCCCAAGGTCTGTTTGCCGACATGACCGGATGGATCGACATGGTGGAGCGAGGTCGACAGCCTGCTTGAGGTCCCAACCGACATCGCTCCAGGGTCATACAGGGTGGTTACATGCGGTGCCGAATCCATCCGTAAACCTAGCCCAGGCACTGCTTGGGTCGAGCTGGACTTAGTCGGCCTACAGCAGAGATCTTTTGGACATGGACGATGATAGCCCGGTTGCGTCACAGCCGGGTTACTACGCAACAGTCTCCATGAAGCTTTTATAACTGATTCTCCGTGCCCCTGTCCTCCGGATATTCACTAAGCGCCAGGTTTCGAAACTTCCAAGCTTACCTGCAATCACCACTCAAGATGACTTGGAGCCGCTTGTTGCTGCTCAGCTCTCTGGGCTCGCCCTTGGCTTCGGCTTTGCCTGGCCAACTCTTCGCTCGCACTACCGATGCTGCTGAGACAGCTACGGCTGCTGCTCCGCCTGTGGTGACCTACTCGACCTCTCAGGCGCATACCCCATACACCGGCACCCCGACCACTACCGGAGCCCTGACGGCTAGCTCCATCGGTCCTGGAGTCTCGCCTCTGCCTCCTGCCCCGGGAGCGTTCGACTACCCCAGTGATGGAGAGCTTCATGCCCCTGAGCCCGGTCCATACACCCCTGCAGGAGGTGTTGGAACCAACGGCACCGAACCCGTGTACAACGCAAAGAGTGACTTCGACTTCGAGTCGCTGGTACGTATCTTCAATCCTTCTGGAAATGATCCATTTGTTAATCTTCCATCAGGCTCTCGCTCTCTACCAGGAGTACATTGAGCTCGATCTGTTCCACGACGGATTGGCTCGCTTCTCGGAGGAGGATTTCACTGCTGCTGGACTGGACGCAGAAGATCGCCATCTGATCGAGTTCATGGCCAATCAGGAAGTTGGACATGCCACCATGTTGACCAACATCTTGGGCGCTGCGGCCCCCAAGCAGTGCAACTATGTCTACCCTTACACCACTGTCCACGAGTTCATCGACTTCTGCCAGAAGCTCACCCGCTTCGGCGAGGCCGGTGTCTACGGATTCTTGGCCCACCTTGACTCCCGCGAGGCCGCAACCCTCCTTACGCAGTCCATCACTACGGAAGCCAGACAGCAGCTCATCTTCCGTCAGTTCGAAGGTCTCTTCCCCATGCCGGTGTGGTTTGAGGTTGGTGTCCCCCAGTCCTGGGCTTGGACTCTTCTGGCTCCATACATTGCCGACTGCCCCGCCGACCAAACCCGCCTCGCCTGGCAGAACTTCCCTGCTCTGAGCATCGTCAACCAGCCCAACCCCTTCCGGATCAACGGCTCTGAGGCGTCTGGCGAGACCATCAGCAACGGCACCAACGTGTCGAACAGCACGGTGGTTCCCGAGTCGGAGTCGTGCTTGAACTCCACCGAGGTTGGCATCGACTGCTCGCCCGCGATCACCCATAACCGCACCAACCCCCTCTCCTACCCCGGCCGTCAAGTCTTCCTAACCTGGGAGGAGCCCGGCAAGGCCGTGGGCCCGAACAACAGCTACGTGACGTCGACCAGCGCGGGCGAGCCCAAGTTCGTCGCCTGGGCCTCGCAGCTGAACGTGACCTACTCTCCTCTGACCCTTAACGGATCGAACTCGGGCTCGACCATCCAGCCCGATGTGTCGACCTACGCCGGTGACCCGGCCGCCAACGGCACTCTCTTCATTGCCATCACGGACTCGGACCTCTTCGTGACTCCGTTCAACATCACCATGCTGAACCCTCATGTCGTGGCCGGGCCCGCTCTGTACCAGTCTGGTTAGGAGGATGCCGGTGACGACAGATAGACCGAGCTTGTTTTCAAAAGAGCAATGATTCACGATACACGCATGTTTCGCTCATTTCGTTCTGGGATTCGATGGTGATAGGATAGCTGGAGTTTGACGAAGAGTTTGTACTACCTTACTACTTAATCTGCTTAATGCTACGATTCATTTGATTGCATTGCTCCCAAGTAATTAGATACCTGGAAAGGCAAAGTAAGTCAAAGGGTACCATGTAAGCCAACGGAATCAATCGTAGACCAAGATCATAGCTAAATGAAAGGATGAAAGCCCGTATGGAGAGGAGTCTTGTGCAGGGGAACCGTTGCATTTGAACTGTCCACCGAGTGATCATCGCAGATACTGGAGATACTATTTATAGCACCCGCTTAACCCCGCGTAACCCCGGGTGAGGGAGGGTCAAGCCAGGCGGTCGAGACAGCACAATTCCAAATCAGCCAATCCACCAGTCTGCAACCTACCGACCTTAGTAGACTACAGGCTTTCCTCTCCCAGACCAAACCCGACCAGCAGAACAGCATACGACCCTAAACCTGGAGTCTATCACCGCGCCAAAACCGCGAACCCCCTACCTCCTACCCACCTACCTACCTCCACCGGTCACCGGTCACCAGCCACCGTCGGTGACAACGCAACCCCTGACATCCTCGCCGGCTCGTCCCCATCTCTTACCCACCACCCACCACCCACCGAACCAGTCTCCATTAATTCTCCGGTAAGCAATGGAAGGAGCCCGGAACCGAAAACAACGCCGCGCTGCAGCTGCAGCAGCAGCAAAACAACCCCGATCCACCGACGCGTTCGATCCCGCCTCCGTCCCGCTCGCCCATCCTCCCACAAACCACCCGACCGGCAAGACCCTGGTGGATATCATCGCCGAGCGCCAGGGCGAGCTGCTGGGGCAGCTCTCCCCCAACGGGAATGCAGGTGCAAGCCCGCAGACGCAGTTCGTGACCGTCGACCCGCGGACGGGGGCGATCTCGGCCGTGGACGAGGGGAGTCTCTCGAGCGAGACGAAGAGGCAGACGAGGAAGCGGGCGGAGACGGCGCGGCGGCGGCGGCAGCGACAAGGGAACGGCGAGCACGAGATGTCTGGTGGAGAGGATGAGGAGGACGAGGAGGACGAAGACGAAGACGAAGAGGAAGAGCTCGACCATCCGATCCCCCCGGTCATCGATACGTTGCTCCTCGCGGTGCCGCTGGCGACCCTCCATCTGACGCTGGCGTACCTCGCCGCCCACCAGTACGCCCAGGAGATCGAGCTGGCGAAGCTCGTCCGCGAATCCGCCTGCGTGGCCTTGCCCATGCTGGCGCTGTTGATCCACCTCGCGCACGGGCATGTTGTCCCCTTCGTTGGGGCGCCGAATAAAGAAACGCTCTCGCTCTTGCCATGGGACAGCGAGAAGCGGTCGTGGGCGTTCATGCGCCGGCTGCTCTTCCCGCCGAGTCTCCGCACTGTGGTCTTCCTCCCGCTGACGGCCTTCCTGGGGTGCAGGCTGATGGTCATGACGAACGAGGATCCCTACTACGCCGTCATGAAGCATGCGCCGGCGTTTGGGACCATGTGGATCTGGGGCGTCTTGGAGATGTCCTTTGGCCCCGCCGTGCTGGGCGCGCTGGGCCCGTTGATCTGGGGGGTCTGGTGGATGGGGTATGGGATTCTCTGAGCTCGCTGGGCTCGTTGGGAGGGAGTGCGCGAGCGCGGGCTGTTGCTCGTCCGTCTGCGGACTCGGTCACTCATCCTCTACGAGATGGGAAAGGAGAGGTGCAGGCGCATCTTCCTCGCCGCATGAAGGATCCATATCCTGGGACCAGACATCCAAGGCTGCCCGATGCCTTGGTCACCGCATCGCGACGAGCCAGTCGCTTGTGCAGGTCCTGGCAATGGGCCGGGATGTTACGCATCTCACGCTCGTATGCCATCCTGTCACAATGCAGGGTGGAGCGCCTTTTGCCATGCTTGACAAGCATGGTGCTCGCAACGCCGTGGTTGCAGACACTCGGCCACCTTTGCTCGTCTACACAGTATGCATACGAAGTAAGCGCGCTATGCGAGGGTTGTACGACATCAGTTTGGCCCTCATCACAGCACGGCACACCGTCACCGTGCACCTATTATCGAATGTGCAGGGTCTATAGCAATCTGAACCGAGCTTCATCCTACATGACTCCGCCAATGGTTCGCTCTCGTGCCTAGCATACGATGGCATGTGAAGGCAAGGGATGGGTATGATCCGGCCGACGAGCTTAGGGTAACTTCGCTTCGAACTAGTTGCAATATCAAGCGACTAATGAGATTCATCCGTTAAGAGAAAATTAAAAGAGTAGGATAGCGAACGATTGCGAACGGGCCCAAACCCGAACCCTGGGGCATGCCCAAGCTGTGCCAAGGCCAAGGTTGCGGGACCAACCTACCCGAAGCCTATGCTCGTGGTATGGGCGAACAGAAACGGATTGCGAGCTACGCCTGACGGATGAGCGCAATTGCATGGAGCGTTCGCCTAACGATGCGCCTCTCGCCCCTTTCCTTTACAGGCTTGTTGACGTGGCATCGCAGCGCCACAGAAAGCCGTTGCGCGACTCGAGCAGGCACAGCGTTAGGACCCGTCCCCAGCGCCAGTAGCAATCGACAGGGTTGGTGCATTAGTTCGTAAGGACAGGCAGGACAGGCACCACGAAGACAGGGGCAACCGAACAGAGGGGCGATTCAGGCCGACGCATCTGAGTGGAAGAACAATCCCGAGGCAAGGCTTCCCCCATTCCCCGGGGACAAATCCAAGTGTCGACTCACTTTTTGACCAGCATATCTTAGCGATAGATAAGCTGGAGCCTTCCAGTGGTGATGTCACCCATTCGAGTTTGTCAGATGCAGGGTCCGGCTCGCGCGCGTGTTGTGCGAGTAGACTCTGCCTGACATACAGTACAGTCCAAACCTACGGAGTACATATCTGCATGTATGCCCGGCACTGACTGTACAGCTGCAAAGTGGGAACGAATGCTATAGCCTGTGTCAGTAGAGTGTAGCGCCCGGACCGAAGGGACGATCCATCCCCATCAGACAAGGCCGATCAGCGGGCCAGGGCAATCATTGCGCTGGGTGACATGGTGGGATCGTCGAGCAAGCTAGGCCTTTCGCCGCATGGACATTGATATCCGCCTACGGAGCTGATCCCCGAAACGGGATAAGTGGGTTTGGAATGCGAAAACAGCGAGGTGGACTTCCGAGTGGCAAGAGGTCGAGGACAGACTATAGGATCGCGAGCAGGAATTGAGAAGAGGGGTGTTTTGTTTAGTGTGAGGCGCCGAACATGATGGCATCTGGCGCGACTAAGGCGGCGCGGAGAGAGGGGGGTGGTTGAGCATGGCTGAGGGGCTGGCGGAAGGGCGGGCGCGAAGATCCGACAGAAGCAAAGATACGGGAATAAACAAGAATGGTAAAGAGAAAGGATAAAGCATTGAGAAAAAGAAAAAGAAAAAGAAAAAGAAAAAGAAAGAAAAAGAAAGGGTGCAGCAAGATGACAGCGGAGGGCTTGCCAGTCATCAGATAACTCCTCCGTAGGTCGTCAGCGTATGTGACCTTCCGAATGCGGCAGACAATTCAATTGTCCGGATTAGTTGAACAGCGAGGATTTGGGCACGATGTCTGGACGATGTCTGGGCTGAACTCGAGGCACTAAGCAGCAGTGGCTGGAGTTAGTCTCCTTGCCATCGCCATCGCCATGTGTTTCCCGAGTTTCCCAGACTTCGTTCCATTTAGCCGAAGACGCCCGGCGGGATGGCAGGATCGAAGGAACGAGGAGAGGTGGACTGGACTGGGCTCAGGATGGAGGATCCGCTGTCTCCGCTGTGGCACGACGCAGGTGCTGGACAGTAACCTAGGCTGTGGCGCAAGAAAAGAAGGATTCTAGATGAGGGGATTTAGTGGGCGAACTAGACACGAACTATTGGGGCACTAGCAGTAGTCCTCGACACATGAACTTCACTATCAAACCCCCCCATTGCGCCTTCCACCAAAGCAAGACTTCTCAGCCGACTCTCTGGCTCGGACAATTTCCACTGTGTTGATGATTGACGATTTCCGATTGTTCATGATGCCCATCGACTGAAATTCTCCGCTGCAGAAGTCGTGCCAGCCCTACTCCGCCCAACACGACAGAGTCGCAACTCGCAGAGTAGTGAGCTGTTCATGAGGTCCAAGCGGTTCGTCCCGGCTGACCAGGAAGTCAACCTAGATTCATTGCGTCTAATCTACGAGGTAGACTGTTTTCAGCGTCTGGATCTTGATTGGACACCACTCGAGCACGGCGTGAGACTTCCACTTGGACCGAGTACCTGCGGTCGAAAGGGCACCCACCTATCCCCGTCTTGAATTCTCTGATCTCGATGATTCTGACCTCACACCTCACGCTAACTTTGCCTAATTCTTGTAGTAGAGTAGTAGACCAGACCCCTAGTCTCCAGCCATCTAGACCAGATACTGTCCGGTACAGTGGACTACCAGATGCAGCACGATAAGCAACCTCCCCTCTTCCCCCTCATTCTCCCATCTCATCTCACCCCAAGACTCACACACCACAATCTGCAAGGACCCAAGATGTGAAGATTGCAAACCAGACTGAACTCCTGCGCCATCAGGCACAAAAAAGCAAGATTCGTCTCTGCAGAGGCCGACAAACACTTGGCCTGGCAAACCAAAACAACAAGCAAACAAATTTGCAAGGCTTGGGGTCAGTCGTCACCGTAGTCTGAGCCACCCTCCCTTAGCTAACCTACCGCCAGTCACTTAGCCCAGGCAATCAATCCAGCAAGTAAGCCTCACCTGCACGTGTCAGCAGAGCGAACGAGCTCGTAGAGTGTGGGGTAATTCCAATTCTTGTTGCATGGCACAGTCAGTCAGTCAGTCAGTCAGTCATGTAGCTACTGCACACTGCATGGCACATGCAAGCCTGGAACTGGAACCAAACCAAACCAGACCAGAAGCGGCGGATGTCATCCATGTCATGTCAACGACTGCCAGATACCACCCTGACTAACTACCAGACTTCGACTCCATTACCTAGTCAGTGGGTAATGCTCCTACCCAGTACCTAGTACCTACTAAAGAAATGACCCCTTCCTATCTTGTTCAGTGTGTGGTACGCACATTCAAGAACTCCAACTCCACCTCGGGGAGAACCACCTCCAGAACCCCAGGGCTGCCAATCCAAACCCCCAGTTTCGATCCCAACCAGGGAAACCTATGTAGATACTGTGCCTGAATCACCGACCTGTGCCCTGCATCACCCCAAGCTTAACCCCTCCCCTCTTCCTCCTTCTTGCTGCTCAGTTCGCCGACTGGGGAAGGGAAGGGATGCACCTGCACATGCCTCACAGCCCACCAAGACAATCAAACAGCAAGCATCTCTGGCATCTGTCCTGCATATCGTTTCCCCTTCCGAGATACGAGACATGACAGCGCATGTGGCATGGCATGAGCATGGCATGTACTGGACCGTACGCGCGGTGGCCGTCTCCGTGTGAATTATTCGGCAGTGCAACCAACCCAGGCAACCCAACCCCTCTGTGTAACATCACGCAGAACTGCGGTATGCTTATTTCACGACTCGCGCAAATCAAAGCTTAGCAGGCGGTGTACTCCGTCGGTGGATTGGATTGACAGCCGGAAAAAGACACCAGGATAGTAACCGGCTTACACTTTTGGTACAGTACGTGATTGCGATAGAGCATAGCGAGCTAATTTACTATTCTAGAGCCCGACATCAGGTCGTCCTACCCCTCCTCAGTGTATATCAGTAAGATCGGATATCAATTGTGCAACAAAGAACGCCTCAACCCATTCCCCATCCCGAGCACAACCCGCAAACGCCAGCTCTAGTAGCTCAGCAAGGCACAAAAGAGGGGTCCTGTACAGCAAAAACCGTCCGGCGGCCCAGCCTCCCCAAAATCAGACCGTAATGCGGCCCTTATGCATGATCCCGACCGACTGGAGACTAGCGCCCTGGAGGCGCGTCAGCAGCGAACTGACGATCTCGCGATAGGTGTTCATCTGCGCCAGCCTGAACCGCTGGATCTTCCCACTCGCCGTGCGCGGGATCTCCTCCACGAAGAGGATGCCCCCGTCCAGCGCTTTGTAGCTGACCAACTGCGGCCGCGTGAACGAGTACGCCTCCTCCGCCGTCAGCCGGTGGCCGGCGGCATTCTTCGCCCGCACGATGAAGGCGCGCGGCAGCTCCGTGCTGCCGTCCTGCGATGTAACCCCGATGACCGCCGCATCCTCGATGCCAGGGTGTCGGAGCAGCACCGCCTCGAGCTCGGCTGGCGCGACTTGCCATCTGGGATTCCCACGTCGGGTTAGGATTCAGAGAAAACGCAGGAGAAAGGGGGAGGAAAAGAGCTTACCCTCGAACCTTGATCAGCTCCTTGGTGCGGCCGTGGATGTAGTAGACCCCGTCTCGGACATAAGCCACATCACCGGTGCGGAACCAACCATGCGCGTCTTTGGCGTCCGTTCGGCCCTTGTACCCCATCAACAGGCCGGCCCCCCGCACGTACAACTCCCCAGGCTTGTTCTCCTCCGCAACGATCTCGCCATCTTGGCCCACCAGGCGGCCCTCGTAGCCAGACAGTTGCCTTCCGATGCTTCCGGCGTCGCCTGGCTCGCCGTACCGGTTCTGAAACACCACACCCACCTCGGTCATCCCCCAGAGCTGCGACGCCTGCGCATCTCCATGGAGCAGTTGCCGGAACTGTTGCATGGACGCGCCGTCGATGGGGGCGCCGGCCACTCCAACATAGCGTAATGATGCCAGGTAGCCCGCAACCGGGATGGTCGAGCGATTGAACGCGTGGATCATGGCTGGAACCATGTAGGTCTCGGAGATGCGATACTGATACACCGCCGCGACGAACTGCGTTAGTTCGAAGCGCGAGAGCACAAACAACGGCTGCCCGTAGCGAATGGGGAACAGGTGGGTCCACAGGGCCCCGAACAGATGGAACATGGGGAGGGACATTAACCGCGTCACCTCGTACGGAACCTCGTACTGGATGCTGAGGTGCTGCGAGATGATAGCGTGATGCGACAGAATCGCCGCCTTGGGTAACCCCCCGGTGCCGCTGGTGGGGAACATCGCGGCCGGCGTGGATTTGGCAATCCCCGCGTCATGGAAGGTGAGCCAATGATCTTCCCCATACGCGAGGAGATGCGTGAAGCTCAGGTAGGCTTCATCCCCGCGGTTCGCGAGATACGGAGCGCTTGCGGCCGCATAGGCCAAGGGCCCGGAGAGCAGGAGCTGGCCAATGTGGTCTCCTGCGAACTCATCCAGTAGGCAGACTTGCCTCGGCAGCATTCCCCGGTCGGCCGAAACTTTGAGCACGGTGGGGAGAGCATCGCGAGAGGTGATGATCAATTTGGGTTCGGCCAGCTGAAGCAAATGGTCTAATTCTTGTGGCTGACTTCGTGCGTTGGTACCCATGAACACGCCGCCAGCGCCGATAATACTATAGAAGAGGGCGGGGTATATGATCTACCCATTGAGTCAGTATGGTGAGAAGGGAGGGGGTTGATTGATTGATTAATGGAAAAAAGAAAAAAAAAAGAAAAAAGACTTGAATCGGTGGGTAGGAAGGAGTGGAAGGCAGGGAACTAGAATCGGTGTAGAACAAGCGACGACGAAAGTGCAAACTGCCATGCACTGCAGTGCATACTTACACTATTTCCAAGGTGGACCAACACACAATCCCCTTGCTGCACATCGTGGGCTTTCAATCCTGCAATGAGTGTGCGAACCAGGGTCTCAAACTGCCGCGCATTGAAAGACTGCGAAGGGTTCTCAGCATCGATGAGCAATGGACGCTCTCGGTCGTAGTGGTAGGGGCTGCGGAAAGCAAAGGTCAACAAGTCGGTGTATGGGTGCTGGCCCAGATTGGGGTACGCCAAGGACGACTCCCAGAGACCCATCGCGTCGGAATGCAATTGACACAGAAAGTGTCGGTCAGGGCAAGCAGGCAGGCAGGCAGGCAAGATAAGTGGGCACAGAAGGACGGCTGGGGCAGTGTGGTCGGAGAGAAGATAGTAGTATGTCGATAGCTGAGACTCTTAAGCTCAAGTAGGGAGATGAGTAGATGACGATGAAACACAAGAATAGTGAGAGAAATTCCCCCCCGACCATGGGAGATCCAGGGCGATAAATAGACTCTCCATGGTGTTCAAGAAATATGCTTTTTGTCATGCTGGCGGTTTCAGAGAAAGTGAAAGGGTTGGCAATTTGCGGTGTCTCGAAGGACAATTCCAGTTTCCTGGGTCTTGGGGTTTGGTGATTTGGAATTTGGAATACTTACTCTAGTTAGGGCAGAGTGGCTCGCAGTGGCGCTTCCCTTCCCAAATCCCGACACATCGTCACCCACCGAGTTTCCGCTAAGATCGGATTGCTGATCCTCTTTCCGGGCCCACGGACAGATCACGCTTTGCGCTTAGACTGCTCACTGCTATGAGGAGCTAGCCTGCTATTAGCTGCTAGCATATCAAATGTCAATTCAGATCGCGGCCATGTGGGTCCCTCTCTCCTCTCTCATCCTCGCGAGATCGCAGTTCAAGCACTTCACTGGCGAACATGACCCCGTCATGCACACGAACTAGGTCCATGATCAACCCAATTCTCCATAACTTAAACCAATATTGAGCAATCTCTCAGCCGGACTTGATCTGAGCCATGTCTGCATCGCACTCTGATTGGTGCTTCGTCCTGTCAATCAAGCCCCATCGTTTCTCTTCAGGTGCTCCCTCTGCAGCTGAACCCCCGGTTCGATCTGCCGTCCTGAGAACGCATCCCCCCCTCCCCGAACTACTCCCACGGTTCCCAGAGGCTTGGTCCTGGCCCTGCTGAATTAGCCCGGCATCCTGCGCATTCGGCCATGCGCCAGCATGCAGAAGCGACCCCACTGCTCTAGTCGCCCATGCCACGCTGACGTCTTTCAACAGGGTCCCAGAAAACCGCGCATGACAAGCCATTACATGATGGACTTGACTATCTTGGACGAGGCCCGAAAGAGGCAGTACCCCGCCCGCTAGTCGAGCAGGGGCAGTGGGTGGCCATGCTCCCAAGTACCTCGTCGGGATTTCCTTGCCCATGTATCTGAGCGCACTAGTTCATCAGGATGGAGACTCAGGTGGCCCTGCCGGGGCCACTCCATCACTGATCGACCTCATCCTGCACTGGCCAAACGAAGGAAAAGCAAGGAATCTGTGCCTGCTGCATGGGTCGCTGTATGCTTGCCGAGCTTGTCGGGTCATGCAACTCCACAGACCCTGTCCACTTCCAGGGCACGGATTGTCCGCTTATCGATGCAACCCTCTCGTCCTTAGGCGTGGATCGGTGGAGAATACGAATTGCTGTGGCGAGCCCTCTTGCGTCTGAGTCCAAGGCATCAGTGCTAGTGTCGATCAGGAAACCCTGGCCGGCCTGCATGAGCCACTGAACGTGCCCATGCTGGTGCATCCGCATCTCTAGACCGTTCCATCAAGTCGTCATTGTTGCTGGAATCATCGACCACGGCACGGGGACGGGATATTCGCTCGCGGACGAGCCATCCATTGGCCCTTCAACTTCCACATTCGGAGAATGAACAGCTGAGGAGTGGCCGGCTAGATACCGTTCTCCAATGTTCATTGGTAAATGTTTCTCGGATCTAGGATACGGAACAGGTTCCCCTCAAATAGTGTCGGTGGAACGGAGGCTGGAATCATGATATCAAGGCGAAAGGCGAAGCTGAGATGCCGAGGTGGTCCGCATGCGGTATGATTCCAGGTGCTGAAGACAAGAGATCGTGGTCTGCAGCCGAGATATTGTCCGATGTGCAATGTGAGCCCACCCTGAGGGAAACAGCCAGGCTGCATCAAGGTCAGATGGCGTCATGCATGAGGATTCAAAAGACGTCTGCACCCGTCGTTGTGAGATGCAGGTTCCTGGTGGATCACACTCATGCGCCCATTGGGACCAATCGAGTCATTATCGTTACTGCTTGCAGCTTCTTGCCCCCATCTTGCATCTGACGCTTTGTTCCTGAAGATTACATGCGTCTGCCCCTCGATCTTACTCTGGATTCCTTCGTGTCAACCTTCAACATCATCTCCAGGACCCATTCGAAGCAATATGTCGAGTGAGGTGAAGAACATCATAACGGTACCACCGGCGGTGGTCTGCGCATCAGGGCCGGAAAGCCCCAGCTCATCAACCTTCACAGAAGCCTCCACCATCAAGGTCTTCTCAGAGAAGGTGGAAGTGTCCCGCCATAGTGACTCGGAAGATGGATCTCTTGACCTCGAAGCTCAAGCTCCAAAGAAGCGCAGATTCGCAGCGATTCGATTCATATTCCTCAACATATACCGACGCCTGTTCTCCTTGGTCTTCTTGGCCAATGTAGCTGTATTCGTTGCAATCATGGTAACGGATCGAAAGCTACTTGCACTGGTAAATGCCGCAGCAGGTAACCTGCTTGCATGCGGTCTCGCCCGGCAGCCCTTGGTGGTGAACTCGATCTTTGTTCTCGTGGCATCCATCCCGAGATCCGCGCCTCTTCGGATACGACGCATTGCAGCCAAGGTGTACCACTATGGGGGCGTCCACAGCGGGTGCGGGATAGCCTCATTTGTCTGGTATGCCGGCTTCGTCGGCCTCCTATCGCAGGAGTACTGGTCTCCATCATCCGGCGGGCCAACTACCTCCATGGCACCAGTGATCCTGGCATACTTGATCCTGGTCGTATTGCTCGCCATCATCGCCGTCGCGCACCCGACGTTCCGCATCAAGAAGCACGATTACTTCGAGCTCATCCATCGGTTCTTCGGCTGGCTCGTGGTGGTGCTCTTCGTGATCCTGCTCATGGTCTTCGCCGACGAGGTCAGCCGCGCGTCGAACGAGCCGCTCGGAGCCTTCCTGGTGCAACTGCCCGCCTTCTGGTTCCTGGTGCTCACGGTCGTGGCCATCGTGCACCCATGGACGCTCCTCCGCAAGGTCACGGTGCAGCCGGAGGCCCTCTCCTCGCACGCCGTGCGGCTGCATCTGAGCCACACGACCACCACATTCGGCAAGGGCATCCAGCTGGCGCGCCACCCGCTGCGGGACTGGCACGGGTTCGCGACGTTCCCGAACCCGGACGGCCGGAGCTTCTCCTGCCTGGTGTCCAAGGCGGGCGACTGGACGGCCGCCTGCATCCAGGACCCGCCCACGCACCTGTGGAAGCGCGGCGTCCTCCTGTATGGGTTCGCGTACGCGATGCGGGTGTTCAAGCGCGTGGTCGTGGTCACCACCGGCTCGGGCATCGGACCCTGCCTGTCCTTCCTCGGCGACGACAACCGCCCCGCGCTCCGCGTAGTCTGGCAGACGCGGGCCCCGCTGAAGACGTACGGACAGGGGGTGCTGGATCTGGTGTCGGAGATGGACCCGACCCCCGTGGTGGTCGACACGAATCAGTCCGGGCGCATCGATATGGTCCCGATGATTCGGCGGATTGTCCAGGACTTCGACGCGGAGGCGGTTTGCGTGATCAGCAACCCCGTATTCACCAAGAAGGTGGTATATGAGTTGGAATCGAGGGGCATACCGGCGTTCGGGCCTATCTTCGACTCGTGACCCAGTGTCGTCCTTTGGACTGTGTATATATACTAGGGAGCAAGGTGTTGTGATTGGTTCATAGCAGGCGTGATTTTCTTTGGAGTCGATTTGGGACTGTCATGGTGTCAGAAACCGAATTCTAGGAAAGGGAAATGATTCAGACGAAGTCTAGCCGTCTGGGACTTCGTCATTGTTTATAGTATAGAATTCAGGGAAAGTCTATGAGTGATGCAGTTCGCCTTGCCTTTATTTTGGGAGGAGACGGGCATTGTATGCAAACATTCCAAAGATCCGCGCGGTGTTTCATGTGCCTGTCCGGCCTGCAGGGATTCCATGTAGCAGTTCGCTGGGTACTTGCAGTACGCTCGCAAATTATTAGATTTTAGTACGACATTCGATTCAGCCCCAGCCTGGGGTTTTATGATCACAGACCGGAATATTCTCCTGGTCGGAGGGTCAGATTCAGTTGGTTGGTTGCTCTTTAATCCCTGGATCTAGGACCAGACTGTGCGGGTAACAAACTAACTTATCATCCTACATCTAGCTCACTTGTGTTCTACAGGATTGGCTCTAGCACGGGATATTTTGGCCATCATATATTTTAGTGATCAATTTGTTCATTTGTAAACGTTATGTGTAGATAAATGACCATAGCAACAATGTGTATGTACCTGGGTATGTATGATGCCAGTAACAGAATTAGACAAATGAAAATGTTCGGACTTGACGAAAATAATGGGTATCATGCAAGCACAGAAGTCACCCAGCAATACAGGATCTCTATTAACAGACTTTTTGTGTTCTCCTCCATGGTATGAAACAATTAGGAATTAGGGGAAAGGTAGTGAGAGCTTGGACTTCCGATTTTCGCGAAACTGTTGAGAGTACATGAGAACAAGGACGTCCTCTGGAGGTGAAAATCGTTGGATTCGTAGCAGTCATAAATTCATAAAAGGTCAGTGTTTGAGGTCCACCCATGTTGTTGAAGTTGTATGTGTAAAATATTGCGCGAAGCAATGGCGTCGGCCGAGGCTCAAGGTTCGGTAGGAGACGTAGCTCGGTTTCTCGTTTCAAAACCCAATGGCTCGGTCGAAAAATCATCGGGTGTAAGGCGAGATCGTCCCCTGGTTGAAGAAGAATGCGTGGAGTCGCTGTCCAGGCGCAGAGATTCCATGCGGTCCAGTTCTTCATACTCCGGAAGGTGCAGGGGAGATCCATGGTAGTCTTCCATGATACTGCTCCCATCCAGCATGGTGTAACCAGGGGGGCTGGCAGGGACATCCTCATAGACTGGTGGCATTTCCTCATCCCAACTGATACCGAGGCCGCTTCGTTCCGTGACGTGCAAGTGGAACTGCATGCGCAGAACACGTGCTGCTCCAGTCGGGGTGATGAGTCTCGTGTTGCGGTTGGGGCAGAACTCTTCGGCAACGATCAGCTCGATGACGAGGTTGTGACGAGCTTCCAGGCCACCCGAAGCTTCGAGATCGCACACTGGGTTGCAAGAGGGGTTGATGCTGGCTTCGAATTGCATGCTGATTTCACCGCCGGCGGTATCAAAATCTGTCTTCCAGCCATCCTTCTCTTCGTTGTGGCCGATGATTCGGGTCTCCTGGTGAAGAACACCCTTGCCCTCGCCTCCGATCTTGTGTGCATGCTTGGGGCAGGCTGCAGAGACGATCTTCTGGTGTTCCTCAATCCGCCACATCATTTTGCGCAGGCGCCAGCGAGTTTGGGTCTCTTCGCCTTTATCCACAACTCCGCTCAGAGTCATCTGCACAGGGAAGGTACCGATTGGGTGAACAACGGATGGGAGAACGATACGACCGGTGAGGTTGGTAGGAGGGAAGATACGGATGGAGGACTTGTCGTTGCCGGGAAGTATAGCACGCTTGATGTGAAGAGGCATCTTGTAGGTGAACTCCTCCCCGTTGATACTGTGAGCACGCGCAGAGAGGAAGTATTCGATTTGACCCAACGAGCCGTTGCATGAGGCGGGCAGATGGCCGGGGACTAGGTAGCTGAAGGGAAACTCGTGGTCACCACTCTTGAGGGCGAGGGGCTCGGTGAGGAAATTCCAGTGTGTCAGCTCCTCAGTTCGCGAGGCACAGGAGGGGCAGTCTCGAGAAACCGGTTTCTTGGTCGTCTGTCTGCTCATGAGACGCATATCGAACGTGTCAAGCGTGATCATGCCGGCTAATTCAGAGATGCTGATCTTCAAGCGCCCGGAGAACAAGGCGCCGGTTGAATTGGCGGGGTTCCCGTAACAGACGAGGGGCGGGGATTCAACGATGACATCGAGCTTCGCAGAGGCGTTGGCGCTGGGATCATGAGCGGCACGCTCCTTTGAACGGGCTGACCGGCCATGGCTCCGTCGCTTCTCTTTGCTGTGATCACGGTGCGGATGGATCAGATGCTCCATCGCAAACGATAACCGGCGTTCGGGTGAGCGAGCTCGTTCAGCGGTCAGATGAGTGGATGGCTTTTTCGGCGCCACGGTAGTGTTCGGAATCTCGTTCACGGACGAAGAAGACGAAGTGTTCGAGTGTGAGACGGATGAATGATGGGATGAGTGGTGGGAGAGGGAAGGGCGGACAAAGCTGGAAAGTAGACGACCAGGCATGGTGGCGAGTTTCACAGGGGGATGTGGATGCGCTGGGTTGGAACCTTGGTAGCTAAGTATAGTAACAGTGTCGAGTGCACGGAAGATGGAATGTGTTGCTCAGGGAGCAATGGATGTCAGATATTGACGGTCCACGATGCAGGATGACCAGACTAGCAGTGGTAGACTAGTGTATGTATGTAAAGGTGTCTTGATATCACGGCGCAATTGGAAAGGTTGAGTTGATTGTCAAGTACATAATCTCCTTGCGATTGAAATTGAATCTTTGTACCTATGAGAAAGAACTTTTGACTACAGTCAAGAGTTCAAGTTTGTTTGTTGAGATGGTGAGGGGTAGAGGTAGCAGATGATGAAATGTACACGAGTAGTGGAGAGTTTTGATCGTGTTGTGGTGGTGGTGGTGGTGGTAGTAGTAGTAGTAGTAGTAGGTTGTAGTAGTCTATATCTGAACAACCGAAGAAGAAAATGAAGTAGATCTAGTAAGCTATCAAGCAAAACAGAGGAATGGCAAGAAGAAGTGGGAGAGCAGCTGCCTTTGAATGAAGCAGGAGAAGCTCTATGTTTTATTCTTTGCCAGCGCTTTATCCTCTGGCCCTGCAAAGGATTCATTTTCGTTTCCTTTTTCTTTTTTTTTTTTTTTTTTTTTTTTTTTTTTTTTTTTTTTTTTTTTTTTTTTTTTTTTTTTTTTCCTTTTTTTGAATTTTTTTTGAATTTTCTTTTTCTTCTCCTTTTTCATTTTTAGCGTGGTGGTTGTTTCTAGGGCGTTCCCACACCATGTAACAGGTACGATTGATTCCCTGGTCTGGCCACCCTGAATGTCTCCATCGCATCGGGCGGCCGATGGAGTTTTGGTGGGGCACGGCAGAAAAAGCGTCATAGTGGACTTTACATTACCTTTTCCATACATGACCGTACGCCTGTCTCCGACGGAAAGCGCCATAGTCTTGCTCGCCCTGGCCTTTAATTCCCCTATGGGACAGTACCTGTCCGTTGCACCAATAATTCCCCGAGGGTAACTGCAGTGACTGCTTCCAATTTCCAGCGTGTTGACACACCGCGATTTGTTTGGCGGCAATTTGACTTTTACCTCTCTATAAAACCATCATAGCTTAGCTAAAGTCACTTGCGTGATGGTTTAGGACAATTGTGGGCACATGCTCATTCTAGAACAACTAGTGACCAATCAACCATCCTATCTGCAGCTTGTCCTGCGTAATCGATGAAATAATCGCCTTAGTCAGGTGTTGTTGAATTGAGGTACTCGGAGTCGCTTCCCCAGATCTTGAGTAGATTCAAGATCGGTCTCAACTTCCAAGCTCAGAGAGACTGAGCGCAAAGAATCCTAGCCCTCTTCAAACGTTCAGGATGGCGCGTATCCTGTATTGACTACAATTCCCTGGAAGCATGTGACGGATGCATATCACACTGCGCTGCGCAGTGTAAGCAGGTTGTTGATGACAGAGTGATTGAACCTTCTCCTGCATCAAATGACTATGTGTTGTTAAGCAATTTAATCTGGAGTGCACGGAATGTCCTTCCTAGAACGATGCCCTCATCAACAAGTACAGTACATACAGTACATGAGGGGGGGGTCAGGCGCAATGACTCACACTAGGGCCGGGCCTGATACTCTACAACGAACAGCTGTCTCCGATGTAGATCATATTACCCCGAATCTCTGTTTGCGCAATTCTGCACGCGCAAGAAACATCATCTTAGCGGGTTACACGCAATCCATGCGATCGGTGGTGATGTGGAATAATGTCAACTGGCTGGAGAATGTTGTCATGTCCATTGTTCCAGAATCGAACCGAGGGTCCAGTATGGGACTGCTGACTCAGGTTCTAGACATCCTCCATCAGGAGTTCTATACTTGGAAGCCAGAAGTGACCTGGGGCTGGCACGGTCGAAGACCGGATCATATCCCCCAATCCGAGTTACCAATGGTGGCTTTCAAACCCCGCGGGTGAAGGACGTTAGGTCGAGTGGAAGTATAGTACGGAAAGTAGCATCGGCTAAGATCCCGAGAATTGACAACAGAATGACAGATCATTGAGCCAGCCATGCGTGGAATAGTACGGAGTACCGTGAGCTAGCACCCCGTATAGATCAACGGCACGGATTATCCGTTCAGTTTGCAGTGGAAGTTACTAGAGCAGTAGCCCGTAATACGGATCATCACACCTGACGGGCGCTTCCTTTGCTCATCAAGGAAGGTCAGCTGCCGTCATCGAACCATCACGTGGCGTCACAAACTGATGTGCGAGGCCGAGGGGGCTCAAGGCGGTCTGGTCGGGTCTGTTCTCACTACTCAATACAGGCGGTGACGGCCTGTATCAATCGGCTATACCTTACCGTACAGCAACTCATTGCAACGCTAATTGGAGATCCCTCTGGATCCAAGTTGCCGCTGTTGCACTTTTGCGCCAAAAACGATGGAAGGGCAGAACCAAGGCCTGAAAAGAAGGTAAGGTAAGCTAGCCCCATTAGACCCAAGCATTGCGCGCACGGATTAGGAATCTTCCCAGAGAAAATTCTTTGCGGACTCTCACCTGAGTCTTCTCCTCGGGAAGAGCTAAACAGAGTCCGGAGTACTGTACAATAATAGTGTGTGTGTACTGTGTACGAGTCCACTTCAGTCAAAGCTCCACTTGCCGAGAGAAGGGAGAAAAAGAACAAAAAGGAAAGAAAAAGGGAAAAAAAAATGCAAAGGATAAAAAGTCAAAAGGGAAGCACGCCCACCAATCCTTGGTTGATGCCTCCTTGTCGCAATTCATCATCCCCTACAAGGTACTTGGGACATTTGGACGGATGTTGTGCTGTCGCGCGCAGTCAATTTGGTTCAATCCATTCACTCAGGCACTTCTCCTCGTAGCTACCTTTTTGGGACAGGTTGCAGAACAGACAATCGAGTCATCACTGCAGTTAGTGCGCTACGGAGTACGTACTAGAGAAGACCCTTCTGGACATCAGCTCACTCCGAGGGCGCATGGGTTCTTTTTTCCCCCGCACTGCAGTTTAATTCCGGCCTTTGCGGGGGCATTGCATCATCCGGATATCCTTGCCGGTCAGCGCATTGAACCTCCTAAGTATCTACAATGCCTAGGTAGTAGCATATTGGGAGAGGTTCTGGGTAGGTGAATTGAGATTGAACGAAGTGCCACTGTCCATCACAATATACTGACCGGTTGTAGATAATATGACATGAGCAAAGCCCACATCAAAGATATAGTTAAGTTCTAGACGCGGTGCACTGTCCGGTTGGCAGGGGAATTTCACTGTCCCACTGACGAATGGCCAGCGGCTGCCGCCCTACCCATTACCTAACAGTTTCCTCCTTTGGCTCGCAAGCTCTCCATCAACTGAGCCAATATCAGGCCTACTGTACCTCCTTAACTGAGCACTTTCGGCTTTGAATACAGGTACCCAAGGCCAAATGTTCTCTTGATCCGATTGATCGTCCCGATTGACAGAATCTCGGCACATGCTGTCGGTCACTGTTACGGGTGGCCGACTTGGATCACGCCATGAATCCATCCATTCTTCCATTCTACCATTCTACCGACTGCGCTTACTCTGCCACAACTTACTCGTACCCATAGTGACAACCCACACTTTACAGGACAAGAATGTCAAGGCGCTGGGAATGGAGTCAGTAAATGGGCTTGTCTCCGCTCTACCACACCTTAACTCACGCAATTGAGAGTAGGTGGAGTAAACATATCTCGTATGTCGACTTAAAGTGGCACCTTCTTACCCCATAATAACGACCAACCTCACACACTCAACTCGATTTATTTTATTCAGTCCTCAACTGTTTGCTATTTGCTTTGATATTCTACCTTGTAAGACTCCTGGCTCTGACTGTGCTCAGGATATACTCATAGTCTGCAATTCGGCCACTTAACCGGCCGGTAGTGGGTAGTAACAAGCCGGCGCATCAACTACCTACTCCGGAGTAGTTGGCCTAACACTGCGCAATGTGCGCATACCTCTGGAACTCCTATTCCGAGCCTCGCTTCCCGCGGGGCCAGGCGTGACAATGCCTCTTTTGGGGGGCGGAATTCGCCGCCCCTTCGAGCTTTAGTCCTGGTACCTGATTAACGAGATTAACGAGTAGCATCGAATTCTGAGACAGCTATTGCTCAATACATGCATCGAATGCAGTGATTTCTCCGGAGTACGGAGTACTGAATCAAGCACGCAACTTCAAGCTTGTTTTGAGTTCCAGCGCGCACACGCTGTCCATACCTGTACGTGCGGTATTTACTCTTACTCTTCGCCCTGTGAGGCCTTCGCGAGTCGTGCGAGAGCTTGGACCCCATCTTTTTGCAGAATCTCAGACGAATACAAGGCACGTTCATCATTTGAGAAGGCATGTTCGTTCATGCTCCCATTCCATTGGGCAGTTGGACGGCAAACCCCTCCAGGCGCAACAGGCGTGAGTGGTTTTACTCGTACTTAGCCGGGCGCCGGACTCCGTTGCAATTTTCTCTAGCCGGATCGCTGCCGGTCGGCCGCCTTTGAGTCCACTTCATCGTGATGACTCTTAACACTAGCACTGCTTAGCGCCTCAGACGACTAGAAAATTTTTCTTGCTGGTCTCCATTCTCTTCCAAGGCCCTCAGCGGACCGCCGTCGCCAACCATTGGGGCTCCTTTATTTCAGGTTAGACCACCCGAGGAGATCAAAGGACATCGGCGACTGCCGCGACAATGAATGCTACCCTTTCCCACCCGGACCTCTTCTTTCTCCAATCTTTTCCCCGGGAGGGTTCTCGAGTTTTGAATTGAGAAGGGTGGGAGGAGCGGCAGATCCATGGATATCTGTCCGCGGAATTGCGGTGCAACTCTGTGGTAACTGTGGTTCAGGGCTGCCACCAGCGCGGACCGCCTTCCGGGGGGCAACTCTCAAAGCCACTGATTTTTACGGCCCTGAACGTTATTTCAGCCGGTGTGACTAACTCAACTTAACGGCAGTATAGGCGCGGATCTTATGATCTCGGTCTGGCGGTCATGGTTGACGGTCCTGATCATGAAACATACGCCCTATTTTGTTGTATGCATACCTACGTAGTGCCAATAGAGGACCCTGCAGGTGAAGAATCACTGCAGAGTCTTAGCGCCCCTTTGAGGGATTTGCAACAGAATTGACGCGTTGCCGGTCCACCAGAGTGTGTGACCCTGTGACTTCTTTGACCGCCGCCAATTCGTATGCAACGGGGCTAACCCTGCAAGCACGTCTCTTGACATGGGTTCTAGAATCGACAATCCGGAGCAGTACCTAAGGCTCCGTTTCTATGGTAGGGTCTACCACAGAGGATGAATAGGATGACGGTCTAATCAGTCAACTCAACTCTCATGTATATGGCTGTCTTCTTGAGATAAATCTTGGAACCAGGACTTTAGTGCGGTTGGCTTGATTCAGTGCAACGGTAGGTCGACGAGCTAGAAACAGGGGTTTTCAAACTGTAGTCGTCCTAATACTCGTACCATCGGTCAGCCCTATCGTATCCGCTATCAAATGTCCGCTGTGCAGAATACGGTATCCCTCCACAGATCAGCTCGTCTTGACCTTCTCATAAGTCATTGAATTCCAGCTCATATAATAGCACCTGTTTTCCATGCGCAAGAGAGGCTATGCCAATATAGTTGTCGCTTCGAGTATACTACTCTTCCAAGCACATCAGGTATTTGTGGGTTACGGCTCGGTTGTCACATAATATATAGTCATTCTGACGTTTCAAAGACACCCCAGTTCTCTGCATCGGTCAAGGCAAATCAGGTGAACTCAACAAATCACAGATAGTACGAATCCAGCGAAATTCTCCGGCATGTTTCCTACAATTGACTTCGTGTACCTTCAGCTTAATGACTGTCGTGGCTGTTGAGAACGTCACGTGCCGTAGCTCAAGCTCCGACGATCGACGATTTGAATTCCCCGACACTCGAGGTCCCCTATTCAACACTACATCCTTCCTTGTACTTCATGTCCACACCACTTCCGCGGTGATGAACGCACCTTTGTTTCAGTGTCATCTCTAGTTATCACTCGGAACCCAAGTCCTAGGTTTTGTTTGCACGACCCTCAATTGCGTTGAATTGAACTGTGAGGTGACGTCTGGATGTTGGGACACTGTGAGCAGCTCCGAACCGACCACATTCCAGTATCGACCATCCGATAGTCGCAGGGTCACAACACTTGCAGCATTCACAACTCCTTACCTCGAAGACGACCTTGAATTGCTTCAAAATCACAAAATTCACAATGAATACCTCATCCCTGATCACGATCGGTCTCGCGATCTCAGTCGTGTTCATGTTCTGGACCCTTTCTTCGACCACGTCGTCGCCATTTGCAGGGGCCTTCCCTCGCATATACAACAAACGGATCTGCTTATTGATTGCGCACCCCGATGATGAAGCCATGTTCTTTGCGCCTACAGTTCTGGCCCTCACCAAGCCGGAGTACGGCAATCATCTCAAGATCCTCTGTCTTAGTACCGGTACGCCCGCCCCGATGATCCCTCCCCTGCCCCCTACCAACAAAAGCAAGCCATTAACGCGTCAGTTGCTGTGCAATTTAGGCGACGCCGATGGGCTCGGACACATCCGCAAGAAAGAACTGGTGAAGAGCGCCCTACAACTCGGTTTGCGGAGCGAATCGGACGTCTACGTCGTGGACGACCCCACGCGATTCCCGGATAGCATGAGCGCGCACTGGACGGAGCACGACGTTGCCTCGCTCCTTGCGTCGGCGTTCGCGCCGGAGCCGTCGAAGAAGGCGGGAGGTGGAAAGATGGCCGCGGCCCCGACGGCGACCATCGACGTGCTCGTGACGTTCGACCAGGGCGGCATCAGCAATCACCCGAACCATCGATCCCTGTACCATGGGGCACGGCACTTCCTCCGCACGCTGGTCAAGGACAAGTCCGGGTACAATTGCCCGGTCACCCTCTACACGCTGACGACGACCAACCTCGTGCGCAAGTACGCCGGCGTGCTCGACGCGCCCTTCACCATGGTCCGGGGCGCCTTGGGCTCGATCGCGTCTGGCTCCGGGGCCCGCAGCGCCAGAGATCAGCTCCCGTCTCGGCTTCTGTTCGTGAGCTCCGTCAATGAGTGGTTGACTGCCCAGTCGGCGATGGTCAAGGCCCATCAGAGCCAGATGGTGTGGTTCCGTTGGGGGTGGATTACGATCGGGCGCTATATGGCGGTAAATGATCTACGGCGGGAGAAGATCTGAGCGAACGCTCGAAACTTATATACGGGGACGCCTGGGGATGTTGGGCGTATAGATATTCCGATCCACACACGCCGAATATTCGTCAGACCATATAACTTCTGGAGTAGTCGTCTGTCGTCACCATGATCGATGCTTTAGGTATGATGCACCCCTGGTACATGAAGACTTTGTCGATAATCTCTCTTTTCACGAATCAGGCTAAGGTGATCATAAGCAGAAAACAAATTGTAACGTGTCACTATGGACGGGGTAGTCTCAAAAACGCTCAAATCACATGCATCATGAACCGTACGCAAAGGACTAGGTTGCTGAGAGATGACGCTGAAAGACGCTTCTAAGACGAAGAAAGAAAGAGAGAGCTCAAACCAGGCCAGACGCCTAGAAGGCGACAAGTTCGCTGGAAGACAGAGCGGGAAGTTTTACATAGCAATGTGTTCCAATTGCTGTTCAACATGGTTGATTGTCTTCTGTGCGACGATATCTCTCTAGAACCGGCTCGAATAGTCGCCTAAGGGATGCAGAAGTTGGCTCGATATTTGGCTCGAGACGCAAGAGAGCTTCCCAGAAGAACTCGTCGTCAAGATAATTGACCTCGTCACCCGGCTCGACATCATTATAGGGTGTGGGCCGTCGAATAGGAATACGCCTTCCGCTGTAACGGTTCCGGCTACCCCAGCGAATTTTCCCAACGAAATGAACTACTCCGCCACGGGTGTTCAAGTGGAAATCCTCTGGGAGGAAGTCGCGCCATTCTTCTAGCGCCTGGGGGAACAGAGTCCTAAACCATGCAGGGTTGTCTCGACCTGTCCATAGCTTGTTGATCAGCATGTTTCTTGCGAGCTTTCTCACCAGCTCAGTCTGTTGGGCTGTGCGCAGTCTGAGGATATCATAGGTGTGTATTGCGTTGGCCAAGTCTCGCGACTGCCAATCTGCGTGACTTTTATGTAGCCTGCGCCGCTTCATAGATGCCATGATGGCTGATCTCGCCTCCCATCTCCTTTGACGTGTCTCCATCAGGATCTCATATGCAGCATACATTTGTGGCATGTATTTTTTCAGAATCCGACTGTCCCACGCTAACTTAGCGACCTTGAGGCGCGTCTCAATCGTGGGACGCACGTTGTATGGCTCTGCAGTCATAGCATCGAACAGCTGAGTCACGAAACGTGGCTTGATCTTCACCTTCTTCTGTTCCTCGGCGTCGGGGCCGAATCTGGGACGGGACAAGACAAACGTCCACTCGAACAATTCAAGCCAAACCTTCTCGGGAATTGGTACATTGTATCGGCTTGCGATGAATTCTACCAAGTGAAGTCCAGCTCTGATGTCGTTATTTGTTCCGAAGGCGTGAGCTACCGCAAACAGAAGTCGACCCGTGGGATGAAGGGCTGAAGCAGGGTCGGTGTGGTAGACATCGGATGAGCTCGACGGGTCGCTTGCTGTCAACAGTCCGTCGACATCTATGTTCCAAGCGGCTTTCAGAACAGCCTTGATCCCCGGAACCCAACCTGTGCGACAAGATGCAAGCATCATGTTGACAAAGGTCGTCTCATCCGGCGGGATGGCTTTGGCCATCATCTCGTTGAATACCACTCGTACCGACTTGAGCACGCTGCGTGCTGCGGTGCCGTATCCCGACCAGCCGGAATCGGGGGGCGCGTTTTTTCGCATTTTGTAAGCGAAACGGGTCACTCTCAGGCGGTATTTTCTCAGCCCCGTGAATGTCCCATCCCAGATCAAGGCCTCCATGAGATGATTATAGCACTGGGTATCGGGCTCCACCTTACGATATTGCATGGCCTGCCATGCGCTTTGTGCCATCTGAGGATCCCCCATGGCGGCTGCGCAAGCAAGCAAGTGGGTGAACTCCGCCAGGCCTGGAATTTGGCCTGTGGAAACCCTGAGCCGAATGATTCGTGCGAGCTTGCTGGCGAATTCGTCGAAGATTTCCTGCAATGGCCTGATATCCATGCTTTGTTCCGCGGTTGGATGGAGCGGTCGGTGAATGTCTCGATAGGGCTCAACAAAGTAAGCCGGAGAGAGAAGCAGGAAGGCCTCGACGAAGGTGGTCTCTGGCATGGCTCCTACCAGGCTGCTGAATCGAGGGTCAGTGAGCGCATTCATCACCAGGTCCGGTTGGCCGCTTCGAAGAATCGAGATGAACTCCGTTTGCAAGGTGTCTCGTAGTGGATCGCGTGGTTTCTCTGAAGGACCCCCGATGTCCAACAAGTCGGTTGTGCTCATCATCCCATGGTAGTCATACTTGTCCGAGTAGTCTTCCTTGACCATTGGCTTGAATTTCTTCTTGGTAGGCGGCCTAGTCCAGACTCTCAGCGATCTCGACGGGGACGTAGGAGTAGGATTCCGAACTATGAGAAGTGGAGACGGATAGCGAAGCTTGGTTGGCCGACAAGGACGATAAGAGGACAATACCCCCAAGCGAGTCCGAGACAGGCGATCACTTGGTTGTAGAAATCGCAACATCGCGCTTGAAGATTGACAAGAAAGGAGAACAGCTGAGAAAAACACATGGGGTCAGATTTTCTGGGGTAAAGAAAGAAAAAGAGGGGGTGGCAGGTCAGCTAATAATCATATTTTATTCATTCATTCATTCAGCTGCTGCGGAGTAAATTGAGGAGTCGGCGGTTGTTGTGGTCTTGGCGGGGAGCAACTGGAAAGAATCCTTGTCAGTCTCTTCCAAACACTCTTTCAAACACTCTTCCATCCAGTCAACGCTCATTCATGTTCCCGCGGGTGACAGTCTAGTCTAACAGTTGCACAGTCGCCCAATCTCTCTCTCCCTCCCCTGCACCCCTGCAGCTTTCATTGATTGCTGGATTGACTGGACGCCTCCCGACTTTTAGCTTGCGTTCACTCATTTCGTCTCTCCCTCTCCCTCTCCGCTCCCCCCTCCCCTCTTTCGCAATCCTCCCGCCCCCAATCCCTCCTCCTCCTCCTCTTCCCTCGCGATGGCCGACACTGAGGATGCGGGCACTTCGTCGGTGTCCGAACCCCTCGACCTGGTGCGCCTCTCACTCGATGAGATTGTCTTTGTGAAGTTGCGCGGTGACCGTGAGCTCAAGGGCCGTCTTCATGTAGGTCCCCCGTGTACCGTGTCTGGGAGGGTCAGTTCGAGGCGACTAAACCGGCATTAATTCCGCGCTTGCGATAGGCCTACGATAGCCACTGCAACCTAGTCCTAGGCGATGTGGAGGAGACCATCTACGTGGTCGAGGAAGACGAGAACGAACAAGAGACGATCCGGGTACGTCCACTCCCCACTGCCTGCACGGCCCGAATCGGTGTCCAGCTGCTGGCCATACTGTTGCGATCGCAGGCTAACGCATGCTCTCTATTTCAATCTAGACGATCAAGAAGCAGGAGGAAATGCTTTTCGTTCGAGGTGCGTTCCAAGCTCTCTCTCTCCCCGATGACGTCGGCTATACGGTTTTTTTGCGCGCGACGTTTCAACTAACGTTCCTGCCCATAGGCGACTCGGTTGTTCTCATCTCCCCTCAAGCATGATGACATGAATTCTCCGAGAAAAGAATAAAGGACCAATGGAATGGATCTGATCGGAGGACTTGGACGGCCATGCAGCGTATACATCTTCTCGCTGCTACCCCATGTCGGCCACGGATCAGTATGAGACCACGAACTACCAGGCGATGCTACAGGGTTCCCAGACGTATAACTCTAATTGCAACCAATGAACTATACACGTATGTCCTGGGCAGATGGTAGATGTGGGAAAAGATGGTGTTTCAGATCAGGACGGGGTAGGATGGGATAGAATGGCATCATGTCATGCAGCAGCAGCAGCCACTCTCTAGAAGTTCTGCCCTTACATGCGACTAAAGTAATATTATGTGGTAAATGTGTTTTCATCGAGAAAAGACTTCAATGCCCACATGCACCAGTCAGCTGGAATGCTTCTAATTGTTTCCAAATTCTTATGACTCGACTGTGGGGGATGAGTCAAGGTCAAGACAGCCGCACGAGGCGGCGATGACTCGCACTCCGTCGGTGGCCGATTATCGATAAAGCTTTCCCCGGCTCTCCCGTTCTTCCCCTTCCCCTTCACCTCTACCTCTCTCAATCTCAATCTACCTAGCTTCAATCCCCCTCCCTATTCTTCCTATTGTGTCCTCTTTCCATCGGTCATCCTTCATCCTTAGCATTCACCCGATAACTCCTGGCCTAGTCCTTTGACCCTCTTCCTCCTAGCTATTCAAACGGGAATTATGATCACACGAATAGGTGTTTGAGTGCGCCAGAGGCGAACCTTGTCCGTTCCATCCGACCGAAACAATTCGCATTTTAGCTACAGATAGACACACGTATTTGATCCATTCGTCATCCCATTCTACCTTCTTATCTTCATTCCGGCGACGAGAAAACCCACCATACATTATGCCACCGACGGGACCGAAACTCACCCTGGAGGAGCGGCGGAGAGGCGAAATTGTGTGTTGTTTGTGCAGTTTTCCGCGCATTCCCCAGTCCCCCCGCCCTTTCCCCTGGGTCGCCCACTAACTCGTCTCATGCGCAGGCGCTCAGCGAGTTCGCCGAATATGCCGAAAAGCAGCAGGCCCAGCGCTCGGCCCCGCCTGTGCCCAGCGACAGTGGGTATGAAACGGCCAGCGTCTCGCGCGTCCACGAGGACCACGCCGAGCTGGACATGCTCGACCAGCTGGCATTGAGCGATACGCCCAAGACCGTCAAGCTGAGGGAGGTCCTCCTCGGCACCGGCGAGCAGCCCGACGACGACCTGCAGGTGCTGGCGAGCCTGCTGCAGTCCCGCATCGACGAGGGCCACGGCGAGACGCTCTTCGACCTGGGCCTCGAGGACGGCGGCGAGTCGATGCAGTTCGACCGGGAGCAGTGGACCACGGCCATCCGGCGCCTGCGGGAGGCCGCGGACACGCTCCCGGCACACTGCCGGGTCCTGGTCACCTACAACGTCGGCGGGCCCGAGGAGTCGCGCGTCAAGAACGAGCGGACCAAGGGCTCGTGGGGGAAACTCCTGATCCGCCAGCCGGCGGGCACCGTGGAGGAGATGGCGGAGATCCGCGTGGCGGTCGTGGGCAACGTCGATGCCGGCAAGAGTACCATGCTCGGGGTCCTCGTGAAGGGGAACCTGGACGATGGGCGCGGCAAGGCCCGGCTCAACCTGTTCCGCCACAAGCATGAGGTGGAGAGCGGCCGGACCAGCTCGGTGGGCATGGAGATCATGGGCTTCGACAGCCGCGGCGATATCGTCAGCAGCTCCCAGGGACGCAAGCTGTCGTGGGAGGAGATCGGGAAGCGCTCCGCGAAAGTGATTGGCTTCTCGGATCTGGCGGGCCACGAGCGGTACCTGCGGACGACGGTCTTTGGCATGCTGAGCAGCAGCCCCAACTACTGTCTCCTGATGGTCGCCGCGAACAACGGTCTGATCGGCATGAGCAAAGAGCATCTGGGCATTGCTCTGGCGCTCAATGTGCCGGTCATGGTCATTGTCACTAAGATTGATATCTGCCCGCCCCAGATCCTCCAGGAGACACTGTCCCAGCTCAGCAAGATTCTGAAGTCGCCGGGCGCTCGCAAGATTCCCGTGTTCATCAAGGACATGGAGGAGACCATCAACACGGCGACGCAGTTTGTCAGCCAGCGGATATGTCCCATCTTCCAGGTGTCCAACGTGACTGGAGAGAACCTTGACCTCGTCCGGACCTTCTTGAACATTCTTCCGCACCGGGGTCACTACAATGTTGATGCGCCGTTCGAGTTCTTAATCAACGACACCTTCTCGGTTCCCCACGTGGGTACGGTTGTTTCTGGGGTGGCCAAGTCCGGGGTGATTCATGCGGGTGACACCGTACTGGTCGGGCCCGACTCGCTTGGTCAGTTCACTACGACGACGATCAAGTCCATTGAGCGCAAACGGATCCCGGTGAATGCTTGCTTCGCTGGTCAGTCTGGCTCGTTCGCTCTGAAGCGCGTTCGGAGAAAGGAGGTCCGCAAGGGCATGGTGGTTCTCAAGAAATTGGACCAGGCCCCTAAGGTCTACCGGGAATTCGTCGCCGAAGGTTTGTTGGTGTCTACATTGTGAAGCTGTGCCGTTACTGATGTGATGCAGTACTTATCCTCTCCCACGCTACGACCATCAAACCACGTTATCAGGCGATGCTGCACGTAGGCGCCGTGAGTCAGACCTGTTCCGTCGTCGATATTGATCGTCCATTCATTCGGACTGGTGACCGTGCGTTGGTGGCTTTCCGGTTTGTCCAGCGCCCCGAGTTCCTCGCCCCCGGGGATCGGGTGCTTTTCCGTGAGGGAAAGACCAAGGGCCTGGGAATTGTCAAGAGCGTTGGCTATGATCCGAAGAACCCTCTGAACCCTGAAGCCAAGAGCGCAGCGGACGCGGGCAACCCGAAATGATCTCAGCGTGTATACCAGCTCGGAACTATCGGCGGACTTGTCGGGGAATTCGCCACGACCGTTGGAGTGCCCGAGTGGATCGAGCCCTTGCAGCGACGCAGGCTTTCATTGACTGGTGATTCGCTTCCATGATAATTAAGGTGTTTGGATTGCATCGTTCGGGTTAGTTCGGGCTGTTTTCCTGTTTTGGCTTGGGATCTGGCTGGGGTGTTGCCCAAAAGTAGCTTGCATATGAGCCAAGAATGTGGATGACACATTCTTCGCCCGCAGTTCTCTCATACTTCCCATTTACTTTTGCAATTGACTTTGTCGTCTCTCCACCTTGTTGTAGCAATTGTCCGGATAGCGACCAGTTGGCCACGGTTGATTCACCACGTGAGATGCCTGGGAAAGGGGATGACGTCAGAGGGGAGTGATGACATCGCGGCCGATGATCTGCGGTACAGACTGATTGACTGGCCACCCTGGGTACCCACGCTTGCAGCTGTCACCGAGCCACTGACGTACCGACCTGGAGCAGTGCTGGATGGTGTGGTCGGACGTTAAAAAACCCCCGGATTCACTGTGATTTGGGAGGTGGTTCCACTTGCAGCACTGTTGCTTGTTGCTTGATACCTACAGACAGTTTCACTTATACTTCAACTTGGATCGCACAATCCCAGCTTACCACATACACACACACACACACACACACACACACACATACACACATTCCTCGTGCAACATCAACCCAAATCCCATGATCATCAATTCCACCTAGAAACTCTTGAAAGAAGGTACCCAAAATGGAGACCCTCAACCGCACCTTCAACAACGCCACCACCGCCCTCTGGAACGAGTTCCAACCCCGCGAACAGCAGCAGCTCCAACCGCACGGCGACGAGCCCTTGTCCGGGATCCAGGGGAAGGGCACAGCGACTGATCCGTACGATGGAGGGAACCGCGATGGTGAGTCCAGTTCAGTCCAACTATACTAGACACCGTACACCGCATAGCCCTCAAGCCCACACCACACTCCCCAAGCTCACCCCCCTCACAATACACACAAGAACTAACGCCCAAAAAGACCAACCCGGCGCCCCCCGCTCCCAAGCCAACACCGCCGTGATCCCCGAGCCCCTCGTCTCCGTCACCGCGCCCTCCGACCACGCCAAGAACCCCAAGTCTCCCAGCAACGCCGACGTGGCCCTCAAGAGCGTGATCGTCGACGCGCCGGCCTCTGTCCCGGTGCAGCAGACGCAGAACAAAAAGATGGAGACCCCCGACCCGTTGACCGCCGCGGCGCCCACGGCGGCGGCCGAGGCGGCCGGCGCGCCGAGCAGCGGGTCGCATGGCACGAAGCAGTTGGCTGCGTCCGGGGTGGGGTTGCCGGCGGGCAAGACGCAGGTGTCGAGCTCGGGCGGGGTGTCGGAGCAGCGGGGGAGTTTGCCTGCTTCTTCGTCGGCGAAGGTTCCTTCCTCTGTTGGGGTGGCTGGGTCTGGGTCAGGAGGTGTGGGAGGCGAGACGCTCCCCATCCGGGAGAAGAAGACGACGAACAAGGATGAGATCCTGCAGGAGAATAGAGGCCTCCCTGCCCCGGAGGGCATGCAGCCAGCGCAGAAACCTTCTTCCACTGTTGACACTACTGCTACTGGCACTACGACTGCTGGCACCACCACAGCCGGCACAGCCGCAGCGACAGCCGGCGCCCTGCAGACCCGCGACACGCCCGCGACCATCCCTACCTCCAGCGTCTCCGCCGACGACAAGGCCTACAAATCCAAGGAGAAACCCACCACCTCCGCCTCCCTATCTCAGCCCCAGCCCCAGCAGCAGCAGATGAAACCCTCCGCCTCGGCTACAGATGAATCCAAACCCACCGGCGCAGCAGCCACAGCATCCGACACCGAATCCGTCGGCCCCGCCAACGAGACCAAGGCATCTCGCGACTCTACCACTTCCCCTACTTCCCCTACACATCACGAGACCAAGACAGAGACCGACACCCTCCCCCGCGGCAACAACAAAGTCAGCGAGGAGGCGCTCAAGGGCCCACAGACCCCGGCGCCGCGCGAGCCATTCGAGTTCGAGAAGCGGCTGGGGTCCAAGGGGGGTCCTGCCAAGCCTGGTTCGTATCTCCCTGTTTTCAGAAATCATGGACATCGGATAGTAGGTTACTGACTGATCGTGTAGATGCTAATGCTGCAGGCGCGGCGGACGAGGCCGAGAAGCACGGGAAGGGCCACGGGCAGGGCAAGCTGGCGCATTTGAAGGAGAAGGTCGGGAAGGTGCTGCATCATGGAAAGTAGACGATGGCTCACCATGTTGTTTATTGAGGCGAGAGCCGACGAGGATGGAGGTGGGATGGGGGCTGCGTATGATATCATGTCGTTTGCTGCTTGTGGGTCTGGGGTTTAGGGCGTTCGGGTATGACTTTATTTGTATTCGTAGTAGGATTGGGGTATGTCTGTTGATGGACTGCAATCTCTCTTTTTTTTTTTTTTTTTTTTTTTTTTTTTTTTAGTTGAATACGAGAATTAAGACATGGATATAAAGCAGTTATGAGCATCAACTTAACTGAGGGATCAGTGGCATTAATCTACAGCTCCTATCCTATCGTATCCTATCCAACAAGCCCGAAATGCAATGGTATCATGTACAGTCCCCAAACCCTTCTCTACGCCATCTCCCCCCAATCACTAGCAGCTGTACCGAGGAACCAGCACCTAAGGCACTGACGTGCCCAGACACTTCACGCCCAGGCTACTCGAATAACAACCGCAACTCCTCGATCCGCTCCTTCTTCTTCTCATCCTCGGACCCGTCCCCGCCGACCCGCAGCCCCAGCGACCCGGCGATGTTCATCTTGCGCTCCTGCACCCGCAGCATCCGGCCCTCGATCGAGTCCTTGACCACGAACCGCGTGACGGAGACATCGCGCAGCTGGCCCATGCGGTGCACGCGGTCGATCGCCTGGGCCTCGATCGCGAAGCTCCACCAGGGGTCCATCATGAACACGTGGTTGGCGACGGTGAGGTTGAGGCCCACGCCGCCGGCGCGGAGACTGATCAGGAGGACGCGGGGGGTTGCCGTGGATGCGGAGTTCGGGGCGTTGGGCTTTCGCCTTGGTTTGGCGCTGCGTGTCCCCTCCTCCTCCTTGTCGACGACGTCGGCGACGTCGTCTTCCTCAGACAGGAAGGTTTCCGTCTGGTTGAACTGCGCCAGGGTCTCGGCGCGGGCTTTCTGCGGCATCGTGCCGTCCAGCCGGACGTGCGAGATCCCGGCCCGCGTCAATTGCGGGGAGATGAGATCCAGGAAGCTGGTGAACTGCGAGAAGACGACGGCTTTGTTGGTGGCGGGGAGGCGGGTGATGTGGGTGAGGAGGGCGTGGATCTTGGCCGAGGTGTGTGCGGAGGGGGAAAGAGGGTTGATGCGCCGCAGGGAGATGCGCGGCGGTGCTTGCGAGCTGAGCGGCGGCGTGCTGTTGTAGAGATCGGTTTCTTCGGTCGTGGGCGTGGTGGATACCGGGGACTGCGACTGCGATTGGTGGCGGATCACCTCGAAGATGTCCTTGGAGGTGACCGGTGCGCGGCAGGAGAAGCACCGCGGTGGCATCCCTTTGTCCGTCTGGTGGCGGATGTAGTCTTCGAGACATTTTTTGCATGCACTGTGCCAGCACGCCGTCACGGCGGGGTCAATCATGGGCTCTTCGGAGCAGATCGGACACTCCCCGCTGGACTCGGTCTGGATCTGTCGCAGTGCGTGCGAGGTGAATTTGGCTTGAGAGTCGTGGGCCTGCTCGGTGCCTGCTGCTTCGGTGGTGGCTTTGAAGCGGTCGATCAGCTCCTGCAGGTCCATGTCGTCCTTGAGATCACTAGCTCCATCGGCGGCGGCGGCGGCGTCTTCCTCGTCGGCCACGATCGCCTTGTTGCGCGTGAGGATGGGATGACAACACGTCTGACGGAGACGAAGGATCTGTGCGAAGATTGTCGAGTACGACTTCAGTAAGGTACCGGCTTCAACATTGCTGTTGAAGGTCTGCTTAGCCCGGGTGTAAATTAGGTCGTAGATCTCACGCTCTTGCTCCGGAAGCTCGACCTCTTCGATCTGAATTGTTCTCCGTGGCAGCGGTACCAGGGGCTCGCCGTCAGGTGTCTTCATGGTCTTGGTCCGACGGAGGACCAGCGGCTCAAGCACTGTCTGTACAACATTCAGAGCGCGCACGTAGTCTTTCGACTCGAATGGCACGGTGATGAATGTTTTCCAGAAGGAGAAGTTGTTCCATGGCTCGACCTTCAGGAACCGCACCAGACTGAATAGATCCTCCAAACGGTTGACGATCGGTGTGCCGGTGAGGACCCACCGATGTGTTGCGCTCAGGTCGTAGCACGCCTTTGCGGATTTGGACTGACGGTTCTTGATCATATGAGCTTCGTCGATGATGATCCGAAAGAAGTCCAGAGAGAACAAGCCACCCGAGCCCATTTGAGACAGGACGGTGGACGTATGGTGACGGTGCTCTGCGAGCACGACTCCGTAACTCGTGATGATCACGTTGGGCGCAGCGGCATTGCCTGCAGCACACAACTCTCTGAGGTTGACATTCTTCTCCGTCCCATAGTACATCAAGACCTTCATCGACCCGGGTTGAGAGGCTTTCAGTGATTCGCTCTCCCACTGCGCAAGCAGTGATGTCGGTGCAATGACCAGGGTTGTATAGGGAGCAGAAACCCTGCCAGCAGAGGCCTGTGGAAGCCTCACCAAGCCACCGGAACTTTGTGGCTCGTTTCTATGAGCATGGACCAGACTGAGCATCTCGATGGTCTTACCCAGACCCATCTCATCAGCCAGGATACCGCCCAGACAATGTTGCTCCTGCTTTGGGAATTCGAGGGTCAGCATCCCAGAGTACGGATTGACGTAGAAATGGTCTACTCCATCCACAGCCGGCAACTCCTTGTCATCGACATCTTTCGTGGGCCAAGAATATTGTTCCCACAGAGGATGCAGAGACTGTTCCCTGGCGGACTCCTTGTTCTTTTCCTTCGCCAGCATCCAGTACAGTGCTTGTCGCTGATACTTCCGCAGATCCATCGTAAATGTGGACGGAGGATGCGCTTCTGGCATGCTGAAGTCGAACGACTGAGCCTTCTTGTACAGCGTGTCAAGCTGGTCCTCTTCCAGCTCCGGGGTTTCTTCCTCTTCCGACGAGTCGTTGTTCGACTGGTTCTCTTTCTTGACCCGGTCATACTGATCGGCCATCTCTGCCGCACGCAGCAATCCCTCCTTTTTATGCTTCCTGGTCATATCGTTGACGGAAGTCGGTTGGAGACCGATCTCATCGAAGAGCTTCACCAGCGCCACCTGACGGAGCCGCAATTTCTTCTCTTCGACGCTTTCCTTCTCCTCGAAGATCGTAGTCGACCTGTTGTCGTCAGTGGCGTCATCGAGAATCTGAGGTTGAAACGCCTCGATGCGCAGATAGCACCACAGCTGCAGATAAATCGTGTCGTTCACACGGATCCTGTCCGGCGCGAAGACGCAGACCCCCTCGAGCTTGCAAACCTTTTGGTCGATCAGAGTCGATACCCATTCGGCCGTTTCCCGAGGGAGACGCCCGATCTCCTGGCCGGATTTCGTCGTGAACCGCGTGAGGACATCGCCCTTCTGGTTGCTGATCATTTTGCCCGCGCGACCCCGTTTCGCAACGGGTTGGGACCGCGCGCGCTCGATATTGACATGCTCTCCATGCTTGACGAGACCCACACCACTCCTTGTAGCCCACGCCCCGACGCCGAAGGCCCCGATGTATCTCAGGTGCGGTTGTGACGCCACTCGTGGACTGGCTTGATCTGTGACGGGTATCCCGTTCGAGGTGATTTGTGGTGTACGGATCGTGGGAGGGGATGGTTGCGCGGGAAGGGTTCGCTCGCGGGGCAGGAGTGTGGTCTGGCTCAGGGTGGCATTCGGCGGGCTTTTCCAGGACCCGTCGAAGAAGATGTTTACGGCGCGTTCGAGATCACCACCGGCCGCTTTGCGTATTCTGGCAAGGGTATGTTCAGGGACGTCCTGTCCGACTATGGCAAGGAAGGTGGCCGTATCAAATCCGTCGTCGGTTTTCTGTTGCTCCGACGTTTCTTTGCTCAAATGGGACGGTGGCAAGTCGTGCGTCGTGGGAGAAGCCTCCTCATGAGAGACTGTGCTGGGCTTCGGTAAGTCCACAGGTGAGTGCGACGAGGCCAAGGTAGCATCTTGGGTCTCCTGAGCAAGGGACTCCTCATTGGAGTACCTCAACAGGGTCGAAGCCGGTAGTTCAGGAATCGTAGCAGTGAGACCATCGCTGGCTGAGTGAGGAAGCGAAATCTCCTCATCGTCGGCGAAAAACCGTCGCTTCTTCAAAGGTCGTCCATCGGCATCCTGAAAATGCATCCTGCATCAATCATCTCCGCCCTGAGTGATGCTATTGAAGGGGGTTCCGAAGTGCCTGGGGCCAAAATCCACTTAAGCGGAGGGCAGAGAAGAAAAGACGCGCCGAGACGCGATTTGCACTTCGGGCCGACGTCATGTCGTGTTCCACCTGCTTCGCCCAATAAAATTTGGACTAAATGGGCTTGCTTCAGCGGAAGCTGAGCTTAACCTCTGGTCGAGCAACATTCGCCTTACCAGCAGAACTAACAATGAGCCTCAATTGACGTGTAGGTGATGTGATGCTCTTCTTATTGATTTTATCTTGAACCTCGAACTGACAGCCTTTATGAAGAAATAGCCATATATATGCAATGTGCGACGGCAGTGATCAACGACCTCCGCAATAACCTCAATATAGCCAACATCCCCACCTCCTCCACCCGCACCGTCGCAGCCAAAAAACCAAAATGTCTCTCTCCAACAAATTCATCCAGCCATGTCACACAAGCGAGCAGATATGCCGCCGGTCTCTGGCTCGCACGCGATTACAGCGCCCTCAAAAGCGCCACTTCCAGGGCCGTTCACCCGCAGCTGAAGCTGAAGTCCAAGCTGCTCAAGCCTACTGCTCCAACCTCCTACAGTACGAACCCCCCCCCCCGTCCTTCCGCTGCATGGTCCTCTAACCAACCCTTCGTGACTACAAACAGAAAATACGACAGCCCGGCCTACCTCCTGCACACCTTCATCCCGCCGCATGCGCGGCCGATGTACTTCGCGCTGCGCGCGCTCAACGTCTCCCTCTCCCTGATCCCGGACACGACCTCGTCGCACACGATCGGCCTGATGCGGCTGCAGTACTGGCGCGACGCGGTGACGAAGACGCTGGCGGGCAGTCCGCCCAAGGAGCCGATCGCGATCCTGCTGGCGGCGGCGATCGAGGACCTGCACGCGCGCACCGGCGGCACCGCGCGCATCAGTAAGGGCTGGCTGACCCGGCTGATCAACGCGCGCGAGCAGACCCTCACCAACGACCCGTACCCGACCCTCGCCGCGCTCGAGTCCTACGCCGAGAACACCTACTCCACCCTCTCCTACCTGACCCTGTCCGCGCTGCCCATGACTTCCGTCACCGCCGACCATCTCGCCTCCCACGTCGGCAAGGCCGTCGGCATCGCCGCCGTGCTGCGCGGCTTGCCCCTCGTCGCCTTCCCGCAGCAGCAGCAGCAGCAGCAACAACAAAACCCAGCGAGCCCCGGGGCGGTCGGTCAGTATAACAACAAGCAGGGCGCCGTGATGCTGCCGCTGGACGTGATGGCCCAGGCCGGGTTGCGCGAGGAGGACGTGTTCCGGCAGGGGGCCGAGGCGCCGGGCCTGCGCGATGCGGTCTTCACCGTCGCGACGCGGGCGAACGACCACCTCATCACCGCGCAGCAGATGCTGAGCAATCTCCGCGCCGGCCAGGATGTCGGCCACGAGTTCGAGCACGAGGGTGAGGAGGGCCATACGTATGAGCCCACCCAAAGCCAGCAGCAGCAGCAGCAGCAGCAGCAGCAGGCGGAGACGCCGTTGGATGAGGTCAACCGCGCCTTCGGCGTCTTGATGCCGGCCATCCCCACGCGGCTGTGGTTGACCCGGCTGGAGAGCTTCGACTTCGACATCTTCCGCCCGGAGCTGCTGCGCTCGGATTGGACGTTGCCTTGGAAGGCCTACTGGGCTTTTAAGCGCAAGGCTTTGTGATGTGATCGCGCAGCCGTGGGTCAAGTACTGGCTAGTCTATGTAATATATGTACTATTGTTATTCGTCTTGCACCATTTGCTGCCCCGCACGTAATCATGTGAGCTTACTGATGTTGGGTCTTGCTATGCAACATCTGGGGTCCATCTATACAAGTAATAAGAGCTTGCAATGTAGCAATTGTAGTAGCATCATGGGTATCCGAGCAGTAAGTTGGAGAAATTCATCTCTAATGCCCTGCCAAGGGGTCAGGTCTTTTCCGTGGCCTTCTTCCTCTGTCGCCTCTTTCTGGAGCTGGTGATGAGTCGCTTCTGTGCGAGCAACACCACGTAACGCTGGAGTTTGTCGCGCCTGGGGAGGCCGTTAGTACTGTTCTGGGTGTGATCAGGGAAGAGACAATCTTACATCAGAAACATGGTGGTCGCGAAAACGAACGGAATGGCAATCATCCAGAAGTATCTAGGGGGTGACGTTAGTTTCGAGGGTAAAGGGGCTTTGGACTATGTGAACGCACGAGTCGCTGTGATGAATGCCAGAGAAGTCATCGAAGTTCATTCCAAAGTAGCCCTACAGGATGGGATCAGTAAATAAACCTCGTGGCAGCCACTTGCTCCAACAAACCGTCAAGAAAGTCAGAGGGAGGTAGAAACACGTCACCAATGTGAGTTGCTTCATGCTCTCATTCTGGTATGCACCTGCACGAAATTAGCTCGCGCTCAACCCACACACGGGGTGTCAAAATCTCACCGATGGTGTTGAAAATCAGATCAATCATGTTATCGGCAGCCCTTCGCATTTGGTCGTAGCCTTCGACAATCGTGATACAGTGATCCAATGCATCACCCAGATAGGTATGGCATAGAGGACTAATCGATACGCTAGAACCACCTAGGCTTTTCAGGTTTGGCGTGGCGGTTCCGATAAATGGCGTCCCGTCGCCTGCAGGGCTACTCGTACCAATGTTCTTGAACGCTCCTAGGCCAGGCGTATGAATAGGTTCCGAGCGATGGTCTCGCAGTGCGTTGATTATGGTAGCAATGGGCTGCATGAAGTTCCGCAGAATAGCAATCTCGGACGTGAGGACGTAGAGACTCTTAGACTGGTCAACGTCAGGGTCGGTCAGAACTTCCAGTTCCAGGTCACCCATGACATCCTGATAGGCGGTCGTCACAGGGATGGCAAGGTCAATGATAGCGTCTAGTATTGCCTGCACTATCATACTCGCGTCGCACGACTGACGTAAGATGGTCTCCGGGGAGCTGAGTCGCCTCACAATCGGGGCTTCGATATCGTCTGCACTGTTCTCGAAGAACGACGTCACAGTATTGTCGGAGTGAAGGAAGATAGACACCTGTTCGAGAATAACACACAGCCCCTTCGCGGCCAGGATAGCGTGACGTTCCATGAAGGCAATGCGCTCTTCGTTTGGGCCGCCACGAAGCCGCTGGATACTGCGCGGTGGGAGTTCATTCTCCAGGTCACTCAGACCGGACACTTTGGAAGCAGCCTTGCTTAGCCCACTGGACGTACGTCTCCCTGTACCACCCCGATCAGATGACTTTGATCTGAAGATATCCTTCAAAGCGTCCAGAATCAACGTGCGTTTAGTGGGCCGTTTCAATGAGATTGTGCTGGCCGTGGAGCTCTTGCGATCGTTCGACCATGGGCCGTGTCCGCCGTCGCTGCTTTCGTCCGAATCACTGTCCTCCTCTTCGTCTCTGAGCTTAATCAGCTTCTGCAACTTGAGAACGATGTACGCATGATCAGAGTACCAGTCGACCTTTGTGCGGTTAGTCTCGTTGATTAGATCCTCGATCGCAAGCCGATGCAGGCATTTGTGGTTTCCGAGAATTCGAATCACATCCCAGCTCAGCCCGTTCACGTTGATCCAGCGACACTGCACCCAGGGCTCCCTCTCCCGCTCAAGGAAAGGCTCTAGAGTATCGTTGTCGAGGATGTACTGGCGCATCTCATGTTGCGAAAAGTCCACGACGGAGATCTCACAGCGTTTGTACAGGTCGGCAGCGGTTGAAGCCATCCACTCGGCATTGTAGGCCGGCAGCGGTTGATTTGGATCGATGCCCGGCTCCTCGCCAGGCTGCCAATTCTGGTCATGGGGGCCATCTTCGCGATAGTATGAGCGCGCGGTGGTCGAACGCCGCCTGCGAATCCTGGCAGTGTCCCGCGAGTTGAGCCTCGCAGCAGTGGTAAACGCGTCCGGAGACGGGGGCGCCCGCGTGGTTGGCGAGATCGGTGGCTCCTGAGGACGTGGGTTGGCTTCGATGTCTTCTACCTGGTGAGAGGTTGATGGCAATTGTGCGGTCTGCGCATGGTCAAAGGAATGGACACTCATGGCATCCAGATTACGGCCTGGCTGCGTGGGCTTGGGTCAGTGGAGAAGTTCTGCATTGAACATGGATTCAAGATCCAGGGTAGTTTCGAGACACAGAGAACAGAGTATGCCATAAGTTGATCAGCCCAAGATGATGGTTGTTGGAATTCCTCGAATCCTGGAAATCTCGGAGATTTGTAGTGATGGTGGGCGGCAGGTGCACGGGGCATTTGCACGAAGATGCCGCCCGTAAAGGGGATGCCGCATCGCCGCGGGGAAATGACGTCGACTCGGTTATATCATTCCGCAAAGGACGATACATTCCTCAGACAGAATTAAAACGCTTAGTAGTAAAGTGAAGCTGGGTGGGCCTTGATAGTCAGAAGATGTCTACATTAAAGAAATAAGGAAGTGTATCTCATCAATTTCAACTAAATAAGAATTAAGCCTTGCAAGTTTCATGCAATATCTCTTGGCTACAGTGAGCACATCTCTTGGCTTCTCTCTTCATTGTGATGTTCCACCACTTGCCAACCCGCTAGAAGGACACCGAAGATTCGAATCCGATTCCCTTGTCCCGAGTGATCTAAAGAGGGGCCTCTCGCATTGTGTCGGTAGAAATCCTAGTTCTCATCTTTAGACAGCTGGCTAAGCGTCTCGCACAGTCGATGAAATTGCGAAAGCTCAAATCCCCGTTGGAAGCTTCTTTGCAACAGCGAAATGTGACGAGATCATTGTTGTGTGTTGTGAGAGGCCCCCATCGCCCTAATCTGGGCTCCTATGGTGCTCGAAGGCTATGGTCGCCGCTACTGTGGAGAGACACGGCAGCCCCTGCTCAATGCGCCATGACATGTCATACCGAGGAACACATGTAGTCGTCAGATAGTGTCCATTATCAGGTTCGGTGGCGAGATCGCAAGGTCTGCGCAGTTTGACACTCCGCCCTGGTAATTTGCCGGGGGTTTCATACTCCGCTCTGGTAACCTCGCCGGGCAAAAGCTCCTTTCACGCGGCTGAAGTATCCCCTGCATTCCTCTTACGCCGCAACAGCTTGATCTGCAAAGGTATCAAGTGTCGTTTCGGTCCTGCGACGTCGTTCCGTGACAAAGGCTTTCGGCATACTGGGCAAGTGCCTTTGGGGGATTTACTGGTAGAGTCGGACCGTTCTTCGCTGAACTTTAGTGTATCGGTAATGCATTTGTGACAAAAGAGATGTCCTATGCCAAGTTAGCTTCAATCTTATGCCTTTCTCTCCGCCAATCTGACGTGGAGATTGGAAGCCAAAGCCATACATACCACACACAGTACTGGTAGCATCCACGGGAGTGTCCATACACACGGGGCACTTATAAGCAGCAAAGATTGATTCAGCACCATTTTCAAGCGACTGTTGTGCAAGAATAGCATCTGCGCGCTGCTTGGCCTGTGTTTTCGAAATCTCCGACACCTCATCAGTCTCGGTCAGATCGATGGATGCCGCCTCACTTGACTGTCCGTCAAGTTGGAAGGGAGGGGCTAGGCGGCGTCGCTTGGGTTCTGGAGACTCCAGCGGATGATTGCTTGGGCTTGTTGACGACGAATCTAAGGAATAACGGCGGATATCCATGATCAAGACTGTACTTAGTTCCTAAAGGAGGAACCAAAAGAGTTAACCTCGGAGGCAGACTGAACATAGCCAAGTGAACTAAAAGTGACAAGCGTGGCGGAGATGAAGATCTGCTGCCACTGTTCTTATCGGGGTTGGCGATAAGAGGATGCTTCCTCTGATAGGAAGGCGGTCGCAGCCACGGAACATCAATCTTCCAGCATTTCTCATCATGACGCCGAAATCCCCCAATAGGAAAGAAAAGACGATCGCCCGGCCCTCCTTGTGAGCCAAAAGATTATCTCCAAAGCTCGGTCGCACTCTTCATTGCGCAGCATCGGCTGCGATTTCTCGAGTCGTCGTACCATGGACTGATTTGTCATCACTGTAACCGTTTAACATCATGCTTTGGAGTATTCCCTGCGCTCCCTGTCGCAGGGATGCAGCTATCTTTTTTTCGCAGAGATTGCGCTCGTCTCGCATCCCTCGGAAAGGGACATTACAAATATCAAGATACCTCGCTACGCAATCAACCACCAATGAGTCTGCGAGGAAGAGCGAGGATCAGGGCTCACTTTCCGGTAAGTAATAGATCAGATCTCCAGAAATATCAGAAATCAAGTACTAATAAAGCAGTCCCCGCTCTGGCCAGGTTCAACGAGATCGGAGTTCAACAGCTGAGCGACCATGTATATTCTCAAGTATTCCCCACGAAATCAGATCCCCCAGATCCGAAACTTGTCGCCTTAGCAAAAGAACATCTATCCAGGCATGATTTGCTCGGAAAATCCCAGGATGCCACCGAGCCCGTCGCCTTCGACATGCCAACCCTCCAAGGACAATCGCTAGACGAACACTTTTTTAAGCTAGGAATGGACTGCTCTGACCCCTACCTATCGCTCGCGAAGGAATATATAACTGTCAACTCGCCAGAAAAGCCACGCAAATGGGTGAACCGCAGCGGATGGACGAAGTACAATTCCGACGGCTCCTGGGAAGCCGTGGATGCACCCAACGAATCGATTCTGACCTTCGACACCGAAGTACTATACAAAGTACATTCTTTTGCGGTCATGGCTTGCGCAGTTAGTCCTACGGCTTGGTATGCGTGGATTTCGCCTTGGCTGCTAGGAGAGACGGAGAATGAGATTCAACTTGTACCCCTCGGAGATCCATCAAAGTCACGTATCATTGTGGGACATAACATCGGCTATGATAGAGCTCGCGTCCTTGAAGAATACGACATGGACCAGACTCGCAATTTCTTCCTCGATACAATGTCTCTACATGTTGCAGTCAACGGGATGTGTTCACAGCAGAGACCAACCTGGATGCGTCACAAGAAAAATAAAGATCTCCGGGACAAGATCACTAATGAGAGTAATTCTGTGGAGCTGGCAGCCTTGCTCGAAAACAAAATGCTCAGCGAAGAGGAGGAGGAACTCTGGATCGGAAGAAGTTCAGTGAACTCGCTTCGAGATGTGGCCAAGTTTCACTGTGATGTTACGATTGACAAGTCACAACGAGACTACTTTGGCGAGCTTAGCAGGGAGGAGATTTTAGAGAAGCTGGAGGAGTTACTCGACTATTGTGCAGCGGATGTTGCAATCACCCATCGTGTCTACAAGAAGGTCTTCCCTAATTTCCTTGAGGTCTGTCCACACCCCGTTAGCTTCGGAGCTCTGAGGCATCTCTCTTCGGTAATATTACCCGTCAATCAGACATGGCAGGAATATCTCGTCAACGCAGAGGCGACATATCATCAACGACTTGAGGACGTCCAAAAGAAAATGGTCGAGCTGTGCAATGAAGCTCTAAAAGTCAAAGACTCTCCCGAAACATATACGAATGATCCATGGTTACGCCAGCTGGACTGGTCTGGCCAGGAGATCAAAATGGTCAAGGGAAAGAAGAAGAACGACCCTCCGCGGCCAGCCGCTAGGCAAAAAAAGCCGGGCATGCCTAAGTGGTATAAGGATCTTTTCCCCAAGATCGATGCAGACATCAATCTTAGTGTTCGGACGCGGATTGCTCCAATTCTTTTGAAGTTGTCGTGGGATGGGTACCCTTTGACGTGGTCAGACAAGCACGGATGGACTTTCAAGGTGCCTCGCGAACATGCGAAGAAATACGACAATCAGCCAGTGGTGATTTGTGACATGTCTGAGGAGAAGATTCTCGAGCTCAAAAACGACCGGAAGCATGCTTACTTCAAGCTGCCGCATAAGGACGGGCCTACAGCACGATGTGTGAACCCCTTAGCTAAAGGCTATATGCAGTACTTTGAACGTGGAACTCTTTCATCCCAGTATGCACTCGCCAAGGAGGCTTTGGAGATGAATGCATCCTGCTCATATTGGATCAGCGCTCGTGATCGCATTACGAGTCAACTGGTGGTTTACCAGGATCAGGTGCGAGATGTGGAGCCAACCAAGACAGATGAGACTCGTCTAGGTTTCATTCTCCCCCAAATCATCCCCATGGGTACTATCACACGAAGAGCCGTTGAGAATACCTGGCTTACTGCAAGTAATGCGAAAGGCAACCGCGTTGGCTCTGAGCTGAAGGCCATGATCAAAGCTCCACCGGGGTATTCATTTGTCGGTGCCGACGTGGACTCACAAGAGCTGTGGATCGCGAGTCTCATTGGAGATGCTCAGTTTCAGATTCACGGTGGAAATGCCATCGGCTTCATGACGCTGGAAGGCTCCAAGGCTGCCGGGACGGATATGCACTCGCGTACTGCTTCGATCCTAGGCATTTCTCGCAACGACGCCAAGGTTTTCAACTATGGACGTATCTACGGAGCTGGAGTGAAATTCGCGGCTACTCTGCTGAGACAGTTCAACCCATCGATGAACGAGAGGGAAACACAGGAGGTAGCGAGTAAGCTATACAAAGAGACCAAGGGCACTCGGACGACTCGGCGCCTTATCAGTGATACTCCCTTCTGGAGAGGTGGCACCGAGTCATTCGTGTTCAACAAGCTGGAGGAGTTCGCTGAGCAAGAAAGACCTAGAACCCCGACCCTGGGAGCAGGAATTACAGAGGCATTGATGCGGCGCTTTATCAACAAGGGCAGCTTCATGACGTCCAGGATTAACTGGGCCATTCAATCCTCCGGCGTTGATTATCTGCATCTGCTGATCGTCGCAATGGACTACCTCATCCGGCGCTTCAACATCGCTGCTCGACTAGCCATCACCGTGCATGATGAAATCCGCTATCTCGTCAAAGATGAAGATAAATATCGTGCTGCCCTTGCGCTGCAAGTGGCGAACGTCTGGACCCGTGCGATGTTCTCCGAGCAAGTTGGGATTCACGACCTCCCCCAATCTTGCGCCTACTTCTCCGCCGTCGACATCGACCACGTCCTCCGCAAAGAAGTGGACATGGACTGCATCACCCCATCCCATCCGCACAAGATCCCGCACGGCGAAAGCTTAGACATCGTCAAACTTCTGGACAAGAGCGAGCAAGCGCGGCTGGATCCGTCCATCGAGCCCACCATCCCCCCCGCCCCCGAGAAGTACGCCTACAAACCACGCCCGACCGTGATGTCCGCACTGCCCGATTCTAACCACCCATCCTTCATTCGGGCCCAGATCACCAAAGATGACGCGGAACTCCGAGAGATCGTCAAGGAGCTCACGAAAGAGAAAACCGCGATGGCCGCAGCAGCAACTCAGTCCACCGCCACCGGCACCAGCCAGGGCCGCGGCCGCCCCCGCACCACCGCACTGCCAGCAGCGGAGCCCCAAAAGGCCATTCTGATGGACGTCGGCTCGACCATCTACACACCTGGCTTCCGCGGCGGCTTCTCACAGCAAGGGAGCAGGTCTCCCCACGTCAGCTTCAATCGCCAGAATTGGAAACCCCGACATTCCGCTCGCGCGTGATGCGTGACATGGGTGCTGCTGGGCTGGCTCGTCTTGTCACCTTCTCTCTCCTCCGCCCTCACCAATCCTTTCGGTCCTTCTCCTGTAAATATAATAAAGCTTGTTTTTCGTTGGTCGATGGACTAACTTCCAGGCTATAACCTCAACTTCATGTCTCATCCGATCTCTCTCTCTCACCTTCTTCTTCTTCTGATATGTATTATGTGTCCTGGAAAAATCTTTTGTATCGCAAAAAGCATTGGGAAGGGCGTCGAAAGGGGGGAAATGGATGTTGCATTCTGGCGGGACGTTCTTTTTTCCCTTGCTTTCCAATGTCGACGACATATATCCGCTGCTTTTACAACGGTGTTCTTATTCAGGGGTGTGGTGCAATTTATGTGTGAACTATCTGAAACAAATTCCAAAATCAAAACGGCATTTTCCTGTGCAAGATGATTCTGCGTAGAAGAAACTCGTGCTGACGTCTACGTTCTTGGTCCTTGTCAAGATTGCAAGGATCAACATCATTAGCAAAGCTCAAATAGTGAGTTGAATGAACTATATAGGAAGGAACATGCATGATCTTCAAGAAGCTCTACTCTTGTACGATAACGATAGCCCGATGCAAAGGCGTCCATCTCTCACGCCTTCTTCCTCCCGGGGTCGAGGGTATTCCTCCTACTCAGCCCATTATTCTCCCCTCCGCGCAGCATGGCGTCGCCCTTCCTGCCGAGAACCACCTCCAGGGCCTGGATCAAGGCCGTCGCGTCGTACTTCATCCCCACGGCGACCTCCTCCCCGTCGGCGCCGGGGCTCGTGATCTTGCGCCCGTAGAGCCGGAGGGTCTCGATCCCCATGGCGGCGAGACGGTACTTGTCCACCGCGGGGGTGCCGGGCCCTTCTAGGTGCAGCACATGGGTGACATAGGCGGTATACGGCAGGGGCTGGTCGGTCAGAGGTTGCTGGTTTGCGTCCAGCACGCTGCGGCCGCGGCTCTCCTCGCCGGCGCGGGTGATGGCCTCGACGAAGTCGGCGGCCAAGAAGGGCGCGGCGGGGGGTCCCGTCTCGCGGTCGAGGGAGCCGTTCAGGATGAGGATCTTGTGGCGGGCGGGCCCAGTGGCGATGGCGTGGCCGACGCCGCGGAGGATGAGCGAGGGAATCAGCGAGGTGTACAGGGAACCAATACTGTAGACGATGGCCTGGGCGTCGCGCAGGGCCTCGATGACGCGCGGGTTGGCCGGGGGCCGGATCTCCTGGCCGTAGGGGTTGATGTACCAGATGCGGGTGATGCGGGAGGGCAGGTCCTCGTTGTCGGACTTGCTGAAGGAGATGTTCTTGTTGCGCAGGGTGGGCAGGGAGCCCGGCGGGTGGTCGTCCTCGTACGAGAAGGCGCCCGAGTCGTCCGCGTCCTCCAGGCATTCGCCGCCGTCGGCGAGGAGGAGGCTGGGCCGCCGCGAGCCCGGCCGTAGGGCCGTGACCTCGCTGGGGTGCGAGATGCTGTTCTGGCCCACGATCACGGTGCCGTCCGCCAGCGAGGCGGAGATGTGGTGCGAGAAGTTGGAGTTGATGGCCGGGATCACCCGCACCAGGTCCGAGGGCACCCCGCAGATGCTGCCCAGCAGGTAGATGGCGCTTTCGAAGCTGCCGCTGAACAGGCGCGCGCCCGTCAGGAACAGGTTGCCGACGCTGGCGGAGGTGAAGTCGAAGGTGGAGGACGGGGGTCGGGCGCGCTTGAGGATCTCCAGGTTCAGGAGGTTGAAGAAGGAGCGGATCAGCTCCTTTTTGGCGGGCGTGATCAGTTTCCAGATCGCGGATGTGCCGTCCACGATCGAGTGCCATTCGGCATGGGCCTGCACTGCGTCCGCTGGAAGTCGATGGTTGAAGAGGGTTTTGATGGCCGCGCGCTCTGAGTGAGGCGGCGATTCTGGGATCAGACGGACCAATCTACCTGTTTTTCACGGTTAGAAAACAGTAACGATGAGAGGCAGGGGAAGAGGAAGAGGCTTTGGACTTACTGCGTACATCGCCGATTCCAGGGCCACCGAAAATCCGAATCAGCTCGGAGGAAGAGCCACCGTTGTCGCTGATGGGGATAATATAGCTCAGCGGACAATCCTTGGTCTCGCGCACCGAGTTGAAGACATCAACTAGGTTGTTGGCGGCGCTTCCTCCAGAAAACACCACCAAGCCCCGGTTGGGCACAGTGGGCGTCGCCATGAGCGCAAAAGGTATTATTTGATGGCGTGAAGCAAGTGGCTCCCTGCTATTGTGTATGTGATCTGAAACGGTGTTCAAATCGACATTATAATCCCTTCCGAAGAAGCCACGACAGCATGATTAGTACAGCAATCACGAGGCGATGCTGGGTTAGGTTGGCAGTTACAGCTGCCAAGAGATCCGTGCGCTGACTGGATATTCTGAGTATTCATGCAAGAGAGTATTCGAGTGTTCAAGTCGGTGAGTTGCAGGTGTATTCAAAGACATTGTCTTATGATCCGGTGAGGTGGCGATGGAATGAATGCAGGGAGGATGAAATCCCAAAACAAGAATCCGGCAGGCGATAAACAAAGCCGAGGCAACCACGGTTCATCTCAAGTTGACAACAACTGCTCAACCGAAACAATTCATTCTTACTAGTCTTTCTTGATTTTAAGCGTCTTGGTGGTTGCTCATAATTATGATGAAGTATTTTTTATACTTTGTTTGAACGATGTAAGATATATATATGGTTGGCCCAGGCGATATAAATAGCTCGATATCAGCCAACAAATTGTTTTTCTTTTCAGAGTCATGGAGTGGTGATACACATTTTGATAGATTGAAACTATATTCTCAGAAAGATGCCAGGATCCCAATAGACTCAAGCATATGCGGCCCAACCTAGAGTGCAAGTAGATCAGTCAGCGTATGTCCATGGGTGTAATGAGGTCTTTCTCCAGACTTACCACAGTATAGTACAGCGAGATTCTTTTCATCCGTAGCCTGCTGGATCAGTTCATTCACAGTAGCCGTCACACTCAACGTCTTGCCCAGCTTCTTGGCTACTACGGTGAGTGCACGGTCTGCTTCACTCGGTTCGTTGGCAGAACGCTGATCCATATTGCCCGTGATGACCGGAGGCCCATCTTCATCAGCCGCATCCTGCGCGTCTTGCATTTTCTTCAGCCGCAGCGGGGACACCGTCCAGCTATAGAGTGGATCGTATCGAAGCACATCCAGAATCGTCATGATGCTGTACGACTCCTGCCGCAAGGCATCAAGTGTGAACTCGCAACAGCGCCTGAAAACCCCTTCGGTCTTGCTGATGCCCATCCCATCCACCAGGTCGCGTGTCAGGCGGAAGGGAACAACTTCGGGGACTGGAAGGACTCGGCCTTGTTCGAAGGCAACGCCTAAATCGATATGAACGACCTCACCAGTCCGCTCGTCCAGTAGAATGTTATGACCGTGTCGGTCGCCCAGACCCAGCACATGACCTAGAATCGAAATGGCCGCAGTGCTCCGAGTGTATGCCAGCCTCTTGCTGAACCAGTCGTCCGGGTTGTTGAACTTCTCCATGAAGAAGAATCGCATCACTGGGTGAAAATGCTCCGTCACTTGGCGGAAGGTACGTACTCTTTGCTCGAATGAGCGTGTTTGGACATCGCTGATATGTTTACGGCACACGTTCGGTTTCATGTCCTTCGGGAAATATTTTTGATGTGCCGGCATCAAGTAGTCATGGAGCGGAATTGTATGGGGAACAAATTCGATGATTCCAGCGTTGGATGTGAGAGGCAGCACCTTATAGGTCCGAATACCCAGGTTTCGTTGCCGAGTGGCTTGGTGATCTTTGAGAAGGCTGCTGACTTGCTCGAAAACCTGTTCCATGATGGCGTCCTGCCGCAGATCGTCGTTCCCTCCTTTGAACTTGGATAAACGTTAGCATGACGGAGACAACCAGTCAGGTATTAAAGCTTACCAGTTGCCTATATCGTCGCCCGTTGCTAGCAATTGCCGTGACAATCTTCGGGGCACTGACACCGGAAGCGATGGTGAAATCTGGCTGGTAGCCCTGAAGCCTTGGTACATCGCTATAATCGCAGTCAAGGCGAATCTCAATTCTCATCGTGGGGGGTGGAAGTTTCAATTCAGATGCATCTCGCTCGAGGCGTTGGCCAGTGGACAACTTTTTCAACGGGACCTTAGCACCACTCTTTAACTTGTCGTCTGGTTTGTCGATCGCAAACCGCACGTAGCTGATGTTTGCATTATGAACATTCACCCAGGTCGTTCCCATGCGTTTGTCGTTTTTGAGGCCGTCGACCAGCTTGTTGGCTGCCCTGTAACGAGATAGGGCCAATTCATCCTTGCCGCCCTTCGATTTGCTGCTTGCAAAGATTTGATACATGCCATGGAATGGATGTTCGACGCAAATGCGATATATCAATGCAAAGAGCATCTTTTGAAACTCATCAGAAATATCGAGAAGACGGGATGTCAACTGATTCATCAGAGAGGCGAACTTGCGGCTAGGGACTTGGTGAAGGTACTTCGACACAGCCATATTCGCAATCGGGCTATCGGATTTGTCAAGCCACAGCGCACAGAAACGCAGAGCATCGTTATTGTACGACTCGCTCTCTCTCAAACACAGCAGATAGTTCTCGAGACATTGCTGAAGGAAAGCTTCCCGACTGCACAAGAGACGTTGGTACTCGCGATCATCGAGATCAAACCATTGCTTAGTCTTCGACCGGTGAAACTTGAGGGCTTCTTTCTCTCTGCCCGAGGCCGTTGCCAGCATCTCCTCCAGCGCAATAACTTCTTGTTCTTTGCGGTTGCGAATTTGTTCGACACGCCTGAAATCCTCCAGCCCGTCAGGGTTCTGTAATTGCTGGTCACAAAACATCGCAAACCCGTGATAGACTCGACCAGCATCTTCTCCCCGTGAGCGGTATTTAAGTTCCTTGGCTGCTACAGACATGTAGTCCTGTATGATAGTTTCTGGCTTTTCCAATCGCGCTTCTGCAGTGCGGTGCCCCTGAGCAAGTCAGCACCGGACTTGACGCCGTAGATGAAATCAACAAAGATGTGGGCTAGACTTACCAAAGTCACGAGAAGTTCAGCACGGCTTATTGGAACTGCTTGCTTGTGTAGATCGTTTCGATCCTTGAGTTGCCGGAGCATCCTGATGGATGCAGCCATTTCGCCCTGGTCCCAAAGGACATTGGCTAGATCAAACTTTGCCGCTCCTTCAGTATCTATTCCCAGCAGCGCGCTCTGGGATGCAAGCTTCTGAAGACAAAACGCAATCTTCAGCGAGGCCTGAGAAATATCGTGACTCTGCGCGACCTCAAGCGACTGGCGAAGGACCTTGATTTCCAGTAACAGCGCATCTGAGTCTTGGAGGTGGATTGCAGACTTTAGGAAGTCCTTCTGCCTGATCGTAGAGAAAAGCGCCTCATGACAGGTCAAGATCTCCCCAACCTCATCTGGGCTATTTTGCCTCAGTAAACAAGTTTGTATGCATGTGACGGAGAGGTATCTTGAAACTCACCTAGTTCTTTTCAACCAAGAGTTTCTGGATGCTATCTTCTGCCACTCCTGGTGGATCCCATCCGTCGATTTTGCACTTAGAACATCACTGATTTCTGTCATGATTCCCAAGACCCTCATGGCAGTTCTCAGATCGCTTACTGACTGACTGCTGCTGCTGCTCAACAATTCCAAACTGCTCAGCAGGCACTCGTTGACGGAGTTGGAGACATCAGCTAGGGTTCTCGACATGCTGAGACTCTGGAAGACCCGAAAGACTGCCCCGGGCGGGGACGCATGCAAAGGCGACACAGGGATATTCCACTGTCGCAGACTGGTAGCTGTCTGAAGCATGCTATCGAGAGACAGTGAAGTATCCTTCGAGTTTCCGGAAGCCACAAAAACGGAGTTTGCAATACCCTGAAGATTCGTCGAATGAAGTGCCTTCAGGACACCGTGCACATTCGTTGTTTCACCCATCTGAATCTCACTGTCATATCGAGCGCTCTGGAACAACAAGTTTTTGAGCCCAGAGCTTTCGTGTTCGAGCTTTTCCATAACAGCTGCTAGAGACGAGTCCTGCTGAATGCCATAGAAGATATCTGGATCGTCTATCTCCTGATATATAGAGTGTAGGACGTCTGGAGGAGCCTCGTACTTGGCGAGCGATGAACGACGAGATGTGGAAGTCAACCGCGAAGCGTAAATCTCAAGAAAAAGAAGTCCTGTCTTCGGCAAAAAGCATCGACTGGCTGCTGCGGACGCCTCAGCAAAGTCAATATCGAGCCACTCATCGCGCTCCACAATGGTCGACTCATTTGGCCTTGGCTGGTTTCGGAGATAGAGAATGCAGTTTATGACAAGGCGCGCGTGAGGTATGGTATTATCATCAACCTGCCTTAACACCTTCTTGAAGATTTCGGAGATCGTAAAACGAATGCTCACTTCGCCATGCAAGTCTGCCAGCAGAACCTCATGAAGAATTTGTGGTAGGATTTGCACTGCTAGATTTGGCATGACGTTTAGAAGAACGTGTAATGGTCCAATGATCGGGTCTTCGGAAGCGGCTCGAGACAAAAAGAATCCGACACCTTTCGCAAAGTCATTTACAGAGACGCTGGGATCCCATCCGAGCCCGTGGTCTGTGTCAGCTTTCGATAATCGCGTAGGGATATCGGGACAGTGGTAGGGATCCCATGTCAGGGCGCCGAGAAGGAAAGGGGATATGGCGTTGCGGCAATAATCAAGCTCAGGGAAGTTGCTTAGGTTGCTGACGATCAATTGCATCGTACGTTCGACAAGGCCCACCTCGGCATGACTGCTATTTTGCAGCATATTACATAGCTGTATCAGGATACTGATCCTTGAGCGGTGATTTGAGTCCAGGATTACGCGGGGCTGCAGTGTTTCGAGTAAGGTGGGTTCCTGTTCTCTCGATAGCGTGTCGCTGATACTGCCTGTGGCAGCAAACGCTTTTCCAATCACTTTAGCGGCCCAAATTTTGTATTCATCACGGCAATCAAACCTTTTCAATGTCTGACAAACCGTCACAGCATTTGAGATCGCCATCTCATCACTCTCAGTCAAATCAAGACGGGGATTATGGTCTCGGGGAAGCTCATTCTCTGCGCACAACAACGATACAACATGATCCGAAACAGGCCTGCTGAGGAGACTATCCCCAGAACTTTGGTCGCCAAGGACATGCACGAGCAAATTGTGTTCATCTTCGCTTTGTGCTCCTCTTTCGCTTTTAGTTGTTCCTGAGCATGACCTCACCAACAGGCCGAATAGTTCAGACTTCTCAGCACTCATAGCGGAGGACTCATAAGAGTCCAGGGCCGCTTCAAACCAGTCGAGAAACTCTTCTACTCTAGCCATTACCCGTCGCAGGAGGTCCTCTTGTGTTGGTACTGTCGGTGGCGATGCGACGAATCTTCTCAATGAGAGCAACGTTGTAACCGCTATCCCGGCCATCAGACCGGGGCACTCGCTCAGATAACCCTTTCCTGCGTCCAGCATGTACCAGAAAATTCCGAGTGCATCTTCTGCGCAGAATAGATCAACCAGATAGGGCCGAAGTGCGTGGATGATCATCTCGAATGGATAATCCCGCAGCATGACAGGGCCGGCAACACTGATGAGGATCCTGACCTTTCGGATGACAGAGCAAGCGTGAAGAGATCCAAGGGCTGGATGAATAGATTCCAACAATGCGCGACAAGTATAGGTTGCTAGAGCAGGTGTCCAGATGGTTTCTAGCTCGTATCCACTACGCTTGCAAATAAAATCAAGCTCATCCATGAGATAACGAGCCCTGAACGACGGCTGCTGGTTTGCAGGTAACACGGTGTTTGAGCAGCTTTTTTCAATGATAGACCTCAGAATAGTATGGGCCTCGCGAAAGTTGCTTTGCCTTTGGAGCGCTCTTTCGACTTGGTCGTATTGATCGAGTGTTTTGAAAAAGGTCGCTATAATTTGAGGGAACTGCCTTTCGACCAATGATATGAATCTATCTGCACCCAGTATCCTCTTCAGTTGGTTCTCCACGCCCTTTGGTTGGCTTCCCTGGCTAGGAGGAATACTGATATCACGAGCAATGCTGTAAGCCTCTGCTTGATAGAAAGACGCGTCTAGAAGTTCAACGAACGGTGAGCCAGTACAAGCCGCGAGCTCTTCCGCCTCATGCTCATTCCAACGCATCATGACCTGGCCAACAGCCTCATCTTGCACATCGAGCAACATATCTTCGGTGCTGGAATATCCGAAAACACTGTAAGGTAATGACGTTAAGGACTGGCCTTCTGTCCATGTGTAGATAATTTGGGAGCAAAAAAGACGAAAGAGCTCTTTGGCATCTTTGAGCCCAAGTATGTCTGCAACCTCTTTCATGCACTTCTCAGCATAGCGTAGTGAGAGTGGAACATGAGCAGGAGTTTCGAACATGTGATAGATACTTCTGCGGAGTAAGGTGTGCCACACGGAAGCAAGGCGAGCCAAAATGAGAAGTCGAAGAGCGATTCCTTCAATCCAGTCCGGATCTCGAGGCAGGCTGCTCAACACATCACTGAATATAGCATCATGGTCGGTGAGAGAGAAATTGCCGAAAAGTTGAGGAATCAATTCACCAGCTCTAAACTTCACGGCAGCGTTTCCCTTCCGGAGTATGGTGAAAAGACAGGTACGAGGAGATGGGCTTGCTGGGCCACTTGTATAGGCAGAATTGTGGACAAGAATCTCTCCCAGCAGCTCCGTCATCGCAATGAGAACTGAGGGAGAAGCTCGCTTTTTTGCGAGAAGTATATCCACAAACCAAGTGTATATGTCAGTCGCCGAATCAAAGAAATGGTCTTTCTCTTGCCTAGTCCATGATTTGACAAAGCTTTGCATCATACGGAGACAAACAAGGTGAGAGTTTTCGCAACGTTCTAAACCGTAGGACTGAAGGCACTTCTCAGCGAGGTCCTCGAGTATGTTCAGCAACGATTCGCGACTTAGGCCGGCACTGGCCTGATAGACATAGGGGAGGAAGTCCCGAGCAGACAAGATGTCAACCTCGTCGAGACTAGTCAAATACCTAACAATGTCCTCATTACTAGACAGTTGATCAGGAGAAGCTAAGTAGGCATATATCTTCTGGAAGCAAGACACTTGAACGGTAAGGCAGCGCTGAAATGTGGCAGCATCTGGGAGCAAGGGAAGTGCTTCTCGATTCTTGTTCAGTATGCCTGTGATTTCTGCCAATTGATCATAGTCTGTGAGCAATGGATCGTCTAAGTCCATGGGTTCTTCACCGCGAGAACCCAATATTTCTCTCTGTCGTTGTCGGGATTCTTCTAAGATTTCCGCAAGGGGACCTAATAAGCCGCATAGAGCATTCGACACAACTGACTCGGGAGCAGAAAGTAAATTCTCCGGTGTGAGGTATGGCGACACGATTACTAGACAAGCGTTCACAAATACTGATTCTCGGGACCTCATGAATAAGCATAGGCTCTCCCACAGTAGCTGAATATTCTTGCGTAAAGACGGCGTTCGCTCTCCAACTTGCTCTGGCAGACATTCCGTGTACAGGGCAACAACGACACAGAAGGACACGACTATCTGCAATATATCCGTTGTGATAAGATGTGACTTCTCAGTTGAAAATGACTGCCAGGTCTGCAAGAGACTTTCGGATTTTGTATGCAACAAGTCAAGAATGATGTGATCATTTGGGTCAGGTCGAGCAAATGATTTCAACAGCAATGGGTCCCGGGCATTCCATATATCCGCACTGCCTAACACATCTTCGAGGTCAAACAGATAATTTAAGAGCTGCTTGTTTCTGACGAAGTACTGCCAACCTTTGGCAACAGTACTGTTAAGTCCTCCAGACCGACTCCTTGGCAATGAAAGACGTCGGTTTGTACAAGCAAGAAGTACATTGACAATGTCCAGAGGGCGAGCGAATGATGCCGCTTGTGCTAAATGCATACGATCTGTCACCGTCCCTGTTCAAAATCAGTGAACTGAGCTATGCCTGTGAGTGATTCTGCGACGAACCTATTGTCCACGATTCGCGAAGCCAAGACGATATTTTACTTGAAGCTTCCGTGACCAAGCCCGGGTTGATTTGCGCTGTTTTGCGAATTATCGTAGCCCAGAGTGCTAGAGACGAATCGGACAGAGCAGACGGACCATCCAGGTTGTTAGGAGAAAGCATCGAATTTATTGACTGGATGACCACAGAGTAGTCTAGAAGGTCAAAGTGAAGAATGTTGTGCATGACATTGCAAGCTGCTCTGGATGTTGCTTGGGAGGTTGAAGCCCGAGACGCAAGTTCCCAAGCCTGTTCCCAGTACGACCTTAAGGATGATGAGCCTGCATTTGGACTACTTGCGATACTATGATTTGGTGCGTTAGTCACTTTGTACTTCTAGTGCTCGCCGTGCCTGACGAACCTTGCAATGGCTACCATCGTCCACATAGAGATGGCACTGTTGTCGTCAAGCATACTAGGAAGTAATCGTTCGAGCAGCACAGTCTTTGAATCAATGCTCCGGTAGCAATTGTGCAGAAAAGGTAGTAACTGCAAAGCGCAGACTCTGCTTGCATTTGAAGCATTTGTGGATTGTCGGATGATATCGTCGAACATCGAGGTCAGGCGACGCTTCTTCAAGATTTTGACTTCAGAAGGAGTGGAGATCCGCACAGCGATGTCCTCTAGTAGCTCAACCAGCTTGGCTGTAACCCACAATATAGTCCAATTATGCTCGGATCTTGGGGCATCAAGACGAGGCCAAATGAAGTATTCCTGCCGGTCAGTCGAAGTGCGACGGTGGAAAGATAGCTCGTCCAACTGCAAAATATCTTTTTCTGGCCGTTTTGTGTATTCTGTCTGCAGAGTAACCAGCATATCTTCAATCGTGTGGATTAGAGATTCGGACGGCTCTCTATGAGCTGCGTCAGTCAGAGTGACCACACATAGCATAGATGTCACAATCATTTCATCCTTCAAGCCTAGAATCTTGGTGGGCCAAAGTCGTTTGATCACTGGGATCAGGTTGAGCAACGATGTCCGAGCAAGATCTGACTGTTCAGGCAATACCTTCATCACGACTCTATTGATGCAATCAAAGGCGGCTTGGTAGCCATTTCCGACCAAAGTTAACGAGCTCAGAAGCTTGGTCAGCTCATAGAGGATCTCTTCGGCTGACTCGAGGACCGGAGCTGTTGGACACCCAATGAGAAGCTGAATACATGAAACAGCTTCTGTAACGGCACTCGTGTTGAGTCTAGAATTTTCCCTGAAAGACACCCTGGATGGTGTTGAGGCACCATTGGTCGAGGCCACAAAGCCGTCTAAAGTAGATAAGCGATGGGTTTGCGCGCTTTCTTGGCTGTCAGTCTCATGCGAGCCTAAAATACGAAGGCAAAACTCCAGAAGCTTGTCCCACTCGTTGTTGGCGAGGTGTTCGAGATGTGGAGGAAAACTCAATAGAGTAGTCAAGCATTTGATATAGTCCACACTGAGGATCTCTGTCAGAGGAGCTCCGGGAGTTGACACAGTCTCCGTGACATGGTCAACTATCGCGCGGACCGACTTTGTCCGCAAATTATGCAAAAAAACATCAATGGCCGTGCGAAGGACGGATGCACATGATGACAAACGCGAGGTAGAGGCCCCCTTTGAGGTTGCGCGTGTATACAGGGACTTTTCCACTGAGACATATCGGAATAACGACTCAAACAGTTTGTGGCAGGCCTTGTCATTGAGTGTGTTTCTATAAGGTTACACACGTGCGTGTCAATCCACAATGTTCCCAAGACATGAGCCTACATTTCAGCATGGGATCTTGACGTACAGCTTCGAGCTTTTTCTATTCTGCTGTAGTATATGTTTGAGATCTATTCAGTGTCAGAGCTTTCGCTCATAAGAGTGCTGCCAAGGTAATAAAAGGTGACCGACCGGCTAGCCCATCTGACCGTTCCCTGAGCTTGTCAGATGCCAGAAGCGCAATGGCTCCTTCGAGGGTAATTTCTCCCATTTTGACGAGGACCTGAGGTCTCCCAGAGCAGTACGACCACCTTCATCCCACAATTGACGGGAGTGCCTGCACTGGTGTGGTTCGATCACCCTGCATGTGAATCTGGAGTTGTTGTTGTTCCTCGTGCGGCGGGCGATTAGATACTGAGTACGGAGTAGATAGTGTAACTACAGTACAGCCAGTATGAAGAAGGACTTCTGGTCCGGGCGGGCGCCGATGAGCTCCGCCCGCTCTTGACCGCCCGGGATTTTGGTCGCGTCCTCCGACCTTTTTTGGCCCGGACAAACACATCTCCCCCCCCCCCATCGTCCGCTTCGCTGGTGCTCGTCGCAATAAGTCGGCTGCTGCAAGAGCAAGCTTCCTGCCAGGCATGGAGGACACAGATACTGTTGCAAGCCTTCGAGGCCTGAATCAGGACTTGCAAAACCTCTCGTCAGCTTTCGTCGTCAATATCGAGCGTCTCCGAGTCGAATTGGAGACACACATTGAAGACTTCAAGAAGCTCCTCGACAAACCCACGAAGAACAATGCAAGCCGACAATCCGTTCTCTCGGGTATGTGCTAGCTCCTGGATCTCAATGGAACGCTTTCAGACGGAACCGTTTGCTTGATCTGGCACCAATGTGATGCTGACCATGTCTGCAATGCGATCTAGGGAAGGTAACCATCGGCAATGTCGAATACTCCATCAACCAGGATTTTCAACAAGGCGTACTCCAGCTTGCGGATAGTCTGAATATCGATGAACTTGAAGCTGCGTTCTTGTTCTTCGATGCGCAAGTCGAGGCTCAATCACTAGACAGGCCCCTTCTCAACGTTGCGATCATGCGCTTTCACCAGCGCCGGCAGTTCTTGCTTGACTCGTTGCGCCTTATTCTCCAGGAATCGTTCGAGGTAGAAAGGGAAACAAACCAAATCATCATGCAGGAAATGATGGCTCACGTGGTTGAGATCAAGAATGGTCCTTTACGAAATGCTTCGTTATACACCCGGAAATGCATGACTGCCATGATGGATGTGGAGAAGTGGCTTGCGCTCCTCAGCGACCAGGCTCAGAAGGCGACGCTTGTCGGTCAGATCGAAGATGCTGATACCATGGAATTGCTAGAGTTCCAGCGCAACAGCCTACTGCAGCAGCATGAAACGCTTGGCGCCGTTCTAAGCTACCTTTTCAAAGGCCCTTATACCAGCCCTGAAGACCTTCGAGTTCTCGTGAAGCATCTCCGGACCCTTGATCGCTTCGACAGTCTAGTTGTTCACTACATCCCATGCATAGTATCTGCTTTTGAACAACACGGCTCCCCTGAAAAGTCGAGCTCCTATCAAGAAGCCAAAAGTTTGCATAAGGAGATCGTCACTACAACGGTCGCTCAAGAGTGGAAGCTGCCCACTTTCCATTCTGCAATCATTACACTCTGGCTCGCGATATTCAGCGCTTGGGACTTTGATGCTCCGTCCTCGCCTGTGCAGGGAGTGGACCCCGAGAAAGACGCAGATGAGCGTACAGCTTTGTTCATGACAGCGCTGGATGACGGCGGACTCGATCTCCTGCTTACAGTCTGTTATGGTATCAATAATGAGGAATGGGCAGATCCAGCTCGCAGTGAGTTGATAGCTTTGCTTCTGAAAGAGGTTGCTTCAGCAATGCTCGAGCTAGATCAGTGCTCTGAGTTTCTGAAGACTCTTCTAATGGAGAGCTTCGAGCTTTTCACTGAGGCATGCATTGCAAATATGCCGGATGCTGTTCGCATGTTGAAAACCGAAGAAGACTCCCAACGGCTTGATCACCTCACAGCTCTTCGAGATGGCTTGACCTCCACGCCTCATCGTGGCGTTGTCGAAGCTCGCACACACCTTGAGTCTTTTTTGATGATCATGGCTTTCGCATTCGAACAACGGCCTGACGCCGCTCAGGAGTTTTGGGCCGATCCTGACTCAAACTTGTACGGCTTCCTCCAGTGGGCCTCTAAGCGACAAACCGTTCCTAGGGTCAGCGCATTCTGTGAACTGCTATGTTCCATCTCTGTAGGCGATGAAAATGCTACTGCAGCCCACCGATTTCTCTCCGAGGAGGACAAATTCCTTTCTACTAAGTTCAAGCGGTCGACAGCTATGAACTGGTCACAGATGTTCGCTGAGCTAGATTTGTACGCCGAAAGAGTCACGGAGAAGCCACCAGCATCACAGGCAGTCCTACGCTCGAGAAAGTTGAATCCAGCTGATATGAGTGAGCCCGAGAGTCCTGTGATGCTTACTTGCTATCTCAGGCTCCTGGAGCATCTGTGCAAACAGAGCGCTACTATTAGAGATTGGCTACTCCATCACCCATCCTTCAACGTCGTCGGCACATTGTTGATGCTTTGCAGTGGGTCGGTGCCTACTCATCTGAGGGCCAATGTTTTCACAGCCCTCGCAGCTCTCATGACTGAACGAACGGCCCACAATGGAAACGAGATGTGGCTGTCTATCGATCAATGGATTTCCAACCCGAATACTGCCGGTGGAGCTAAAGCTCCTGTGAATAGCAATGCCTTTGCATGGTATGAGCAACAAATATTTCGGAACATTGGAGAGCGTTTCGATCAAGCCAATGCTTTTGTCACTCTGGTCTCCTCACTTGTTACGCCTACACCTGAGTCCGCAGAATTTCATCTTTCATTACCCTTCCCGGAGAATCTCGGCTCTTCCTACCGCACGGCTGGCATTGAGCCATATGTTGACTTCATCATGGGCCACGCTCTAGCAAGAAAGGTCCCTGATATGAATGAGCGCCAGACTCGTTTGTTGACCCTTAACTGTTTGGAATTTGTGGCATGCTGTCTCAATTCGTTCAATGAAAATCTGGTGACCGTCTTAAGTCAGCCGTCTGTGTCACCCGATTCTGCTTTCAAGTCTTCGACAATGGTGACATACATTCGTCTTCACCCCTTCGCGCGAGTTGCAGAATGGTTGTTCAACGAGGATGTCCTCAAATCTCTGTTTGCCACAGCCCAACAAGATGTGAACGAGGTCGCCAGGGCATCGCCAGATTCCACGCTCGTTCTCTCCTTGCTGAGAAGCTTGAATGTCATGAATATGATTCTCGACCTTCAATCAACGTACTTTAACATTGTCAGACCGATGATCAGGTCACAGGCGGATGCAAATAGGACGACCGTGGCCAACTCTTCCCTTGCGGCCTTCGAAGACAGCATTCTGAACAACTTGACCATTATACCTGGACTGTGTCTTTACTGCAGTACCGGACATGAGGAACTTACGGTCATGTCCATGACACTGTTAGAGAAGCTGTCGAGCTCCCCGAAGCTGAACAAAGTCACATCACCCGAATTGGTCAAATGGCGATCCTCAAACAAAATCGTCGAGGTCCTCAGCTCCGAGGTAGACTTGGACAACCTAGCGCGGCCTCTCACACATCAAATGGAAGTTGATGATCGGGAACTGGAGGCCGGCGATAAGTCCCCGGCTTACATTATCAGGAAAAGCCTTCTAGCACTTTTGAACGGCTGTCTTGGATCGATAAGCGATAGGCCAACGATAGCCCACCTTCTTCTCGGTTTCAATAGCATAGGCAGTCTTCTTGACGTCTCTCCTGATGGCATGTTCGCCAACAAGATGTCCTTACTGCATGCCATCATCCAGTTTGTGCAAGACTTTCCTGGTGCAATGGATGGCAACATTCTTCCGTGGCTGGTGCAAATGAAGCGTATGGCGTTCCAGGTCCTGAAGAATCTTTGGTCATCAAAGATATCGTCGTATTTCACACTTGCTGAGATGCGTGGCTCCCGATTCCTTGCCAATATGCTCGCTCTTCAGCCAATCATTGGACCTCACACGTCATGGGACGGTTTGCCGATAATTGCGGATGAATTCTGGCTAGCTGAGTCAACCTTGGCGTACGCGGAATTTCTACTCCTCAGAAGCTTCCTTTTCGACTATGCCGCCATTGAAATTCGCTCGGCTGCTAAGCTTGGAGCACCGACTCTTCAAGCTGAACTTATCTCCACCCTCTTCGGCACTTCAACGTTGGAGACAGGAGAGACCACAGTAAATCCTTCTGTGTTTGATCTCTTCGACTTTGCCGACCTAGACGTTGCACGTTCCCTACCTATGCCTGATCTCCTTGTCCTCGAGGGCCTTGACTTTGATGTGTGTGCGAGACCAGAGGCAGACCATTCCTTGGTCCTATACAATATAGCCGAGGTAGTGGAGTTGATTCAGGTGAGAAAAGAGGAATTGTTCGCTAGGGGACAGTTACACGAGGAACAGTTTATTGCTGAGGCCGAAAGTCTCATGCTGTTCATAGAAGCAACAAACCGGCTCAGACAGATCACGTTCAACCGCTTCTTGGCTCTTCGATCCTGGGCTGAGCTTATCACAACCATGCTTTCCTCTGCAGAGATCGAAGGCGGCCGACGAACTACCTTCATTCTACATTCACTCCAACTCATTCTACCCAAACTTGAAGCCGCTATCCAGAACGATATGCCGGAGGCATTAGAGTTAGCAAGACTTACCGAGACACTGGTTAGCAAACTGGAATCTTCGAGCTCTGAATCTCCCAAGCCAAATTTGAACAGTGCGCGCAGGGGTGGCGACGTGCTTGATGAGAAGCTTCACCAGATGTTCCATATTTGCGTGCGCGGCGTGATCATGGCCACTGGAAACGTCAGTCTCAGGGAGAGTCTGTACAACATATGCTCTCATTATGTTGCCCGTATCGTTTCCTCCAACGCGGCTCATGACCTCATCAAGAATCAAAGCCAGCAAATCATCAAGGCAACGGGCCATGCCCTGGTCGAAGCTATTTGCGATGACGCATATGCCGGGCAGGAGACATGTCGTGTCTCGGCTGTTCTATGCCTCAATCTTTTGGCAGTCTTAGATAGACAGACGGATCCAGTTTTGGTCGAATTGATAGCGCAGACAAACTACCTAAGCCTTTTCCTCGACGCAATCCGGGTTTTGCCAGTGGAGCTGAAGAACACCCAAGCAAGCGGTAAGCTCAAGTCCTTTCTTTGGCAGATCGCATCACTGACTGATCAACCAAACAGATACGCCCCTTCTATTGTCTTACTATCAATCTCTGCTGTCTTTGTTCCAGGAGCTGTGCCAAACAAAGGTTGGGGCCACGCAGGTCTTGAGGACTGGGCTCTTTCAAGCCGTGC